CCCATTTCATTAAAAACATGGCCGCTAACTTCTATCAAATAATTACTTTCATTTGATGAATAAATGGTATTAATATTGTTTTCGACTTAATGGTATAATTTATTAACATTTGTATTAGAATGCAAGTGCGTCAAGAACGGGTACAAACCCAAATTGCTTATTACTTTGTTAGTTTGTAGAGGCATAAAAACTGAGGCCATAAGTGTTATTAAAAGTTTCTCTGATCCACAGTTTTTGAGAAAATCTAATTCAAAGTTGGAACTTCGATCGTCTTTTATTCAGTTATGAAAGCAGATTTTTTCATTTAGTTTACTGCACTACTGTAACTTTCAACGATCAACCAGGCAATGTATTCGTTTAGAGAAATAGAATCTTCCTTTTTCTGTAAAACGGATAAGTTCGATTTTTAGTTAAATAGATCGCTTTCAGTGACCGTAAGACTTAAAAAGCTGAAACTTAATGTCAGTTTATAAGAATTGCTTGTACACATCATGGGTTGTATGATTTCTTCAAACTATCAATAGTTCTCTTGATTTTGGACGTTAACCTAAAAACTTTGACGCTTGATAATTCGAGAAAGGTAGCACTTACAATCATCTTTCCTTCACCCATTCAATCCTTAACTAATTAATAATGCAATCCAATTCAATAACATTCAACAAGCGCATTTTTGTCTAGATTTTCGGGCCGTAAATCTACGTGAAACAACTTATTTAACTAAACAAACTCATAACAGCCAATATCTTGCTAAATGAAGCAATTTTCTGGTCAAGTTTGTAAATGAAATGTAAAGAGTGTTGCCAAAGGCTGGAACATTTGATTTGAGGGTTGATACTTAGTGGACTTTGTAGGGACATAAAAACTGAGTCGGTTGATGCTATTAAATAATTCATCTGATAGATAGTTTTCGAGAAAATCGAAGTCAAAGTTGAAACTTTGATCGCTGTTTGCTCAGCCATAGAAGCATATTTTTTCATGAAACTTAGTTTCAAAATGTAACTTTTGATAGACAACCAGAAAATGGACTTATTTTGATAAAAAACATTTTATTTTTCCTTTAAAACCGATTAGTTCGATTTTTAGTTAAAGTGACCTCATTCTATGATCGTAAAAGTTAGCGAGTTGAAACTTATTATCGGTCAGTAAAAATTGTTTGTTCATATCATGGATTGCATACTTTTATCAATTTATAAATAGTTCTCTCGATTTTGGCCATTGGCCTTAAAACTTTGAACCTGAATATTTCGACAATGGATTGTGGTACAATTATTATTTTTTCATTAAACATTAGGTTCAAACATAGACTATAATGCAAAGAAACTTATAATCATTTGAGATTCTGCAGAAAAAAGTTTTAGCATAAGTAATTTTGAGCTTGGTTTACAAAGCTAACCTTTAATCTCACACAAATCGTATGTATACATTCATCATTAAATGAATTTCTCATTGCAAAACTCAGTTTTCTTAGGTATTCAGTTATAGCTCATGATAAAATCTAAAGTTTAGTGAAAGATTGGTGATTGTACCACAATCCATTCTCGAAATATTCAGGTTCAAAGTTTTAAGGCCAATGGTCAAAATCGAGAGAACTATTGATAAATTGATAAAAGTATGCAATCCATGATATGAACAAACAATTTTTACTGACCGATAATAAGTTTCAACTCGCTAACTTTTACGATCATAGAATGAGGCCACTTTATCTAAAAATCTAACTAATCGGTTTTAAAGGAAAAATAAAATGTTTTTTATCAAAATAAGTCCATTTTCTGGTTGACTATCAAAAGTCACATCCTCAAACTAAGTTTCATGAAAAAATATGCTTCCATGGCTGAGCAAACAGCGATCAAAGTTTCAACTTTGACTTCGATTTTCTCGAAAACTATCTATCAGATGAATTATTTAATAGCATCAACCGACTCAGTTTTTATGTCCCTACAAAGTCCACTAAGTATCAACCCTCAAATCAAATGTTCCAGCCTTTGGCAACACTCTTTACATTTCATTTACAAACTTGACCAGAAAATTGCTTCATTTAGCAAGATATTGGCTGTTATGAGTTTGTTTAGTTAAATAAGTTGTTTCACGTAGATTTACGGCCCGAAAATCTAGACAAAAATGCGCTTGTTGAATGTTATTGAATTGGATTGCATTATTAATTAGTTAAGGATTGAATGGGTGAAGGAAAGATGATTGTAAGTGCTACCTTTCTCGAATTATCAAGCGTCAAAGTTTTTAGGTTAACGTCCAAAATCAAGAGAACTATTGATAGTTTGAAGAAATCATACAACCCATGATGTGTACAAGCAATTCTTATAAACTGACATTAAGTTTCAGCTTTTTAAGTCTTACGGTCACTGAAAGCGATCTATTTAACTAAAAATCGAACTTATCCGTTTTACAGAAAAAGGAAGATTCTATTTCTCTAAACGAATACATTGCCTGGTTGATCGTTGAAAGTTACAGTAGTGCAGTAAGCTAAATGAAAAAATCTGCTTCCATAACTGAATAAAAGACGATCGAAGTTTCAACTTTGAATTAGATTTTCTCAAAAACTGTGGATCAGAGAAACTTTTAATAACACTTATGGCCTCAGTTTTTATGCCTCTACAAACTAGCAATGTTACTATCTGAAAAAATTAGTTTACAAGCCTGTTGAACTATTGAAGTCATGACCGAAAACCTAAATAACTAGCAATAAAAGCACAAAATTATTTTGTACATCATTCATTCAATAAATTCAATAATAAAAGTGTCTCAATAATGTCTGAAAATGTTTTGAACGAGTGATTTGTTGTTTTATTATATGCATCAGAATTAACAATAAAGCTTATTATTTTAAAATGCACTCTACGTATCGGAACATGGACACGTATATTAATCGAAAGTTTTTTATTGGTTTATTAAGTTAGAAACATTACACTGATTGATTATAAATTTGAATAATTTAGTTTAAATGATTTATTGTTGATGATAAAAAAATATCAAGAGAAGATCAACATTGTCATATTATAAAATAATAATAATAATAATACTAATAAGTTATGCTGTTTAACTTAATAGACTAGAGTTGCTCAAAAACAGGAATATTAATATGATTTATTTCAAATCAGGCAACAAAAAAAGGTTGGTTCATTGATATCATTGTTTGGTTGTTGAGGAATTGTTTCCATTAGAATTGGAATTGACCATTGTATTAAGTCGTTTCAATTTTTCATCGATATCACATCTAATTTGTTTGAGTTTCCTAATAGCACTTTCATCGGCATCCAAATCATTGCGATTTAACAAACCGTTAGATATGTCAGACACAAATCGATAGTTACCAAGGCCATCTAAATCGGATGCCTCATCTTGTAATAATCGACTAGTTCTTCGGATCATTGCTAATAAAGATGAGGATGAATTTTTAACATTATGAGATCTTTCCATGGGTTGACTAGTGATTAAAATGGGTGAAAAATGAAGTGGTGAGTATTTAATATAATCACGACGTCGATTCATGCCATGATCAAAATTAACTTTCGATCGATTTTGATTAGATGTTCCAATATCGTGCTCCTTACGGGTTCTTGATCTTTGTTTAGTCCGACTCTTTACTTCTTCAGAAGATGATGATAGAGTATCTTCATAGGAAGAGCAGCTTGAAACTAATTTTTTGGATCTTTTACTGTTGAAATTATCAAACTTGGATCTCATTTTCCTATCTCTTTCTTTAGAAATCTTGAATGCTTCCAGTTGTCCATGCATTACAGTTAAATTGGATTCTATTTGATTAAATCTTTCTTCTAAAGCAGCATTTATCGTTGTAGTTTCACTTTCTTTACTTTCATTTTTCTTTTCCTCTATTGATTGCTTAATTGTGTCCAGTTCTTTGGTTAAATAATGCAAGACTGATTTAGTCTGACTCATTTCATCATTTATTGCTGCCTGTGACAATTCAGTTTCTTGCTTTCGTCTCTCTAATGACTGATTAACTGAAGTAATTTCACTTTTGAGCATTTGTTTAATATCTTCAATTGATTGAGCTAATTTGTCATGTTCAATTCTTTCTTTCATAATCATCTGTTTAACTTCAATCCTGAGATTATCCTGTTCATCATCATCATCTCTCCGGTTATTGCTAACATCTCTTGATAAACGATGAACATCACCTTGAATTTTGGATGTTAGACTCTCCAAATTATCTTGACTTTGTGAAACTTCGGTCAACTGTTTTCTCAAAGCTTTGATGGCTAAGTCGTTGTCTTTCTTGAAATCACGAAATTGGTCCATAGTTATCTTGAATTCATCATGAATGTCAGCCAAATTCTTTGAAATATCATTTTCTTTGTCATTTCGCTCTTTATTACTGTCCATAATTTTGTCAACGTTGGCTTTCAAAGAGTTTACTTCAAGTTTGATGGCATCAACTTTACTTGCACTATCAGGTCCATTATTTACATCGATTTGCTTTCTATTTCTATCCAACAGTGCGGAATGCGCGTTTTTTTCGTTCTCAGATAACCTCTTTTCCACTTGATCCAACCTTTCTGTTGCCTGTTTGGCAATTTCATCAGATTTTTGGGTAATAACTGTAAATAGCTCGTTTTTTAATTTAGATATTTCTCTCTTTAACTGATCAGACATTTTCCGGAAATTAGCTTGCTGTCCAATCAAATCAGTCAGTTGATGTTTTTGTTTAAATTCAGGCAAGTCTTCATCCTCTTGCTTATCATCATTTGATAGATCATCTTCCTCAAATTCATCCGTTTCAGCTTCATCTCCGTCTTCCTCTTCTTCTTCGTCATCATCCTTTTTGATGTCTTCATCTGGTTCTTCCTTTAGTGTTTCCAGCTGATTTAATGGAAATGAAGGAACAGTTATAAAGTCCTGTCGAGATACTTTAAACATGCTGGCACCTTCACTGGCAAAAGGATCATTTTCAATGCTGTTCAACGAAAAATCGTCATCTTCGTCAACATTAGCATCAATATAATTATCTATATCATCTATAATCAAAAAAGGGGAGAATAAATAGTAACAATTAGGAATGAATTATAAGTCACCGTCGAATGTAAGTATAATAAATGCACAAAAATTGTATGTTTATCAATAAATGTTGATATTTCTTACCTTTTATTTCCAAAGATGGTTTTACATTTCTTATCCTAGTTTTAGCACTTTTAGGACGTTCCATTTTAATTTTGCTTTGCTTATCAATAACTGACTCTTGGTTGTCGTCATTATCAATATCAATTTGATAAATTTCATGAAAATTTTTAACATCACAAGGGCCTCCTTCGGTAACATCCAGTGTTACCTCTTCTTCAGAACTACCATCATCGTCCATTTCTTTGAAGGCATCTTCATCCAACTCAAATTGAATCGAATCGATATCATCAAGTGATTCGTCCAGAGAGCTTAAAGTTAAATTTTGTTCAGCATCATTTCTCACTTTAGTCTCATTTTTCAATGAAGATAAAGGTTGACCTACTTTATTGCTATTCGATGAAGCCATTCCAGTTGATTTGACATGGTTATTTGTCAAAGGTGAATTGTCATTATCGCCTTTATTACCAATATCATTATCATCATCACCGACATCAAGGAATCGTAAATTAGCCAATGGATTAGACCTTCTGTTCAACGCCATTAATTTATTCGTTGTCCACTTTACTAAACTTTGCAGGGAAACAAATAATGATGATGTCTGTCAACCTGGGTGGGTCCTGATTAAAACTCTTGTTTTATGGTAAAGTAGATATGACCCAATTGAACCTTTTCCAAGCAAAACGAAAGGTTATAAACATAACAGTAAAAAATAGATTTCCAAGGTTACATCATAGCAACAAATATTCAGTGTTCAAGCATAAATAGAAGGTAAATTAATGAAAATTAATGGAATGGTCATTTCAGGATAACTATAATAGATATTTGTTGTAATGTTTCAGTTGATAAACATTGACTTTTCCGTTGCATAATGTTAATTTTCACAATCACAATTGAATAACAGCATCATATTGAAAACCTTTAAAAAACATAGCTGCCAAAATTTATTCAACAAATACGACTTTTATTGAAGCAAACTCTCAACCAATTACAGTATTTTGAGGGGATACCGATCTCCCAAAAGACGCACCTCGGTAGAAAGAGGGTGTCCATGCTTGAAAGGTTTAATCGACCTCATATGAACAAAAAGGGGAGAATTACATAGTGTGGGAAAGGGGAATACATAATACGGGATCAAGGAGAGGGAAATTCAATTACATACAAAAACATACATCCAAAAAAAAAAAAAAAAAATTTACAAAAAATAATAATATATTTGTTGATTAAGTTAAATTAATTGCGGTTAACGTAAATTTATACATAAGTTGTTGATGAATACAATCTTCGGTTTTGACCAAGTTGCTGAGGGTATCAGGGCAGGCGATACAATTTTGTGGTGTAAATTGAAATGAATTTAAATTGATTTACAAATTCGTGATGTTTGAGTAGTTGTTTAAAAAGAAAAAAACGGAAGCAGTTCCCGAAAAAAGAAAAAGGGTTTCCCTTTTTTACTTTTTTATCATTGATTTTTTGAGAAGTGTTATTTTTGAGATGTGTAATTTTCTGAGAATGTCATTCAAATAGAATGACCCACATGTAGAATAGAATTTTTTTAAGGTCCATAGAGTGGGACTTACCTTAGTATTATTTGTGGATTTCCTGCTTTGATTCCGGGTTTCGATAGTTTTCAGGGGTGCCAGGACCGATAATGAACGTCAATCTGTAAAGATAAAACAAATTAAATTAAATTAAATTGTAAAAATCAATTAAAAAATCAGAGCTCTAAAAGAGCCGACCAGTCCTCCGACAATACAAACATGAAAAGTGCCCTCTTTTATCTTTAATCAAAACTATTCTCAAAATATTATTCTGGACGCATGTTTCTCATGCAGTTGTTTTGGTTAATTTAGTTTAAAAACACAAACTTAATTTTGTTCCTTTTGTGATCCAAATGTTTTGATTTCTCAACGCAATTTACATGGTTAGACCTCGATAAATTAACCATCTCTTTTATGTTTAATTAGTATTTGCTAAGAGGCAAGAATCTTTTCTGCCCGTGTAAGGAATATGATGAGTTTTTCCAGTCTAGTCTCATCATCTGATTTTTCACTGTTATACCTCTTAAATCATCAGCTTATTCATTATATTTTTGTTAAACTATTGATTGTTGTGAGTAAATTCTATCAAAAACGATCGAGTTTGTTGGAACTTCAAGTTTAAATTGTGACTCATTAGTTATCCGACGGATCTCAAATTATTTATTTTTGTTTTGGAAGAAATTTCAAATAGTCAAGTCATGTTGAGAGTTTCTTGTAGAGTTTTTTATCATCCGAAAGTTTCATTCTCCAGTAAACCTTATTACGATGTTATTGTGATTGGAGGAGGACATGCTGGAACAGAAGCTGCATGGGCTGCTTCTAATATGTCCGCAACGACTTTACTTTTGTCTCAAAAGCTATCGACAATTGGTGAGATGTCATGTAACCCTTCGTTTGGTGGAATCGGAAAAGGTCATCTTCTTCGTGAAATTGATGCTTTAGATGGCATATGTCCGAGAATCTGTGACATTTCTGGGATGCAGTATAAATACCTAAATCGACGTAAAGGTCCCGCTGTTTGGGGCCCTAGAGCCCAAATTGATAGAAAACTTTACAAAACCAATCTTCAACGAGCAATTTTCAATAAACCCTATTTACATGTTAAAGCTGCATCGGTTGAAGATTTGATTGTAGAAAAAAGTAAAGATGGCGAAAAATACATCTGCAAAGGAGTCATTACATCAGATGGACAAAAAATCGAAAGCTCATCGGTAATTATTACAACAGGAACCTTTCTTAGAGGCATGATATTGCTTGGATTGGAAAGATTTCCAGCTGGTCGAATGGGTGATAAACCTTCGATTGGTCTCGCTCAAACTTTGGAAAAACTCGGCTTGAAGATGGGTCGATTAAAAACTGGGACACCTCCAAGATTAGACTTGAAGACTATTGATTTTTCCCGCTTAGAATACACTCTAGGTGATGATCCACCTAATCCTTTTTCGTTCCTGAACAAAAAAGTCTGGCTATCGGCATCTGATCAAGTCAAAACTTATTTAACCTACACATCTCCCGAAACAGCTAAGGTTGTTCAAGATAATATTCACCTTTCAAGGCACATACATGAAGAGATAACTGGTGTTCGTTATTGTCCTTCCATAGAAGCAAAAGTTTTGAAGTATCCTGAAAATAGTCATCAAATTTGGCTTGAACAAGAAGGTTTCGACTGTGATATTGTGTATCCCAATGGTTTAGCACAAGGATTTCCATTTGATGTACAGGCCAAAGTTATTAACTCTATTCCTGGTTTGGAAAAAACTCGACTCACTAGACCAGGCTACTCCATTCAATATGATCATATTGATCCTCGTCAGTTGAAACCTTCATTAGAATTATACAAAGTTTCCGGATTATTTCTTGCTGGTCAAATAAATGGTACAACTGGATATGAAGAGGCAGCTTCTCAAGGTATTATTGCTGGCATTAATGCAGCTTCTAAAGCACAATCGAAAGAACCATTCATTGTTTCTCGGACAACTGGTTATTTGGGGGTTTTAATTGACGATCTGACTACTCTTGGAGTGATTGAGCCTTATCGCATGTTTACAGCTAGAGCAGAATTCAGACTTTTCATGCGTCCAGATAATGCTGATTTACGTTTAACTGAGCAAGGTTTGTTCATAAATCAAAATCTTGACAAAAAAACTAACGATTGCATTTAATTTTCAACTTATTTAAGGTTATAAACAAGGTTGTGTTTCACAAAAACGATACGAAATATTTTCTGAAACTAAAGCTGAAATTGAGCGCTGCAAGGAGTTACTGAAGAGTATTAAAAGAAAAAGTAAAGAATGGACTGAATTATTAGCTGACAATATCCTCTTCGCATTTAGAGGAAACACAAAAAGGTTTGTAAATCAATTAATTAATTAAATCATTTTTCTACAATTTTCTTAAAACATTATTATTTTAGTGCTTATGATATTATGAGAACGCCTGGTGTATCAGACCATTTGTTTGAGTTACTGAGAAAGGAAGGAATCCAAATAACAGAAGATGAAATTATTTTACAAAGAGTAAAAATTGAAGGTAATATCAATTATATAATAATTTAGATACAATGTATGTAAAATGCTACTAATACTAATGAGACTCTCTTTTTCTTAGCTCAATATGAGAAGCTATTAGATAAGGAAAAAAGTCAGATCGAGGAAGTAAAAAAGGAAGAACAATTAATAATACCAGAGGATTTCAATTATTCCGATAGCAGACTTAGTTTACCTAACGAAGCTCGTGAGATATTAAGTAAACATAGACCAGCATCGGTAAGTTGAACTAGTCTATGAATAACTATAAAACATACTTGTATTTATCTAATTGTTTCAATTCTTATATTTCTTCGTAGATTGCAAGTGCTTCTAGGATTCCCGGGGTGAGATACGCAGCTGTCACTGCTTTAGTTTATTATTTGCAAAAATATGTTGCAACTGATAAAAATGTTTAAAAAGTGATCATTCAAGTAATTTAAAAATTTCTCAAAGTATAAAAAAAATTAAAAAGATATTTTCGTTTAAGACAAACTTGTGATAGAACTATTTGAAACCTATTGTAAACGATGCTTTTGAGTTCCCGTCACAAAAGTTCCCATCTGACTTAAGGAAAAGGTTGAAAAAATATTCCGAAATGGATACTGACAATGAAGCATTATGTGAAATCTCTCAGCGAAATTTTGTCATCAATTCTCAAATTGCTAAAACTTTCGTCAAAGGTTCGTTTCAAGTTGTGAGTTCATCCAAAATTGAATCAACTGGCATCTTAATATTAATGAAAAAAGACAAAGACAGAATAATGAAAAATTCATTTATTATATTGTATTTGCATTTTGAGAAAATGTACGATTCTACATATTCTTGCCTTTCTATTAGTTCCAATAATAATTTATCAGTGATGAATTACTTTGAAAATTCAGCTAATTAAAATTACCAAAAGTGAAGCTATCAGTTGATGTTGATTTTATGGTTAAATTTTCATCAAGGCTTCTTTGGGTACTTGAAGATGTGGGTGGCTTTCATCAGCTTTCAAGGTAAAAGGTTGAGAACGGTGGGAAAATCGATTTACAGTGTTCAATAGCGGCAAAATTATCAACTTACGAATTATTGATATCACTAAGTTGATGGAGTAAAATAATCTATTTGTGAAATTATACAATGTAAAATCTGGAATCATCAGTGGACATGTTTTGATTGTTGACTGAGATTGATTGAGAAAAAGTGTTTTATACAAAGCTATTGCAGATGGGCACAGATTAGTTAAAAAAATAGATGCCTTTTGGTTACCCATTCCGCAATTTCAACACGATCATATAGCTGTTAAAAAAGGATGATTGGGATGATATGAAGGGTTAATTTCCAAATTAATAAATCATCGATCATTTTCTTCCTCGCTTAAATGAGAATAAAATGTCTTCAAATTTCGTATTGACTTGAGACGAAGAAAATTTGACGGATTTCTTGGTTCTTCTTGGGGAATAAAACCATCATAAAAACGAGTTGTTGATCGACGATTCTTGGAGCAGCATTTCAGTAAATTTGGGTGCTTGTCTATAATGATGTACAGAACAAATGATAAGGTGATGAGGCATAAAAAGCTGAAGCCAATTGTAACCATGGAATAAAAACGTTCAAGTAGAATGATTTGAGCAGTCAAGTCTTTAGAATCACAATGACCATTACGATTGATAAGGGAATCACCATGGCATGAAGTACAATTATTGTCATTCGGGCCGTTACAGGTCAAACAATTGTAATAGCATTTTATACAAATAAACGATGGATTTTGGAGCTCTGTAACTATCTGTTCCTTGTAAAAACCTGCCGGACATTGAGTGACACAATTGCTATCGTAAAGAATATAATCTGGTTTACATGCTGTAAAAGAAAAGAAAAGAAAAGATTAAAATTAATGAAATCATTTTAATGGGAAAACAAAAAACTAAATAAAATCAAAATTGAAAAGCATAAATGATTAACTAAATGTACAACTAAACAAAAATGAACATAAAGAGTGATTTAGGACAAATGATAACTTATAGAAGCTTCCTAACTGAGCAAAAAACAAAACACATTTCAACAAAATCAAAATATTTGATCTACAATTTTAGACTTACCATATTTGCAATTGGAGTATCTTCTCAGCTAAATTAATTAGTGATTAGTGAGATAGTTTTTTACTCAAAACTAAATAGACTAACATGAAAGACTGATTATTAACATATAATATCATCCTGGTAAAGCATCACGCGAACAGAAAAAAACGAAAGTTACGAACTGTTAAGTGGTTCAACGAGCAAATTTGTTTTTTTTATATTTAGGTTTGTCGGCATCATTATTTACAGATTTTGTCTAGTTTTGTTTTTTGTAAGATTCCTTTCAAAGTTCCTTCTAAAGCTTAGCATACATGATTCAGTATTTTAGGTGGGATAAAGTATTTTTGTTTGGCATAATATGTACAGATAGTGTTAAAATAAATATGAAGGATTAGAAAGGTTAGTCAAATATTAGACAGTTGAAGTATTTATTTCTCCTGTTTTGATGCTTGGGAATCGAAGTAGCGCCTTATTTTTTCATCACAGCTGGTAGACTAACAACTGATCTTTCTTTCTTTCGGTATTAAAATGGTAAATAATGTAGCAAAAAGAACAATATGTTAATAATTATCGTTAAAATGAAAGAAAGGAAAAAGTTGGACCTGAATTGTTAGTGGAAAAGGTGTATTCGACCTTTACAATGATTTCAGAGATCAGTTGTCGATCAGGAAATATATCCTTGTCATGAATATAGCCAAGATAAGGCACAAACCTAGACACCGAGAGTTATTATCTTGTACACTACATCCTGGACTGGAATCTGATTCTTGTGAATTTAACTTGCTTTTGGGATGTGAATTTTCTCGTGTCCGATGAGAGATAAATATGCCTGAAATTAATTATGATAAAACAAAGAAGACGTGTAAGAAATATGCATCATATTTGATTAATTTATGTTCATGTATACCTTTGGAATCATCACGAAGATTTGATATTGAATTATCATTTTGGGAAGATTCTACTTCATTGGCAGTCAAAGGCGGGTTCACTATTTTTTGAGTTCCATTAAGTCCAAAATTAAGCTGAGATGGAAAAGGTTCAGTTGAATTTGTTAAATTTGACTCAAGATTATGAGCAAATTTATTCTCTTGCGAATTTGTATTAGTGCTTTTAGCTATTCGTCGATCAGGGTTAATTTTAGTTCCATACAAAACCATTGTCCATCCTTTTAAGAAAGCTCGATCTACAAAACAAAGATGTTTAAATTATAAAATCATTCAATAATATGGAATGAAAAGATGATAAAAAATGTGCAAACGAGATAATTTGATGGACAAATTCAAACTCACTGTAAGGATATTTTCCATCATTGTGTACTTCAAGTTTCCAAACACCATTAGGATTTTCACCCCAGCTATGGACGGTCATAAAAGGCCAATCTTGAAAACCAGAATGTGAAGTGTCCATAGGTCGTTGTTCAAGTAAAGTTGATCGAGTGCCTGATGGTGATGTAAGATAAATGTGGATATCACCTCTACGAGTGGATGAAAGATTAACTTTGGCTTGAACATGCTCCAAGAAAAGTACATTGTTACAATTAACATTTAACGACATTTCAACATAACTTTTTGATGGAATTAATCTGTTGGATTAAAAAGGAGAAATGAATTAGGAGAGCGTCAGAAATAAAGTAAATATCGATGATTATCAATAACATCATTATTATGTTGATAGATAACAATAAAATGATAACATGATAACACTAAAAGATATCTAAAACTTTTTTGAATGTTTACTACCAATTCCTTACTTATCACTAAGATTAGAAGGTATTTCACAACTTTTTTGTTCAGGAACAGAGACCCAAACTTTGGCCAGATCAACCATTGCGGCAGCATCCATCAATCCATAGCCAAATGAATGACTGACTTTGCGACCAACTCCATTAGTTTTCCAATCTGGAGCTCGTAAATTTGCAGGCCTTGAAGTCATTGCAACAATATGCTGCATATCCCTCCATGTTAAGTTAGGACTGAAACCAATGAAAGGAATGAACCAAATTAAAAATTGGAGGACAATGTTTCTTTTTTATAAGCAAAAAGCAAACTTACTTTGCTTCCAAGGCAAGGGCAGCTATAGCAGCAGCCAGTGGAGCAGAAGCTGACGTTCCAGTGTGGGAAATTGTGCAACCATGATGTAAATCTGAAAATTTTAGAGGAAAAAAAATAGAATGATGAAAGCATCAGCATTGCTAACATACAAATTACAGTATTCATTTTGTGCTAATTTTGTGTTTTGTTACATCTAAAGCAGCGAATGGAAAATTGTTAAATCACTAATGATAAATTGTAATCCGAGACCCATTGCAAAGTTTTGTGCTTCAAGTAGTAAAAAGCTGAGTAAGAAAGAAAAATATTGCTTGGTTGAGTCAGTAAAATAGTGAAGAGTCAGTTAGAAGCCGGAAAATTATGCATCGGTTGAAGATTTGAAAGTGGAAAAAGATGGTGAAAAATATATCTGTAAAGGAGTCAGATGGACAAAAAATTGAAAGCTCTTCGGTCATGTAATGTATCTTAAGTCATCAGCTTATTCAGAAATTTCAAAAAGTCAAGTCAAGTTGCGAAAGTTGTGGTTTGGAAAAAAACTCGACTCACTAGTCCAGGTTACTCAATTCAATATGATCATATTGATCCTCGTCAGTTGAAACCATCATTAGAATTATACAAAGTTTCTGGATTGTTTCTTGCTGGTCAAATAAATTAATGGAGCTTCTCAAGCTCAATCAAACCATTCACTGTTTCTCGGACAACCGGTTATTTGGAGGTTTTAATTGACGATCTGACTACTATTGGAGTGATTGAGCCTTATCGCATGTTTACAGCTAGAGCAGAATTCAGACTTTTCATGCGTCCAGATAATGCTGATTTACGTTTAACTGAGCAAAGTTTGTTCATAAATCAAAATCTTGACAAAGAAAAAACTAGCATCGGTAATTTGAGTCCAAATAACAGAAGATGAAATTATTTTACAAAGAGTAAAAATTGAAGGTAATATCAATTATATAATAATTTAGATACAATGTATGTAAAATGCTACTAATACTAATGAGACTCTCTTTTTCTTAGCTCAATATGAGAAGCTATTAGATAAGGAAAAAAGTCAGATCGAGGAAGTAAAAAAGGAAGAACAATTAATAATACCAGAGGATTTCAATTATTCCGATAGCAGACTTAGTTTACCTAACGAAGCTCGTGAGATATTAAGTAAACATAGACCAGCATCGGTAAGTTGAACTAGTCTATGAATAACTATAAAACATACTTGTATTTATCTAATAGTTTCAATTCTTATATTTCTTCGTAGATTGCAAGTGCTTCTAGGATTCCCGGGTATTTAAGATTCTAAATAAGGTTGTGTTTCACAAAAGCGATACGAATTATTTTGAAGCTAAAGTTGCAATTGAGCACTGTAAGGTGTAATGAATCAATAAAATAGTGAAGAGTCAGTTAGAAGGCGGAAAATTATGGGTAGCCTTAATAAAGAGAGAGCTGAATAAAATTTGCTGCGGTTGATGATCTCAAGAATCAAAAAACCATTGGAATGACGCGTCAATGAATTCAAAAGGTAAAACCGGTTTGGATCTTCTTTCTTTGCGCTCTTCAAATTAATTTCCCAATTAGAGCTATTTTGTCTCTTTGTTTCCTCTGCAAAATATGTCATGAGTCTTTTCATGGGAAAAAGATACCTGTGAAAATCTAGATAAGAAATTTCATCTCAATCTGGATTGAACGACAAAAATCAACCTAATTTATGTTACCGGAATTGAATTATTAAAAATATCCTTTGCGCCATTTAGTGTCAAATACGAACAGGAAACAAAATAAAACACAAACACAGCAACAAGGTGAAACTGAGCAAACAAAAAATTAAACCAACCTGTAGTTACAATTTGTCTTTCTCCTATTGATCCACTACTATAAGTTGTAGCCAAGGTTGAAGAGCAAGCTTCACTATACCAAGGGACTTGACCATTTTCAGTGGCACTGCTAACGGAAAGAGTCCAAATTGAGTTTGTGTAACCGTCACAGTTACAATTGTCGTGTTCTCGGCCCCCATTACCAGATGCCCAAATGAAAATGGAGCCAAGGCCTTTACGACCTTTGCTGACTCCATCAGCAAATGCACGAGCCGCAAGTTCACCCGGTCCATCAACTGTTTTACCGTCATCATCAGGTCCCCAAGAAGCAGAATATATATCAATATGATCAGAAGCAAATCCAATTGAACGAGCTTCAACGGCATCAGTAACATCACCGTCCAACATTCTGACACCACCAACTTTTGCATGATAAGCAACTCCAACTGCACATTTGTTGTTATTTGCCATTGCAGCTACTTCACCAGCACATCGAGTTCCATGTCTATTTGAATCGATTATATCATAACGAGGAGTTGGATCTTCATCTGAATTGTTAACATCGTAACTTGCTCGAGGGTCGTAATTCTCAACAAGATCTGGATGATCTCCTTCAAGGCCATCATCTAAAATAGTAACGACAACTCCTTTACCAGTTATATTTTGATCCCAAACTTTTTGAACATTCATGTCAAGCCCATTTCCTCTATTAAGGTACCACATTTGTAACCAATGAGGATCATTAAATTTGTCTAGAGTTTCAACACTTCTAGAATACAAAGAAGTTCTAATAAGATCTCGTTTGGATCGTTTCTTTACGGGAAGATGAGTTAACGAGTTTACATATGGTTCCTTGTAAATTTCACTAATATTATGACTGGGTTGGGTTGAGCGTTTGAATTTTCTTTTGTGCTTTAAATGATAGTAGTTATCAAAAATTTTGTCCAAGTATATAAAACCATGTTTGGCAGCAACTTCTTTTGCAACTTCAGGTGGTCCATCAAGATGAAGGACAAATTGGTCCGTGTATACAAAATTATTTTTACAACTGAAGGGTTTTATATTGATGCAAGAGGTGAATGTAATTAATACAAAAAATAGCCTCAAATATGAGAGATCCATCAGTTGACGTGATTGCTGAGGAAAAGTGAGTAAGTGAAGAATGGCGATCTATGGAAAGAAAACAGAATAGATTAGAGTTTTGAAGTATCAACCAAATTAGGTAATATTAATGAAATGGGAAAAGTGAACAGGAAAAAAAACATTGAGAATAGAACACAATAGTAAACAATTAGAACGCATTAGAAGAGAGTCTCACAGTTTACAACAACTTGTCTAAATTCAGATTTGGAGGTAATGAAGGTTAAATCTGAAGAAGGTAACAAAAGATCAGAAAAACGGTAAAACAGTTCAAAAATATTAAGAGAAGAAAAACGTAAATCTTTTATACTGATTTATCATTCAAATCTTACCTGATGTTAAAAGCTGATAACCAGCTCTCATGTTCCTTTGATGAGCAAAACCGCAAGCAAAGATGAGAAGTACAAGAAATAAGTGAAATAAGAAGTAAATGACAAGAAATGATGAACACAAAGTGAAGTTGAAATTGATGAACGATTATCTTTTTTTAGATGACAAGAGATGTCACAAAGATGCGGGACACAAGGAACCTGGTTTACAATAACCATAGTTGACCCCCTTTCAATTTATAAACAAAAGATTCATTAATGATCACGGTGTTTAATCAGCAAACAATATAATGATGTAGTAATTAAATAATTATCAATAAACAACAATCTACAAAAAAGAAACAATATAAAAGCCAATTACATACAGAGATTGTAAAAATGAAGTGAAAGGTAAATTGTATAGAGTCTGGACAACTCACTCACTAATATTGTGATTTTTGCTGATATTGTGAAGTCTTGCTGGTTCTACCTGTCTGTTCCTAATCCTAAGGTCTGCGCATTAGCAGTTTCATTCGCTCATTTTTTGGGTATTTTCATCAATTTATCTTTGATTCCATGAAAAATTGAAAAATTCTGGTAAAATAGGAAAAGCTGATTGCTGTGGGGGTAAAGAGTTAACAGGAAATCCTATCTAAAAAGTAAACTTTCACCATGTAAATTGCTAGAATATTTAATAGATTAAAAATTTACCGTCAACCTCTTCAGGCTGGTCCTGTTTTTGATATTTGGTCCTACCTAACTGTAGAGCTGAAGATTGTGATACTACCGTGGCATTTTACACGCTTTAGATAGTTTAATTGTCTGGTTTACAACAAGTGAAAGCTTCAAGTTTTATAAATTATCTGCATCTAGATAATTAAAACAAAAATAAGAATAAAGTTTTTCAATTTTGGCAGTTTTGTTTAAAATTCAACTAACAGGTGACGCCATCATATTTTCCTGTTTGATTTGTTCAGAGGTTTTTGTTTTTCAAGAACATGGATGTTTCCAATGAATTCAGAGTCAATAATTAACTAATTTTTGATTAACTTTGCTTTCTCATTGGTTAACTTTCTTGATCTGCTATTGGTATTGCCATTTATATAAAATAGTTATACATTATAAATATTTAAAGTCAGGTGATAAATTGACATAAAAAGGAAACATAACGATAGCTCTCGATCATTATGAATTGATTGTTAACACTGCTGTCAAATTTTGTTTGACTAATACATAATAATAATCTGTTGAATCAGTGATTAAATCACCAGGTTCAGCTTTTTTTGAGTTAATCAAATGGTCATTGATTAGATTGACGTCACTCTCAAATTAAATGAGAACATGAGATTTAGTTTTGATGAATTAACCCACGAAAATGTTTTGATTACAAAATGATTAAACGGATTAATCAATCAGTCCATCTTGATAAAATTTCAAGAAAATTAATAAACCAGGCAAATGGTCAATAGTGGATAATGTATGTGAAGCGACCGAGTTAAATTACTATGACTACCCTTTGTTTTGATTTCAATCCCATCCTAGGACTGGCTATTAGTTATTACAAATGTATATTATAAGTGAATGTCAATTTTCATAAACTGGATTTACATCCAACAATTAGCTTACTTAATCGAGTTACAATTCAATGAGTGTCAATGGAATGTGATTTTGAAGATAAGTATCTAAGGATCCGAGAGGAAAATTTGCTGCTGAAAAAACAGGCAAATGAGGCAAACAACAACATTAAATTATTGACTACTCGATTAAATCGATTACTTGAGATGAAAAAGCGAGCTTTGGTCAATGAGAAAAACAAGAAACTGGTCAGCTTGGAGGAAATGTTATTCAATTTACAGTTGAAAATGGGTCAACTTGAAAGTGAAAACAGGAAGCTTCGACAGCGAAGTTTAGTACTGCAGACTAAATTGGATGCTGTTCGTCGTCGCCAGTACAGATCAATGTACTCGAGTGTCCCATCAAGAACTGATAGTGGTCTAGAATGGATCGATTCATCATCCAACCATAATTTCAACTCTAAACCATCGTCAGCTCGTTTAACTGTACATCATCGATCTTCTTCAACCATTTCATTGAATCGAGTGACATTTAATTCAACTCCATCAGATCTTGTACATCGAAATCCAAGTGATGTTAAATTTGATTCTGTCCATTCAATTAAACCAATGGATGGCCAAGCAAGACCTTTTTCCACTTCGAAAATAGGACATCAACGAACAGCTTCGGGAAATCTTTTACATAGGATTAGTGTAAATGAAGGAGACGTCAAAGCTCGCGGCAGAAACAACTTTGTTCAGCAATTGTTAAAAGAAACACAGGATGAAATTGGACGCCTTCAAGAGATAATTGTTTTGCAGCAACATTACATTGATAGCATACAATCTGAAGTAAATCGGGCTAATAGTGAAGAGGACGTTAGCGAGCTAGTTAAGTCTTCACAAGAAGATGGAACAACTGAGCCTCGAAGACAAACGATCGGAGAAACGACCCTATTGACTGTTGAAAATTCAACATCACACTCATTGAATGCTGATTCTATTGATGCAAATTTCAATAAAACTCAAAAGAGTTTACAGGTTTTTAGGAGTGGATTGGATTTGGACAAAATTTTAACCACTAAAGGCATTCCCAATGAGATTGTTGTTCACATAGAAAAGTTGACGTCCGAGTTGATTGAATCACAAAATGTCATCAAAAGCTTGAGATCCCAGTTGATCAGAGATAATTTGGCAACAGTTAAAATTGTCGAGATTAAGCAAAAACTGGATCATTTGACTCAAGAAAATGAGATCCTTGAAAAGTCTTTGCGAAACTGTATTGGAACTTGTATTTCTGGCCTGGAAAAGGATTGCCTTGATGATGGTGACAATGGGAATGGGAAAACTCAAGACTCGAATCAATATGCTGATATGAGAATCAAAAATCTTCAGGAAAAAATTAGCCAATTGATTTCTGAGAATGCTGAACAAGCTCAATCCCTGAAAGAAAAGACTCAGTTAGTAAATTTACTCCAAGAAAAATACAGCAATTTAAAGGAAGCTTACGATCTAATGATTTCTTCCAGTAGATCATCTTTAAACAGATCCGGTTCGACTCAATCACTTGCTTCAACCTCTCCTAGAAGCACGAAAACTGAATCACGTTTGAATACACATTTTACTTATACCGGTGCTAATATCGGCGATCAAATGGATAACAGCGATGAAGGCAAGTTATCTAATGATAAAGTGCAATTGAAAGGAACTGAGAAAGACACAATTCTTGACTCTCTAGGCCACGTTCGTGAAATGGTTGAAAGTGTTCAAAGTGAACTGGAGAATGGCTTGAAATTGAATAATTTCCCAGATAATTGAGTCGACATCGAAGTTTTTTTTGCTTATATTCAATCAGCTCATTAAAACCGGACCAGCGCATTTTGAAAATAACGGGTTTTCATCACAGAATTTACGATTTTTTAACTTCAACACAGTTTTAAATGCTTGTTGTTTCCCACCAATTGTTCATCTATAAATCACCAAAATAAAAATATAATTAAATAAAATTTATTTGTTGGAGGAAAATTTATTTGATTATTTTTTATTGTCGTGTTATCACTCATTATGCGAATTTGGTTCCACAAATAATTTTGATAGCAAAAGTAAACCGGCGTATTGACGTTGAACTTACATTTCAATATTTGTTGACAGTTCAATGTATCGCCCATGTATTTTCGTTACGAATTCAAAGTTGCTGAATATTGATATTAAAATTGCTAGATGAACTGATGATAAAATATTAGACAAAAACATTAAGCAAAACCCGACTTGTTGAACTTCAGAGGATTAAGTTTCTCGACAAACGTTGTCCTGATACTTACCTCTCTTTAAAAAAACAAAAGCATTGAATAACACATTTAAACAAATTGATGATAACTCTGAATGAAAATATCATTCAGCAACCCTGTAAATTACAAATTAACACAATGAGACTATTTAAACCTTTAAGATGAATTGTAAATTTGAATTTAAAATTTGCATTAAAAACTTGAAACTAATCTTTTGCTTGCTTTTTAGCTGACTAAGCTGCTTGACAATGGTTTATTAGCTGAGTAATTTTTGACTAGCTGGAAAATATTCCATTGACTTGCATTGACATCATTAGTCAAGCTGCTTTCTCTGTTTAAGCTACAATCGATACATCTGTTTGTCTCTGGTTTCCAGACGATTATCTTAACATCAATTGTTTAATTCACATTGTCAGTTACATCTTTAGAACCGTTCATTAATATTTAGATTAACCCATTCTTCCATTTATTTTCTATAACACCGCTCTCAGTATTCCTATCTTAAAATCAACTCGGGTAGCCCTTTTATCCGCAAAAAGGGCAATCAAAGGGATTCCTATGATAATAAACAAGACATCTTTACATTTATTTGAAACGGCACCTGGATCAAATACTGGTCATGGATGGGCTGAAACTTTTGCTACTACCAAATCCACCTTTATTCCCTTACAATGCTTGGCCGAGTGTCGGTGAGAGGTTCCGCGCAAAATACAGTTGTACTTATAAAATATGAATTATTAAATAAAGAATCTCTTTTATAAATTCATCCACTATCCACTTGTTTACAGAGGTTGGCTCAATGTTATTTATCCTCCTTGGCCTGCACCCGAGCCCACTCCAGCAGAGACGCTTAACATTAAATCACCAAATGTGTTACGACCAATTATTGATAGTCTTAACGAAGTAACAGTTAAATTCACAAAGTTTTGTTACGAAAATAATAAACTGTCTGAGGATTGTGTTTAATCATGAATGGTTGCAGTTTCATTATAGCGTTAATTACAATTACCTTTTATCATCAAACAAGTCCAATTGTGATTACAATTTAAATTTCGTTAAGTGTTGGTTACACAATTGTATCAGACACTATCATTGCTCCATAGTTTCCATATTCCGTCGTTCTCCGTGTCTTTTGGTCTCATCTATTGTAAGTCTTTACTGTTTATGATATTCATAACCAACATGATATACAGCAACAGCATTTTAAATAACAACAGACTTTGAAAGATAAACGATTAAACAAAATACAATTTGACTTTATTGAACGTAGTTTCAAATAAAATGCCTACACTCAAAAGTCTTTATGTGATATTTTAGCCCAGAATGGCGTACTTTAAACAAACGCATGGAGCTGACCATAAGTCGAAAGTAACTTGTACCCTAATATCATAATTAGTCCTAGTAATTAATACAAACTATCAAATTTAAACGGTTTTTTGTCTTTTTTAGTACGAAATTGAAATAAACTGAAAATTGGAACTGAGGATTGTGAAGCAATTAAACTCTTATTTGTGGAGCATTCAGTTCAGATCGATTTATTTGTTCAATATATTTCCCAAGAAGACAAATTCGTAACACAGAAATTATAATATGGATAATAAAAAATATCAATGCCGCACCTAAAAATGTATTGAAGTCCAAGTCGAATTGCTTTTCCATTTTTGATTTAAATTCAGGAGACCTACCTGATAGAGCAATCCCAATAAGTACGCCAGTTATGGCACTTAAAATTAGCGCTATAATGCAATATATTTGATAGATTTTCAAGACTACTTTAACCTGGTAGATAATAGCTATTAAAAGAATTAAATCAGATCCGATAGTAAAATAAGCGTATCCACGTTGAAATCCAGGAATTTCGACAACATTGATTACATTTGCAATAAAACTTATTAAAACAAGAAACAACAAAAAATTTTTCGCTTTACTGTAAACTTTCCTTTGATTTCCATTTCCTCTCTCCGATTGCATGGTAGATTAAGTGATAAGTTGTAAAGATATTTTCAAAAGAAATTAGATCAACAAGTAAACCAATGATTTCATTCAGTTTTCTGATGAAAAATCTGACTTTGTTGATTGTAAAGTTGAAACTTTAACTAATTTCATGTACTCTTTAAACGAAAGTCAATTGCATATACTGGATATAAAATATGAAAATATGAAACATGAAGGCAATCGAAGGAGAATATGAATTTTTGATTGGATAATAATTGAATCAATTATTGCAAGATACTGCAGTTCTGTGCAATTAAAATACCTTTCTTGATAAATGAAGTTATAAGTCAATCTGATGACTGTAATGGCCAGAAAATCTATTGACTTTATTAGGTTAACTTTGCCTATTCGTCAAACAATTTTTTCTCCCATTTTCTGATTATCAAAAGGGTCGAGCTCAATAGTCTGAACGAAGCAAAGACTTAATATAAAGTCATCCCTACGCTTGTAAAACTTAACACGTTATGAGCGCATTTAATCAATAACCAGAGAAATATTTCATTTACTATATTGACATTAGTTTTGAGCAATACATAAGTGTATTAAGGAATCATAATTTAAGGATTTTCATCAAATACAGTAAAATTGTTTGATTTTTAGAGTTAATCCAAAATAATTGGTTTATTTTTCATCATATCATATTGATAGTTTAAAATGAACCAAAACAGGTTAAAGAATCCAAGAGTTGAACAGAAAATTATTTATTTGTGAATTCAATTCAGTATAATTCTGCATTCATGCACCACGTCCATGGCAAGAAACTGCGAGCCAATCTTGTGTGGAAGCCTCGAGATGTGGGCTTTGAAGAAGTGGCCCTTTTGTAGGAAATTTAGTCTTTTCATTCAAGTGTTTCTATGAGTTGACACAAGGTCTGGCTATAGACAGAAGATCTCGAAGTCTCGTAACATTAACTTCGTTTATACGGTTATTCAACCTTCTTCAAAATTGTTGGGAAAAGGAATAAGCACAGAGAATTTGTCTTTCGAGTTAAGATTAGGACTTTGAGGATATGTAGGGGCATAAAAACTTAGTCCATTAGTGCTATTCGAGTATTTCTCCGATGAACAGTTTTCGGGAAAATTGAGGTTAAAGTCGAAACTTCGATCGCCTTTTCTGCAGGTCTGTGGCCAGATTTTTTCGTCAAAGTTTTTTTAATGTAACTTTTGATGTTCATTCAGTAAATGCACTTTTTGCATAAAATGCATTTTTTGTCTTCTGTAAAATGATCACTTCGATTTTCAGTTAAACCAGTCTCACTCTGTGGCCGTAATGGCTAGAGATCTGAAACTCATTTTTCGTCGATAAAAATGTTTGATGCATTTGGTTGGTAGAACACTTTTTTCAATTTATCGACAGTTCGCTTAATTTTGGCCATTGGCCTGCAAACTTTTAGACTCAATATCTTGCGAATGGCATCAACTACATTCATCATTTTTATACTAATCATTAGATTTTATTATATTCATCTTTGTCTCCCATTTCAAATGAACTGATGGTTTAAACAAAAAATACAGGAGACATGAAACTATCAACTACTGAAGATTCTTTCAGAGATATCTATTAATACATCACCAAGTTTTTCATTAGACATCCAAAAGTATAAAAGTTTGTCTCATTCTTTTCCAATGCTATAAAATCCTACATTTCTTGAAGAATCCAACTAAAAGGATTAGATGAATTTGAATAATAAGAAACAGTTATATCACTAATTAACTATCATCTTTTACCCAAAACCATCTCAAAATGAGTACATATACAAATAATTCTAGGACTAGACCAAGGTTTCGTGATCGAGCCAAGAATCAAATGAATAAATTCAAGTCGGCCGTTTCAAGTGCTTTGCCGTCAGTGACTTCATTTGGAAGCAGTGAATTTGAACGACATCCTAGAGTTTGGGAAAGTTTGGTCACCTCTGGTATTGTAGCATTATTTACCCTAAATGTAGTCTGTGAGTATCCATTTCATTTGATCAACTATTATAAGTTATATTGTAATAACTTCTTTAAAACCATCTCTTTTCAGTCTTGTATCCACTTGTTTACGGAGGTTTCCTCAATGTTATTTATCCTCCTTGGACTGCACCCGAGCCCACTCCAGCAGAGATGCTTAACATTAAATCACCAAATGTGTTGCGATCTATTATCGATCGACTGAACGAAGTACAGTAGTCATTAGACTTAAGTTAACAGATTTTCTTGCGTGGACCGGCCAGCCGCGACAGCTTTTAAGGCGCCGTCTACCCCTTGCTACCTAGGTGTTTTACCGACCCATAGGCGCTAGGCTTTATCCAACTTAGCTGGGAATCCATCAGGAAGGGAGGATGGGATAGTCCAGGGGGCTTAAGCCTGGATTCCGTCGTTTTCCGTGTCTTTACGGCTCATCCATTGTTAGTCTTTACTGGTTTTGATATTCATAATCAACATATATATGAAGATTAGCAGTCTTATCGCCAACGCTAACCACTAGGCTAACGTTAAGTTAACAAAAGACCATATTTTTTTCATAGTCGCCATCTAACAAGAAATAAAAGTACCTTTAAGATCGAATTTAATTTTGTCCATTTCTCTATTGTCTAGTTTCTCTGAAAACTAATTTTTACCGAGATGGCGACACCTGAAAATTAACTTAAGTGTGGCACTATTTTGTTAACTTAAGTCTAATGACTACTGTAACTGTTAAAATTACCAAATTTTGCTAAGGAAATAATAAACTGTCTGTGGATTGTGTTTAATCACGAATAGTTGCAGTTTCTCGTATCTGGCCTAATTATATAAAAAAAGTCAAATCGTCTTCAATGTTATCAATTTGCAAAGAATGAACCTTAATATTGAAGATTAAATTGACCCTTAGAAAATTTATGTTTCTTCGTAATTTTACTTCTGATGAGCTTCACTTTTCTCCTTGCCGCATCTCCTTTAGTATTTAGTTCACTGACACCATTTCTTATTTTTTAAAATTTTCTTGGAAGTTCAAAATGTCATTGAAATAAGCAACCAATTAAACGCACAATTTATCCGTAGATTAACTGATCAAGATAATTTTGGAAATCGAAGCTGTCCGAAAAACTTAGAAGTTAGAAGAAATTTAAACTGACATTTCAATACATTGCAATCTTTCTTTTTATCACAAGAAATGGATATTTTCAGTTCCCTTGAAAAAAATCACCAAAAATCAAATCCAACTTTGCAATATAACATAAAAACTAAGTCTTAAAGGCACCAAAATTTTGAATATTTTCTTCAACAAGTATTGATGATGGTCCATGATCATTTTAATGAAAAGATATCAATTTATTTCTATTCAAGCCAAGTCTTCTCATAACAAATTTTTTTTATTGATGATGAACGAAAAGAACTCGGTTTAAACAGGCTTTTTCTTATCAAGTGATTTTTAGAAATGAATTGAATTTGAACAGCTTATACACATAACGGCCATTTAGGAGTTGTGAAATTTTTTCCTATCAAAGTTTGCCGGCAATTAAAAATTGATAAGGTTAACTAGCCACATCTTGAAGTTCAGCAGGCATAGGTGCTTTTGGATGTTTATTTTCAAAATGTTGCTTGTAGGTCTTGGGATCTGGCATCTGAGACTGTTAGATAAAATAGATTGAAATAGATGGCAGTTAGAATTCGACAGGTGAAGATTAAAACAGCATCTGAACTTACCTTACAAACAGCACAAGTGAAAACAAGAGCCTTTTGAGCAGCAGTTTTTTGATCATGTCCCTGTTGACGTTTCAATTCCTGAGCCTTTTTAGCAGCTTTTTGTTGTGATTGAATTTTCTGTTGTCCTCTAGCCATTTTGATGATCGATTCTGGCAATAATTGACAGTAATTTATAATAAAGATTTAAAACAAAAGAAAGAAAGACGACTCAATGTAAACCACGTTTAAATAACAACAGAAACACAAGAAAATGGGTTTTCTAGATCTTTAGTTTCAACATCTATTTTCAGAAAAAAGAAAAAAGAGTAGAATACTGATGAGGATGCGCAAACTGTCATGTGATGTTTGTTTTGTTTCGCATTTTATTCAAATTTTCACAACATGTAACCAAGTTTTGTTAAATTTTATGCTAATCATAAATTAAATTGTTCAAAATTGACTAAATGATGTATGTTTAGCGAATTTATATGCACGGAATGAATATATTTTAAAGAGGCGAATGTGGTTTTGAGTTCTAAAACCCTTGTTACTGAATTAGAACGCGAATACAGTTATGACTACTGTGATTGTAGATTGTGATTATGTGATAAATTATCAATGATATGAATTAATTAGTGCCCGAAAAGGGCTGCTTTTTTGCGAAATGAGTAATTGATAAATTGAATAATGAATGAAAGTAAATTTTCATGTTGGAGACTTTGTGAAATTTAATGGCAGTTAATATCCTCATGTTTTATACCAATCAACCAAAAACGGTATTAATTATTGATTTCACGGTAAATTTGACAAGCACAGCAAGAAGGAACAAAGAAATTATCTGTCGATGTCGTTTGTCCATTTATATCCAATGCCAATAGCTTTTTCTTTATGTATTTCTGTTTACATCTTGTTTTATAACCAAAAGGAAGGGAAATCGATGATGAACACGAACTTCCAGCTTGTCTGAAAAATAAAAGGAAATAAAATCTGATTAATCAAATGCAATGGTATAATCATCATCTAATCAAACAATTCGAAGGATGTTTTGTGTAAACATTTCCTAGCTTTTAGTATTAATGAATATTCCACTTCATTGTGAATAATTCAAATAAGTAAAGTTCAATTGCGAGTAGCTTTGGGAATGGAAAAATATTAAACCTAATTCAGGTTGAGAAAAGAAAGTTTAATCATTCGCCTGCTGATAGATTTTAACATCAACAATTATTGAATTTATCTAAAAGCTTAGCTTTTTACCTTCCTTTCCCTTAAAATTGCTAACAGAAATTTCCTGATGAATTATATTTTGATAATAATAAATTGTAGAGAATAGATTTTAAAACAGTGTCTAATAGCTGGATAACTTACAAGCAAACCTCTACTTTGATTATTTGTTTTAAACGAGAATCTCTATCACCAAGATTAACAATGTATTTCCATTCAGATTTGTCATTTAATGCAGCTCTCGGAGTAATATACATTGATTTAGTTGCACAAATCTCTTCTCCAAGATCATCGTCAGGTGGATCCAATTTTCTACGAGTCCGATTAACTTTCGTACTATTGGCATTATTGGCATTAGTATTTGTTAACACTTTAGTTAATGATGAAGATGTTGAAGGTAATGGTAATGATAAAGGAGCAGGTGATGATGTAGGAGTAGATGATAGTAAGGGTGAAGATCCTAGCCAGGCTGATGTATTGACAGTACTAGTTAAAGCACCAATTGATGGGTTATCATTTACTTGCTGTAAACCATCATTAACACTCTGCCAAGCATCTAGAATTTGTTTTGGCAAGGAACTTGATCCAACAGATCGACGATCATTGCTATTGGAGTTTAATTTTATCTTTCCTGATCCTCGGGTATCATTTTTCTTCAACCCTGTTGTAATAAAAGAAGATGAAAAACTACAATTAATACGTGTTTGAACCATCATTGAAAACAGCAAATGAGAAAGAAAATGTTTACTTACCTTTTGGGTTGCTTTTCAAAACTGGTGGATCTTTTAATATGGGTTGTTGATCATTTGAGGATTCATCTGAAAATATACTTGTGAAGTTGAAATTAACTGAATTGGTTGATTTAATAATGTCCAAAATTTGTTCACTGTTGAGAAATATAATCACATGTAAAATGAAAATGAAAGAAAACAAAAATGGCGTCAGTTTAGTTGCAAGGATCAGAGTGAGACAAAAGGATGATTAACGAGGACAAAAGTGTTACTCACAGTGGATAATGATCAACATCTTTACACAATGTTTTACCAACTTCAGGACAATTTTGGGGACTAGGAGGGTGAATCTTGCTTGTAATTAAATTGGCTGGTAGTTTGTAATCAGAATAGAAATAAGTTTCATCAGGATATGGTGGGGACTTCCAATAATCTTTTGAATAAGGTTTACTTTCATATAAGTCAATCAAAGGGATAACAAATACCAGGTAACTGATTAACAATAAGATTTTCTAGACATTTTATGGACAAAAAAAGAGACAATATAATGAGTTATTAGTAATAAATTGTACTTCAGATCTCAATTGATCATAAGTATAAAGCGCTGACAATGTTTTAAAAATATACAATCCGAAGCATCAATTTATCTAAATTTTTAAGAGCTGATTCCATTGAGTAAAGCAATCATTTCTGGGTAAACCTGGGTCAAGAGACAAGATTGCTAAGTTTCCACCCAATATTTACATTGCAATTTAAAATTTTCAATGATCTTTCAAATGAATTCATATCGTCAATCATTTACACCTTTTGGTGCAATCTACAAGGCCAATTCAAGTGTTGCTCATCTGCGATGAAGTTCACCTAAAATCAGTTTTTTGTCAAATCTATTCCAGCTCAAGGTTAAAATTAGATAGCAAAACCAGTCAATTGAAGCGATTTGAGTAGCAGAAACAAAAATCGCCATAAAACAAAACAATGATGAAACCAGATTAATCTATCATTGCGGCATGAACAATTTATCAATTGAAACTAAACTTGAACCAAATGCTTTGATTTAACTCCCTAACAATGAAAATTTCAATCATAAATAATTTTCAATCACCTCTCAATATAAATATGAAAACAATTGGTAACAAAAAGACACTAACTTACCATATTATGGATTCAAAGCAGAGCTCCTTTATAATAATCCAAAAATCCAAAGTGATTAAAACAGCCACTTCATTTGATGGCTATCAGATCATTTTTACCGTTGATTATAAATTAGTCGCCAAGTTCAAATTTCTTACGATGGTACAGAATAAAATCAATTATGTTGGCCTAGGAGTTGGTTTAAGATCCGATTTGAAACAAGTGTAAATTTTGAACAAAGATTATCAACTTGAGATCATTGTTTATAGTCTAATCTGTGGCTCTGAGATCGCTGAAGCTAACTAAACTTGTTAACCCAAAATATTAATTGTAGGAGACTAACAATTGAAATTGCTTGAAAGCGAGAAAGATTGAAAGATTAAGTATGAGACAAGATCAAGAGCAAGCAATGAATACGTGAAAAAAGACTGAAATGGTTTCTCAAAAATTATAACCGGATCTTAGGATAGATTGTTACGAGCTCTGAAATTCACTCATCCATTTGATCCAAGGTATATAGTGACAATTACTCGTAATCATGATGTTTAATTCAAGGAGATTTACAATTTAAGTGAAATACAGAGCAAGAAAGAGAGGTAAACAAGAGCTTGAATATAAACTAAAAAACAAAATTAAGTGAGGCCATTAAATGGGACAATTTAAAGATTGTAAGATGAATCTTAATGCCAAATGACCTTCCATCTCTGGCCCAAGGCTTTTATTTTTAACTGATTGCACACAATATAAACGTAGGATTGTCTATTAACCTTTACCAAAATAAGCATCAAATTATCGTAATATTGGGTTAATTTTGGTAACAGGTGAATATTTATAACCTAAAACTATGACTTTATAAATAGCGGACATTAAGATATTATTGATCATCTATTGATAAGTCATAACAATACTTATGTAAACGATTCACTTGAGTATAATGCCAGTTAGGACTTGTTTCATTAATTTTGTTCATTTTTAACGCATTCTAACGATTGTAAGAACAATTGTCACTAATTAGTTGGTATTGTTTGAATTGTTTGAATTATTATTCACTTGAAGATATGATTGAATAATTTGGAAGCAAAGTTCAAATGCAACACTCCATAAGAACAGGTAAATGGCTGAATTAGCTTGGATAAAATGTTAAACAAATCATTAATATCGGCCTTTCTAATGCATTATCATATATTATGTAAATTGATCTAGTAAGCCTTTCGATTTCATTGAAAAAATTCTACAATTGCATTCATCGCAATTACAATTAGCTGTCAAGCTTGGTGTAAGATTCAAGTTTAAAGTTACTCATACAAAGATATTACTTTCACAAATCAAGTCATTGGTATCAACTATTGGACATGAACCATTTTCACTGGTTTAGCTTAATATTCATTATAAATTCAATTCTTTTGCCTATTCAGATTATTCTACAGGCTTGGAAATATTATATCCATAGTTTACCGTGAATCTGTTGAGTTTATTTTGTTCAAATAAATTAACTGATTGCTTTCAAATGAAGAAAACAATTTTAATTGATAGATTTGGATAACTAATTTTGATGTAACAAACAATCGACTCAAGGTCTGACGAATCTCGACAAAATTGTTGTGTTGATTATAGTGATTGGTGATGATTGATAAAAATATAAACTATTGCTTCCTTGATTTTCTCTGCATTGACAATCCAGACTCAAGATTTCAGATTTATCAGTGAATTGTAATTTTAATTTGATGATTGTTTGATATTGTCCTACTCTTGAAAATGATCGAACGAGCAATCAGTAAAATTAGATTGTCAATGATGTAATTATTTAGAATCAATGAAATGTAAACCACTTGATGATGGAAACTTGTATTTTCAATACTTGAGAAATGAAAATATTGCGCCGAAAATGAATCCATTGAATCAATAGAAGAGAAATTTGAAAAAAGAATGAACAATATCGGAATTATGAAAGCTTTTTAATCACCAGTCAACAATAATCTTAATATTAAGGTCAATCAATGGTTACCAAGTATTTGTAATCAATAAGGTAAATAGGTGTTTTGACAGGTTTGGGAAACAATTTTTATCTAGATCCAATGACACTTGTTGGAAAGTAGAGTAAAATATAAGGACTTGAGAGTTTCATTTGACGATCATAACAGTGTTTATAAAAACAAGTGATTGTTTAAATGTTGATTGTGCGCTCAATTTGTTCAAATAAAGCTTTTTTTCCATGAAGATAAAGTAGGAAGGAAGCGAGACAGAAAAGATCGTCTGAAGATTTTCTTATATAATAGTGATATCAAAAAAACAATCATGAAGTTAATATTAAGAATAAATGAGAAGTTATTGCCAGATTATTGAATAGAAAGGGAAGAGAAAGGGAAAAGGAAAGGGGAGAAATGAGAGGACAAAGCAAAGTTAAGTTTGTCATGGTTTGTGCTAAATCGATTGGATTGGTATCAATCTGTAGATAAATTAATGAGTGGTTTCATTTGTTGGGATAGTTATGTTGACAACAGATTCAGGAGTGGCTGTTGTTGGACTGGATGATGCAGCTGATGGTGAAGCTGATGGTGAAGCTGATGGTGAAGCTGATGGTGAAGGTGTTGATGTTTCCAGGTTGGCCATTTTATTCATTTGACCCATAAATAGGTTAACTCCGGTCAGCCTGTCTCGAATCATAAACAAGAATGGTCGATCAGCGACAAAATCTTCTGCTGGGAAGTAGCTCATTCGAAGAACGGTAACAATCAGGGTTGCCGCTGCAGCAACTGAACCTTCCTCATCAAGTTCTAGGAGAGCCTTCTGAATCGATTGGGATACTTTTAATTCAGATTTTTCAGCAATGTTGGGAAGTTGAGCAAGATCACCAAATGGAAGGTCCATTCCCATGCGTGGTAAAATTTCATGCAACTTGTGAGTGTCCTCTAGTTTAAACTTGGGAATACTTAAAGCACGCAGTTTCGTTTGACTCATTGAGCTCAAAAGGTTGTCCAGTTCAGTTGCGTTCAATGTTGGTACCAAGTTGGCAAGGGTGTTGGACTCAGTTGGCATAATGAAGATCATGCTTATATTTCCAATGTACGGAAGCTCAACAACCTGTTAATGGAAAGCAAAAAAAGTATATTTTAGTAAAATCATTCAATGATACAATGAAATTAAAAAGGCCTGAAGCCTTCAGGCTGAAGGCGATAGCTCAACGACACCAAAATGATTAAATGATGAGAATTGATGAATCTAGGAAGCAACCAAGAAACTTTGATCCTAATCTTTGTCTAGCTAATAATTAAACACAGTTCAACCCATGATACAAGAAAATCTTAATAACATGAATCATTGGCAAAAAGGTTTAGCAAATTTTTGTTGAATAAAGTCTGCTTATGTCATAAGACTGAACAAAAAATGAAAAAAGTGAAAACAAAGGCTTAATTTGTAACAGATTTCATCGGCAAATTATCGATTAGATGATAAAAGCTTAAGAAAAGATAAACATTTACTATTAATATTCACATTTAGATGAGATATTTTGAACGGATTTCCCTAGATGTAACCTTCATGGTTATTTTTTTGCCATTTTGTTCACCAGTGATTCAATTATTTGCTTACTGCTACTTGATGTCAATATCAACAATGAGTGGAAGTGAAGACAATACATATTTTTATTAGTAAATTGTTTTTCTTGAGAATTTTTTATATCTCATCTTTATGATTGAAAAATATTGAAACAAGATAAAGGCGTCAATGATGAGCTGTCGTCTTATTGTTGATTGATGCATACAAATATTGACTTCACATGGTGAAAACAAAGCATTGAATTGAAAACTTTGAATGGACAATCGATAAAAATTCAAGATTTAATCAAGAATTAAATGATTCAACTAATCTGTGAACAATCACTTTTCTGTAAAGGGTGGAGTTGACGGAAATCATGCAAAAAATCATGTAAACTATTAATGATTTACATGAGTTTCCCAGATTACTTTGTCTAGATGGAAATATTAACAATTTCAACAAAACTGAGCATTTCAATTGTTTTTGAAACTTTAAAGTAATAGAAACAGATGAATCACATCACTGTGAAGGGATTGAAAGAGTCAGGTAAACAGAAACGATTCAGTCCTTGAGGATATTTTCTCGTTTTTTTATCAATCATGAAAACAGCTTCTTTCAAATCAATTACACTGAGAAACAAATCACTAGCCATGATGATAGAAAACTAGTTTAAAAAAACCAGCATGATAATGAAGGGAATAATGGAGGGACAGGTTCGAAGTGAGTGATAAATGAAACAACGAACAAGCTAATATATCAAGATCAACAGATTCATGATTAAATTCATGATTAACAATATTACAGAAAATATCATTGAGCAATTGCCTGAAAGTTAATCAATCATTTCAGAGTCTACGAGTGAATTTTGTTTCGTTTTATTACCTCTTTACTAGCAAACTGTAGTTTGTAATAAAGAGAATCATTTTTAAAGATTTAAGTGTTTTCCTATCAAATTATGAAATTAGATTTACCTTGACTTTCTTGTCTGAATTATGTACGAAATTGAATCTTTTGTCTCGTAAAGTCATCATTTTGACCTTACTTAAAGTACCGTCACCATTGGTAAATGTATCATCGATTGTGAGTCCTTTGGGGAAAGGTTCTTCCCATCGTCCTTTGAAATATAAGGTGTTAACAAGAATCAAAATGGTTGCTTCATCTGGTGGATTTGTTAGTATTTTGTTGATTTTATTCTTGGTTTTCTCAGAGATCCATGAATTGAGCTTGTCCATAACAGCGGTTCCATTGGAGAAATCTTCATTGGTTGCTTGAGCGAAATAATTGGTCATTAAACTCTGGGCAAATGCTTCCTTGAGTTTAGCGTTTTTGTTGACCATAGCCAGATTGCCCATAGCCAAAGAAAAGTTACGATCACTTGTGCCATCTTCAACCAATTTGTAAGCCTCAAGCAGCTAATGGGAATGAGTAAAATGAAGAAAAAAAAATTCTTAAGTAATGGTAAAACTGTCAATCGTTTGAGGAAAAAGCGCGGTTTTGCGAGTTCATTGAAATGATGCAAATACGTATAATGAAAGTCAATAGGAAGAAATGAAACGAGAATTTAAGGACAATGGACTCGACATAAAAGTTCAACAATGATTATTGTTGATAGAATCAAAGAAAGAAAGAAGCATTATTTTCCAATTCAATATACGCTATACACAGAAATACAAAATATCAATTGAATGCTTTGTTTATTTAGCTCAGTAAAAAGGCAGCAATTAAACCTAATTTACCTGATAATTTGTAAACCAAATTATACCAAATCAGTCTAAATCTTCACGAACAAACATTTGATTGTTGGAGAGAGGAGTTTAAAGTAAAATTGATTTGACCGAAAAATAATTTGGTTAAATGCCAGATTACAAGTTAGTGACAAAGCAAAGCAATTAAAGAACAAAATAAAATAGCAATCAATCAAGCTACAAATTACTTTTCAACTGACTAGCAGCTAATGAAATCATTTTATAAAACCTAGGAAAATAAAAAACAAAACAGTTTTAATTAGCGCTTACTTTTTTGCTTGCTTTAGAAATATCAGATGTTTGATTACCAATGGAGGATAATTGGAGAACAGTCTTAATTTGCTGTTCAGTTTCACCAGTAGCACCTTCCAAAAGCATTCCATAGGCAATAATAGCACTTAGCGGCGAGAATAGTACATTCTTTGGACTGCCATTCGAGTTGATTTGTTCCAAGAAACGAAGTCCGAAATCATTGCTGGGACCACTTAGTTCAGACATGACGAGGTTTGGTGACGATGAGTTGGACATTATTTCCGAATTGGAATATTGTAGACTCACCAAGCTGAAAATTACTAAACTGAAAATGAAAGTCATCCTTGAAAACACTTGATGTTTACAGTAACCATCTACTACATAACAATTTTCAGTCAATCATCGACATTTATAAACGTTTTATAACCAAGGAAGGAGGAGAAATGAGCAAAAATCCTCAACCTTGTTAGTGGATACTTCTGTATCCAGATGGCGTAATTTTCTGGGTTCAATAGAGATTTCAAAGCCAATTCATCTTCCTAAACATCTTGTCCGAATTTCATGTTTATTGTCAATTATCTGGTTCGTTGTTAATTAATTTTCAACTCAAATATAATGGAAAATTTTACAGCTATTCTGGCTTTTAGGTAATTTTTTCTCTCACACCTCTTCCTCTGAGCTTAGCTCAGCTCAAGTCAACAAATTGTTTTCGTTGGATCGTCTGCTTTTTAACTGTGCATATTTATTTCTTAATTTTTCATGTGCCTGATCGTGTTAATCGATTATTCATTGAGCTAAACCCATTGATAATCCGTATTTTGTGTCCTTAGGCCTAAGGTTATGACACTGAACTGGTTTCTTTCATTTCTTTTTGAGAAAGGGTTGCTAATATGACTTTTAACAATTGATTAAAATTAATTGATTGGAGCTGTTTAATCGTGATGAACGAGGTGTACCATTTTGACATAAAACACCATCTCTAATAAAATCATACATGTAAACAAATAATGAACACCTTTATAAAAATGTCCGGTTTTGTATAACAATAACATGCTACACCCATATGAAATATACCTTAACTCAATCAATCTCAATGGAAATTACTCCTACCACCAACTCTTTAGTATGAAATTAATTGATTACTTAATCAAGGATAAACATGGTCAAACCATACCTAATGGGATCATTTAGTAAAAAAGATGAACTCACCTACAAAACGGATCACCTTGTGAATAGTGTATAAATCCTAGAATGAAATCTCTTGATTATATTTGATGTTGTCTTTTCCTTTTGAAAGAATATATTGACAATAACTCTTTTGAATATCCAATTAACTATTGGTTGGGAATTTATTTTACCACAATTGACATTTATTACTCTAAAAAACCAATATGAATTCAACAGTTTGACACAAAAGCTTTATTGTTACCAGATGAAATGCCAAGCTCATTATTGAAGTAACAGAAGACTAGTACAATGGATACAGAACAGCATCAACATATTTGCTTAATAAACTTTATATTTTTAGATCAAGGTTGACATGATCAGATTGCAAGGGAAAATTAAATGAATTTATTCAATATTCCACCAAAGAATGAAAACTAACGTAATATAATTCATCTAATAATTTTTCCAATCAAATAGCCTGTAAAATCCAGATGAACCCATCATACGTCAGGTCCATTACAACCATCAAATCAACCATTAAAAATTATCCGTACCTTTAAAATGATCCGAAATGATTCAATTGTGACAATCTAATCCAGGATTTAGTACAAATTGAACTAATTTTATTGGGTTGATAATTAAAGACAATAAATTGAGTTACAATTGTAATTCAATTGATACAGCTGTGCTGCCATCTATATTTATTATTTTCAACCATTTATGGTAGCAAGTCTTTGCTATCAAAACTGCAATAAAACTAATCTCGAGAAAATGTAAATTGCACAAACCAATTAGTTTACTAATTTGTTTGAAGTCTTAATTAGTAATATAATTTTACTATGGATTTTTATTAACCTTCATTACCAGGTGCATAAAGATTCAACTCAATATTATGGCTAATGATGAAGAAATTTCAAAATCCTTGAAAATTGAACTGTTTCCAGGATGAGTCGACTTGCTAAATGTATCTTTCATTTTGTTGATAACAAAGATATAATTATTAACGACAAGCCATGATTATTATTTAATTAAGGTATATAGCTGAAAACTTCTGAATGAAGACAGAGTTAATCATTGATGCAGAAAAAACAGATGAAAATGAATAAATCTTAAACAAGCTAAAAGTATAATCATCACAAGAGATTGTCAACAAGCAAAGATAACATTAATCTGATTCTGATAAAGACAAGAATGTTTTCTGTTTTAATTCATTTTCCTAAGAAATTAACAGACTAATTGTTGATCAAGACAAGTTAACAATAGAAACATTGATCAACACTTTAAAATACAACGTATAGCCATTTCAAAAACCAGTAAATCTCTGATCTTTTCCCATCAAGTATTCACTTCTCGCTTAGCCTGGAAATAAGTCGAAACTTTTAAAACCTTTACACACTAATCAACCAAATTATTTTAACGTTCATATCGTGCAACTATTAGCAAACTTAAAGGACGCTTACAATGAAAGAGTTGACATCAGAAGTGATTAACATTGACAAATGGATTGAAAAAAATGGTCCCTACCTAAAACCTCCAGTTGGTAACAAATGTATTTTTAACGGACAATTGAAGGTTTTCCTGGTTGCTGGGCCAAATCAACGATCTGATTATCATGTTGAAAATGGTGAAGAGATATTCATTATGCTTAAAGGTGACATGGTATTAAATATAATTGAAAAAGGTAAACCCAAAAGCATAACAATTAAAGAAGGTAAGTCAACAGTCATTTTATAATCAAAGCCTTGCTTGCAACCTAAACTTTACATTTAACCCAATATTTATGTCAAATTGAATCTTGTGTCTTTGCGACTGTTTTTAGTTGATTCACAATCTGATTGTTTTATTTATCCTTTGTTTACATTTCAACAGGGGAAATATTTGTATTGCCCAGTCGGATACCTCATAGTCCACAGCGATTTGAAGATACCCTTGGTATGGTCATTGAAAGGGAAAGATTACCAGAAGAAATGGATTGCTTACGATATTATTGTGATTCCAATTGTGATCAAGTATTGTATGAGAGATGGTTTCATCTTGTTAATCTTGATGTTGACATTAAAGCAGCGATTGATGCATTCAAAGGTTCAATTGAATGTGAAACTGGTAAACCAAGTCAACTGTATGACAATTCAACCGCTCCTCATCCAGATGATGTCCAAAGCCAGGTATTATCTCCTATTTATCTACTAGATTGGTTTAAATACAACTACCAGAACATTTCAGATGGATTTGCATCCATATGGGACAGTTCAAAGGAGTCGAAAGTTGGCTTTTATGGTCCAGGTAAACATATTGTCGTCTCTGTTCAACATGAGCTTTTTGTTTGGAATCTTGGTTCATATGCTAAAATAACAATTGATGATGACAGTCAACATAAATTAACATTCAATGATACAATGATTATTGACCGAGGCTCTGTTATTACTCTCGCTTCTGATGGGCCAACTTTCGTTGCCTCCATGAAGCCAACTCAATAGAAGCAACTATTGAAACAATCTATTAATCTAATAATATCAAGTGTCATTAAATAATCATAAACTTGTACCATTTATATCTCAATTTTAAATTAAGACTTGGTAAATGATAAAGCAAATTTTTCTGAATAAAGCAACAGTCAATTTACGCCTAAGCCTCGTTATAATTAGAATTAATTTGTCGGTTAGTAACAATATGATTAAAATCATTCATTTAATCTCTTTTTATTTACGTCAAATTGTAAGCTAAATGTTTATTAACTAAGATCAGGATAATCTGAAATGATTAACTTTATCTTACGAGGGAACCGTCAGAATTGTTAAATCGATATAGATTTTATTGGCCGCTATCTGTACATTAGACGCTTATTGAACGAAACTAGTTGCCACCTTTTCGATTTCGGCATTGCATCGTCTTTTTTCTAGAAAAAGTATGCTTTTCAATGGACATTTGTATTTGTTTCATTAGATGTATAAAATGAATGCTCTTGTTGGATTGTTACTAGAAAGACACAAAAAACACAATTTTCACATTTATTCACAAATGGGCAAAAAGCGGGTAAAAATCAGTTTCTTAATCATCTAATCAGACTCTGTTGCTTTGTTAGGACAGCATTAATGTTAAGTAAACATTTAGTTAAGATAAGTGGCGCGAAATCACGAAACTTCAAATCAATTTGAGTTCGATGTTTTATTTGTAAATTAAATATTATTTTTTTAGTTTTATTTATCAATACATTAAAGTTAATCTTGTAAAATGCATAAGTTTATTAAGGAATCAATAATTTGAGGAGTTTCATCAAAAATACAGCAAAACTATTTAATTTTTTGAGGCTAGTTCAAAATAATTGATTGATTTTTCATTGAATCATTGCATAAACAAAAAAGGTGAAATATTATTTATATATAATATAATATTTTATTATATATATAATATATAATATAAGAATCCAAGAGTTTAAGTACACCATCTATGAAAATAACTGTAATCCACAGGATCTACCTGGATATCTCTGGTAAGATTATCGCAGATAGATCTACAATATTCACTGTTTTTATTGGGTATTCTGTATTCCATATGATCTTTGAACTGTTCCATGGTCAGTTTGTGAGGATAAAAATCAACTGAAAGAGGATCGACTTTAATAGATTTGATAATGTTGGAAGTAACATTATCAATATCCTTCTCTATCAATGTTAACATAACGACGTCTGTCTTATCAAATGATGATTTCGATGAACCACAAGAGCTTTCCAGTTCCGAGGTCATTTTCTTAGTAAATTCGGTGTTTTCATGATACACATTTGCTTCACTTGGAAACGTGCGAATCACCACATCCTCTTCCAGAAGTCCTTCGCCAGCCACGTGTGGAGTCCTCTTAATAAACGGGTAATTGATGCCGGATCTTAGCGCTACATGGGAATATTTAGATTAGAAATTAAATTTTACTGAATTCGAAAGTGTCTAAAAGTTTTCTTATTCCAGTTTTATTTGGAAATGTACATTATGAGCCTTGTAATCATAATATTGTGACATTAACCTCGTGAATGCAGTAATTGTTGGTAATAAGGACATTGCAGTCAGAATTTCCACTTTTCGATCCTCGAAATATTTCGAAATAGCTTTCCACTATAGACAGCATTATTTCATGATTTCATTCTTAAAGATCATTTTTGGTTGATAGAATCTCATGGATGGGAGAAAAGCTACGACCTAGGATGATCGGTATCCGGAAAAAGAACCTTACTGGTTCGTTAATGGTCCAGTTAACTAGATTGCGGCCTCCCATTCAATCTTAAATTATACAATTGTATAACCAACACTTAACGAAATTTAAATTGTAATCACAATTGAACTTGTTTGATGATAAAAGGTAATTGTAATCAACGCTATAATGAAACTGCAACCATTCGTGATCAAACACAATCCTCAGACAGTTTATTATTTTCGTAACAAAATTTGGTGAATTCAACAGTTGTAAGCATCTCTGCTGGAGTGGGCTCGGGTGCAGTCCAAGGAGGATAAATAACATTGAAGAAACCTCCGTAAACAAGTGGATACAAGACTGAAAAGAGATGGTTTTAAAGATGTTATTACAATATAACTAATAATAGTTGATCAAATGAAATGGATACTCACAAACTACATTGAGGGTGGATAATGCTACTATACCAGAGGCGTCCAAACTTTCCCAAACTCTAGGATGTCGTTCAAATTCACTGCTTCCAAATGAAGTCACTGACGGCAAAGCACTTGATATTTGTCACTGATATTATCAAGATGATCTATTGCGTATTTAGCAGCCATCTCAAAACCCTCAGTAATACGAATGGGGTGAAGCCCTTTATCGAGTAGTAATTCAGCTTGAGCTAAGAGAGCTCCAGCAAGAACTGGAAAAATAAAATAAAATTTATGAGTGTTGGTCAAACTTCAGAGTATTGGTATATTAACATAAATCCATACAACGGTTTGTTGATCGATTAAATTAATCTAGCACAGTGTCTGAACAATTTTACCAAGCAAAAATGGTAATTGAAATTCGCGATTAGCGATTTCGTTTTCAACATCCATCATCTTAAGTATAGTTGCCCCATCATTAGTTATGGTTACATCTCCATCAGAAGAGACCATCATTTTATCCAAACCTTTGGGTCCAAGGGAGGTTTGAATGATGGTTGAGATAGTTCTTGAGGCAACAATATGTGCCTGATATGAAAGAAAGCATGACAAAGAGGAAAATTAACAATTTAGAATGGAATAAAACAATTAAATGTTAAAAGATAAAAGAAAGTAAAAAAATTATTAAATCAAACCTTAAAAGCCTCAAGTCCACTGAGACGTTTTTGTTTCTCTTTAAGAAGAAAGAAGATCTCTTCTCTTCTCTTTTCTGGTTCCTTACCTTATAGCATCTGTGCATACACAAAAAAGTAAGTAATCAAATTTTTTAAACCTTTAATTTGTTATTTCGTTTCAAAAAAGTGAGGAATGCTGATTACCCATAGACTTTCATTGTTAGTTATGCAAAATGAAGCTCAAATGTTTGCGGTCAGATAAATTAACATTTCTTTCTACTTTTTTGAAACGGAAAACACTTCAGGCAAACTTGAAGATGAAGAGGATGAAGAACTGACGGGTTCTCGTTTACCCTTACCCCCATTTAACCTTACCGTGAGTGACTCCAAATCCGAATCTGGGATCCACTTTCTTTTCTCCCTTGTCTTCTCTGAACATCGCTCCAAAATGTTTTATCATTGTTTCAACAAAATGTCTGCTTTTTATTTTGTTGGTTTTTTAATATTTGTATCCATCAATGGCATCCAATCTTCGAGTTTCAACGACTGTCAGGCAGAATGTGTATACGTCCAAATGTTAGATGGGATTATAAATTTACCAACAGAACCTGGAAAAAATTGCTGCTGGATCATCGAGTTTTACACTCCTGATGATGAGAGAGTTGAATCCTTCTTGTTCCTGCAAACTATTGACTTAGAAAGAGGTGATTTCTTGAGTCTACACTCCATTGCAGATACTAATTACACTTCACAACTCTTCAACATAACAGATTCGCTGTCAAATCATTTATTTTTCACTGGTACCAAGAAAAATTTATTGATTCGCTTAACCACCAGCTCTGCTAACTCATCGACAAGGAGTTTCCATTTATTCCTAGAAAGCCAAATGTATGAGGCTCTAATACCAATTTTAGACGACACAGTTCTCAAGCTACTACCTGTTGCAGGTAAACCTGATGTCGCAAAAGCAGATTGGACTTTCAACTTGGCCCTTTCTGCTAATCAAAACAAGAAAAAACTGGCTGCTAGTGTCGATTCAAAATCTACAGGTATTGTGGTAAAATTTGAAAAAATTTGGACCGATCTAACCCCCGATTACTTAAGTTCAAATGAAAAAATTGAACTAAGACTGTTTATTCAAAACATTTCATCTGCTGGAAATTACTTGGCTATATCTGTTTATTCCGTTACTGATGCATGCAGTTCCTATACTTCATTAACTGTTAAAGATCCCAAAACAACTGTTGCTGTTAAATCAGAGGACCTAAAAAATTTAATCGACGTGAAATGTCTCTGGATTATCAATGCTGATAACCCAGACAATTGGCTCAACATTAATTTCGACTCGAAAGAGCCAATCGACGTGAAGGCTGGCAACTTTTTCGTGATTCGAAAAGGTAACCGCAAATCATCACCTGTTATGTTCATAATTTCGTCCTCAAATTTTGCTGACATAAGGGCCAACATTTACAACTCAATTATCGACTCATTCGCGCTTTACATCACTTATGAGGCATTCGAAACCAACGGTGAACACCCACATTTTGATGTTTTACGACCTGTTGTCAACAATTACATTGTTGGTGGGCAGAAACTAGATTTCAGTATTCCTAACATGCCAACAAAATTTTTATTCAAAGCAAACGCAAATTTCAATGCTGTTTTATCTGCTGCTCCTGGACAAAAATTTGCAAACAACACCTACATTTATGATTCACCTATAATGAGCTCCGACAAGTTGCTTGCTGTTTTCAAAGCAGATGATGTTTGCCCTGACAGCCTCTGGTCAAATTCGGACCTTTTAGTTCTAGATTTTAAAGAACTTCCAAGTAAAATGATTATTGAGCTGAAATCAGAACCTGCTAATCTTGGATCTACTGCTCGGCAAAGCAAAGGCAATCTTGTGCTTTTTAGTAATCAACTTGATTGCAAGAGTTCATACAATTGGTTCATTCCTCCAATACCCACCGACTCAAACCAGGATTATCAGATGGTCAAATCTTTGGTAATTTCTAATTTAGCCCTCGAACAGGGTGGCTCATTGTCTATCAAATCTTATGCATATGGAGGATCCCACGAGTTTACAATTACAGGAGAAAATGTCATGAGCCTGCCAACATTTTACCTGGATTCAAATATTTCTCATAGTATTATTTATCGAAGAGCTGATGTATGTGACAAGAATTCCATAACATTGATCCAAGCATCTATTGACACTATTTCATATGATGCCTGTGCAAATATTGAAGTCACTGCAAAGCAAGATTTCGTTTCTTGTGATTATCCAAACAACTATCCTTTGACAGAATGGACTATGACCAAAAATTGTAGACATATGAACTCTACTTCATCAAATATCTACATTAGCTTCAACGATGTAGACCTCGTCGATAATCATAGTTTAGAATTTCTTGGATCAACAGGGACCGTGAATCTCACCAAATCAAACATTCCTGGTGACACAATTGTTTCCAACAAAGTTGCTATTAACTTCAATAGAGTTTTCAATGGTGATGTGAAAACAGTAAGAACTCTTGGGGAAAGATTGAGTGGCCGAGGATTCAATGCCACTCTTGAACCAATTGAATGTGGAGGTGTTTCTATGAACAAATCTGGCCTATTGAACATAAATGGAACTGATAAACCAGAAAAATGCATTTGGATTATTCAAACACCAATTGAAGACACCAAAACTATCAACTTTCTCAACTTCACCCTCAGTGATGGTCTAAAAGATGCCAAAGTTTATGATTCCAATAGCCGAAAAGATGCTCGCACTCTTAATATAACTGGATCTGGTTATTACAACTCAAGCACTGAAACAATTATAGTGGAATTTACTACCAGTTCTAATCCTGTTCAGATTAACTGGTCTACTATGGGTAATTTAACTTTTAACTTTCTTGTCTTCATCTAACATTTTTATCACCAAACTTACTAATTTTCCAATCATTCTGTTTTCTAGTTTGTTCTGATCGCTGCATCGGTGTTAGAAGATGTATTAATCCATCAGAAAGATGTAATAATGTTAATGACTGCGGAGATTGGTCTGATGAATTACACTGTAATGGTACTGCACCAGTACCTTCAGAACCTAAAATTGTAAAATCAGGAGGTAAGAAATTTTTTTGCATTTCAATTTTACCTTGTTTACATATTTTTTGCAATCTTTTGATTCTTTAGTTCCTGGTCTGATGAATTACACTGCCATGGTACTGTACCAGTACCTTCACAACAATCGTATTAACGATGTACATGTAAGCTTGTTACTTTTTGTTTTTCATTTTATTTATTATGTTTTTTTTGTATTTCCTGACTCTATTTATTTATCTATTTATATACAAATAATTCATTTAGGTCGATGAGATGTATAGAGAAGCTCCAATCGATGAAGGTGGAATGTTCAACTATACTGAATTTACAAAAATCCTTAAACATGGTGCTAAAGATAAAGATGATCAATAACGAACCAACGATGATGACATAAGCAAAAATTATCTATTCATTGATTTATAATACATTTTACAATACTACACTGGTGGCAAAAAAGATAGAGACAGTTGGTTTTTTTCTAATTTTTTTGATTAACTATATTTTTTTGAAACTAAAGTATGTTTAATTTATACTTTGATAGTAACTAGTTCGTTTGGGTCGAAAATTTTACGACAATCAATCTTTCAATTCAATTTATTAGATAATTTTGAAATCTGACATGGCAAAAAAGATAGAGACAAATCATTAATTTTTGAGTTTTTGATGCTTAAGACATTCAAATTTAGCTTAATAATGAGTCTGTGACCCATTAACATTGATTACTTCAAATATACGAACCTCGACCCATAGTTAATTGCACAAATATTTCAAACAAATTACAATGTAGTTGGGGTTGGAAATTGAAAGTGACCCTTTTCTCATTGTTTCTGGCTATTTATACTGAAAAATCAGCTCAAAGATTAAGAAAATTCCTATGAAATGATTATTGTCTCTATCTTTTTTGCCACCCATCTAAGCTAATTGTGAGGATTAGTTGATTTCCCGAGAAAATTTTTCTTGGAAAATGGATCAACTGGTTGAGTTTTCCCTCTAATCTTGCCCTGAAGTACATTTTGTTTCAAAATTCCCTCAAAATCGATCACAATTACCAAAAAACTCACTGTCTCTATCTTTTTTGCCACCAGTTTATATGCTAAGTATATGGTGAATGTAATTTTCATTAGAGATAGAATTCAGAGTTATTTCATATTCTTTGACTCATTCAAATATCTAACGTATATAATATTGAACAAAGTTCAATCCTTCTTACAAGTAACTTAAAGTTTCTATTTGTTTTGTACATGAACGAATCGCATTCTTCAAAGATTACCCGTTTCAAGCAAGGTTTTGTTAAACATAACAATATGTCTTAGTTTGTTAACAATTAGATTTTTCGTTTTTACCATTCACAATTTACAACTGATTGTTGGGTCCATCCAATCCTTAGTTTTACTATTAAGATTTTACTAAAATTAGCTTTAGTTTGTATTGATTCCTTGATCAATAAAGTTCATTTAAACACTATTTAACAGGTTTCAACTTTATTACCTCAACAAAGTTGGCCATAAAAAATCTTGTAAAATTTTGAATGCATTGTCATTTTGGAAATTTTCTGAATGCCTTATTACAATTATATAATTTGATTTTATTTTATAATCAAATTTTCAAAGTAAAAAATGTGATGTCCAATTCGTGCTAAATAACTTGATAGAGATCAACAATAATTTTGAATCGAAGAGAGCATACAAATTGGTCTTCAGGTAGCAAAAATTGCTCCAGTCATGATTATCTAAAGCTAACAATCTAGTCACAAACTGTAAAACTGTCAAGAAAAATCAGAATAAATAAATGAGTCTGAAGGGCTCGAAAAAAAAAATGGAATCTCTTCTTGATATCTCACATTAACTATCGATTTGAAAAAAAAAGTATTTGCATTAGGAAGAAATGTGATTTGCAAAAATGGATGATTAAATGAGAAATTTCACATGAATTCGTATGTGGATGGAATTTTAGGTTACCTCTAGCTTTCAAGGATGAATAATTGGTATGAAGAAGAGAAAACACTTGAGTCTTAAACTCGCAAAATTTCAAGAAAATTGTTGTAGCAAATTGCGATCCAATCTGGTTGTGTAGATGCCCATTGAATTTGATTAATTTCACCTTCAGCATTGTAGGCTAAGAGAGGATCTTCAATGGCTCGTGGCATCTGTGATATATCCCAGATGAGCGCTTGATGATCATCACCTGGTGGACAATGATAAAAGACAAAAGCAAGGTTTACACGATTCAATGCTTGACCAGTCTCTAAGCCCCAAATTGTACATGTTGTATCAATGGATGATGTCCCTATAAGATTTTGGTCCACTTCATTCCAATCAAAAGAGGTGAGAGGTGCACAAAAGTCTCAATTTTTATTCTATAAGAAAGTGAAACATGGTTTGAGAGAAGCAAATAGAGCAAAATTAAAACATTGTCATTTCAAGAATAAGAATATTCGATAGAAGATTCGATTTTATCGATTCTGCTAACAAAGATAATTTAACCTTTAATATAACTAAAGAGGAAATAGATGCGTATTCAAATAAGCTTGACAAATGTTTCAAACATGAATCATATGAAAATCATGAAATTGAATTCGATCTCATGAAACGTGCTCGTTGGCTTTTGATGCTATTGACTTATCAAGTTTATGACGAAAGTCCACTCCAGTCGAGGCCTCCTCTGAATATTAATCTTGAACTGGATTAGTCAACTGCTTCCCTTTTCCCGAAAATTGAAAAAGATGATTATTTCATATTGAATATCATGCATGAATATCGACTTCGTTGATAGAATCTCATGGCGCGGAGAAAAAGCTAAGACATGGGATAATCAGCACCCGGAAAAGGTACCTTACTGGTTCGTTGATGGTCCGATTAACTGGAATGTGGCCTCTCATTCAATCTTAAATTATACAATTATGTAATCAACACTTAACGAAATTTAAATTGCAATCACAATTGGACTTGTTTGATAATAAAAGGTAACTGTAATTAACGCTATAATGAAACTGCAACCATTCATGATTAAACACATTTCTCAGACAGTTTATTATTTTCGTAACAAAATTTGGTGAATTCAACAGTTGTAAGCATCTCTGCTGGAGTGGGCTCGGGTGCAGTCCAAGGAGGATAAATAACATTGAGGAAACCTCCGTAAACAAGTGGATACAAGACTGAAAAGAGATGGTTTTAAAGATGTTATTATATCATTATAATATAATAATATTTGATTAGATGAAATGGATACTCACAGACTACATTTAGGGTAAATAATGCTACAATACCAGAGGTGACCAAACTTTCCCAGACTCTAGGATGTCGTTCAAATTCACTGCTTCCAAATGAAGTCACTGACGGCAAAGCACTTGAAACGGCCGACTTGAATTTATTCATTTGATTCTTGGCTCGATCACGAAACCTTGGTCTAGTCCTAGAATTATTTGTATATGTACTCATTTTGAGATGGTTTTGGGTAAAGGATGAGTTAATTAAAGATATAATTGCCTCTTATTTATTCAAATTCATTTAATCCTTCTAGTTGGATTCTTCAAGAAATGTAGGATTTTATAGCATTGGAAAAGAATGAGACAAACTTTGATACTTTTAAGAATTAATGTTTTATTCCAAAGCAGGGTTAAGATTAGGTGAGTTTTTCAAGGAAATATAAAGTGACCATTTCATTTAAGAAAAAAAAGAAAGCGAAAAAGATTCGAGCGTGTTGAAATGTGTCTGCATATTCAATCTCTTCAGATACTTTGCTCTGGTTTACGGACATCGTCGATTTTCAAAATCATCTTGACCAGTTGAGTTGCTAAAGAGATTTGTTGTTTTTTACTGGTTAGCGTTTCAATGACATTTTGAACTTTCATGTCTGAAAAAAATAAAAAAACGTGTCAGTGGCAAGAGCATGAGGACAATGTTGACAAGGTGGATAAGGGAGGACAGAAAAACTTACCATTGGTTCCCTTGTTAAGACAATCGATACCAAGCCATGGATTATTCTCAAGCTTTTGACGAGCTTTTAGATCTGTAACCACATCAATTGCAGAAAGTCCGCTATTCTCAGATAAAGCTAATGGAATACTGTCCAATGCATCAGCAAAAGCACGAAGAGCATACTGTTCGATTGTGGCAATCTTATTAGCTTGTTCAGCAACAGCTAATGAGCAAGAGATTTCTGCTGCTCCTCCTCCATAGACTACTCGGTTATCACGAACAAGATTCCTCACTACACAAAGGGCATCGTGAAGAGACCTTTTAGCTTCTTCAACAATCATTTTATTACCTCCACGAATAAATATGGTGACAGCTCGGGTATTAGGACACTTTTCAATGACCAGCATTCTGTCTTTGGTAGTACCAAAGCTTACTTCTCTGACCAGACCAGCAGTTCCTAGCTTTTCAGGGCTAAGTTCTTCGAAACGAGGGACAATTCGTCCATTGGTTGCAATAGCAATCAACTCAATTTCAGGTCCACCAACCCATCGAACAGCAGGTAATTCTCTTTGTAAAAGTAAATGATTTGCTTCATCATCAAAACCCCATTGACAAATAACTAGGTTAGCACCAGAGTCTTTGACTCGTTGAACCATGTCATCAAATTTTTCTTGCTCATACTTTCTTAAAGCTCGGTAATCTTCGACAGATTTAACGTCCAACTTATGTTTGGTCTTTGGCTTGGGAGGTTCGAAAGGACATGTGAGAATAGCCAATTTTACATCTTTAAGTTCTTTGGGCATCTGGGGGTGGCTAAATTGCTTATCAACTATCACACCTTTAACTAAAACGGTATCTTCCAATCTACCTCCTTGTTTTGCTTCCATTTTAATTAATTCAAAGTCTACGTCTTTTCTTTCCAAATCAGCAACAGACATTACAGCATCAACTGCTATTTCGGCAAATTGACGGAGACATTTGTTAACAATTTTTGACCCTAAAGTAGTTTGGGCTGTTTTTATAAGAGGTTCCAAATTATCTCTACTAACCGGGAATTTGTCACTGATATTATCAAGATGATCTATTGCGTATTTAGCAGCCATCTCAAAACCCTCAGTAATACGGATGGGGTGAAGCCCTTTATCGAGTAGTAATTCAGCTTGAGCTAAGAGAGCTCCAGCAAGAACTGGAAAAATAAAATAAAATTTATGAGTGTTGGTCAAACTTCAGAGTATTGGTATATTAACATAAATCCATACAACGGTTTGTTGATCGATTAAATTAATCTAGCACAGTGTCTGAACAATTTTACCAAGCAAAAATGGTAATTGAAATTCGCTGTGCTTTAAGAATCTAAGCCAACCCATTTTTATTAACATACCTACAACACCGGTAGTGCCATCACCAATCTCGTCGTCTTGAGACTGGGACAGTTGGACCATTAATTTAGCGATTTCATTTTCAACATCCATCATCTTAAGTATAGTTGCCCCATCATTAGTTATGGTTACATCTCCATCAGAAGAGACCATCATCTTATCCAAACCTTTGGGTCCAAGGGAGGTTTGAATGATGGTTGAGATAGTTCTTGAGGCAACAATATGTGCCTAATATGAAAGAAAGCATGACAAAGAGGAAAATTAACAATTTAGAATAGAATAAAACAATTAAATGTTAAAAGATAAAAGAAAGTAAAAAAATTATTAAATAAGTAACCCACCTTTAAAGCCTCAAGTCCACTGAGACGTTTTTGTTTCTCTTTAAGAATAAAGAAAGGACGGCCATATTCGTCAAAGGCAAGTGTTCCAATAGATGTCATATTGTCAACTTGCGATTAAACGAAAAATTTAATTAAACAATATAACAATAAATTAAAACTACCAAACACGTTGTAAGCAATTACAATTAAAGCTGAACAATCTAGGGGAGGGTAACCACAAAGAGATCTTGGAGCAACAACGTGCTTAGGGTGGAAACCAAATAACGCCATCTACCTCTCAATAGGTGAAGTTTTCATTCGATGAAAATTTTTGCAAATTATAAACCAAATTAATAATAAACACTTATCATGATCATATTGGAAGAACAATGAAGAGTTGCTGAAGAAAAGACTATAAATGTAATTAGAGGGAAGTCAAACCTTAAATACAGCCAAAGAAAATGAGATTAGCGTAAAATAATTCAACTTATCGCACACAATCAAACTTGATCCATTGGGAATTTTGATAAGAGAAATGATCAAAAAATAATTATAACAGTACCTTAAAAGGTATGATCTCTGTAGACATTTTTATCTCATAAAAACTCTTCAAGAATCAAGTTTGTATAGCCACTTATTTCATGTTAAACACTTTGATTGCATGATTTAGACGATCTATGATTAGTCAATCATTTTTACATTATCATGTATTGTTATAAAAAACCACCAATCAATACAAGCATCAATTGTTTCCCCTATTAAAGTCATCAAAATACATTTCTATTTAAAGAATGTTTAACATAAAAGTTGATTAGAGCAACATTTCAACAAAACATGTTAATTTTTATAAAAAAATTATGAAAAATGGCTTGAAAAAAAGTAAAAAGATGGCGCCACTATGAATATAAGTCTCGAAATTAACGAAAACCAAAACAACTTTTTAACCAAAAAATAACCAAAGCTAATTGTAATGATAATTCTGACGGAAGGATGGGCGTGATAAGGTGGTTTCTTTTTTCAGTGATGCGTTTAAATAATACGAGATTCGCTATTCTCTCTCTAAACAGATAAAAGACTCACGTACTTTTCACTAATACCTTTTAATAACCACTTTGAAAATTGGTGAGGAAACTTGATCAAGTCTTGCTGACCAGTTTCCATGTGAATACAGTTTTTGTGATTTTGTGATATAAACAACTCATTGGACTAAATTTAATCAACATTAATCCAACTCTTTAAAGTAAAGTTAAAAGTTTTAGACAAATCTTTTCATCCACTTCTTTTCATCCACTTCGAAGTTTTTTGCTGGCAACTTTTACATTGGCGCTTTTTTGTTTTCAAATCAAAAGACTATTTTGATTAAACATCAATCAACTATTTAGTTGATTTGATTTATCCGAAGCTTTGGAGCTCAATGATGGATACGAATGTGTACAAACGAGCTTTCCCTCTTTTCTGGTTCCTTTTACTCATAGCATCTGTGAATACACAAAAAAGTAAGTTATCAAATTTTTTAAACTTTTCAATTGTTATTTCGTTTCAAAAAAGTGAGGAATGCTGATTACCCATAGATTTTCATTGTTAGTTATGCAAAATCAAGCTCAAATGTTTGTGGTCAGATAACCTAACATTTCTTTCTACTTTTTTGAAACGGAAAACACTTCAGACAAAATTTTCGACCTTATCAAAGTTACAATTAAAACAATTCATTTCCATTGTTTACCTAAATCAATTGCCGATGACCAACGAAATCATGATCACTTCTGAACAATTAAATCTCAATCACGTCAATTAACTTTCAATTTTCAGTAAAGTAAACATTAAAATTGAATAATTCAACTTGAAGTGACAATTTATTATAACACACTTATGATTGATGAATGGTTAGCCAAAACAGCAAAACATCGTTATGTTGACAAATTGTGAATAATTACGCTAACTTGATAATATACAATTAGCTAAATTGCCGGACCAGAACCAAGAATTTACTTGTTATCCAACAAATTCAATGTTAACAAAATAGTATGAAATCATCTCCTAAGATCCTTATTCAAGAGAAAAAGTTATCTCTGTCAATCTGATTCACTGTCAAAAGTAAAGTTGACATTAGATTGACAATAATATGTTCTTGATCAAACTAATCATTATAAACAGCAAAACTATACTTTCCAAATCACTTTTGATTGTTGACAGGTTTAAGCCCGGAAGGCTAGAGATAAAAAAGATGAATGATTAACCATTTTCCTGGCTTCCTTTGACTTTTCTCTTCCTTTCTAATGATCAAATGCGCTTCCATTAATCATCTGATTCCTTTGTTTTTATCATGGTCCCTGTTTCCAAATTAATAAGACATTTCAATTAGATGGTTAAAACCATTCAAGGTTCATTCCTAGATTTAAATAAAAATAAAAAATTCAATCAAAATCAATATATTTCTCATATCAATGTAACTCACATGTAACAAAAAAAAGGCCATGAGCTGGTTACTCCAGAAACATGTTAGTCCAGATTTATCCAAGAATATGTTTCAATAAACAGACGAAAGATCTTTCACTGTAGCTATTGCTGATAATACTGACAATTATGATTGAAACAATTGATAATTAAGATTAAAGATGGTCAGATACGTTAAAATAATAATGAAACTGAAAATGATCCTTTACTCATCAATCGCCTTCGATTTGAATCCTATCGGGATTGCATATCTTGATCCAAAGTCTCTTGTTTACCATTTTAATTTTACCCGTTAATTTTTGAATCTTGTTTACAAGGTTTAACCTGTTGTTTGTTTACTGATTTTGTGATACTTTGTAATTTTATTGTGTTGTTAATAAGTCCAGGATTAATTAACTCTTGTTGATCAACTGTAATTTAATAATTCAAATATTAAATGTTTACTTCAGTTTAAAATGTGGTTCGCTCTTGAAAATTATAAAACGCAACCATTTTTTTTGCTTCAGATCAAAACCAAACCTTAATTTGCTTTCATTGTTTGATCTTAATCATCTGGAATTTCGAGATGCTTTCAAAGGTAAGTTTGATTATTTTGTGAATCAAAAACCATTTTCAACATAATTTCAGGGTCGATAAAGATATATTTGCATAGTTAAAAATTAAAATCTTGACCAGATTTTTTCTTCTCCTAGAAAATGGTCTTACATTCAGGTAACATAATTAGCTGTAAATAAAATTAACAGAAAGGATAATTTAAAATGAAGAAAAAAAATTAACAAAAACGATGAAACCCCATTGAATAGTTAGGAATACTAATTAGATAGTACAATTAAGATGTAATCATAATTTTTCAAGCTAATGATTGAAAAAAGCAAGAAAACATAAACTGTAAATTTTGATGTTTAAATGGTTTAGTATTAGTTAATAGTGATTGTTGACTAAGAGGAAAAATGGACAATTTAATTAGAAAAATTTAAATGTTGTTGGTTAGTGAATGTATCTGAATTGGTTGGTTGCATGTGTTGATGAGTTATAAAAGGTTGAACCCAACAAAAGCATGATAAACCCATGCAAGACAAGCCCAAATCAAATCAAGTTTACTTTTAACAATTTAAGATGATATGGGTAATAGCAATTGAAATTTGTGGCAATTAATCAGTCAACAATCTAACGTGACTCTAGGTGACTCCAGGTCAGTCAATTGAACCACAATTAATATAATTAACCAACCAAGTAACACAATTGACACACAAGAATAAGGTTTGTCAATGAAACAAGTTGTTACCTTTACTCGGTGTTACGATTATTAAATAACCAAATTTGATGATTTGTGTTTAAATTAAATTTCCAGTTAACCTTCAATTGTTAAACAAAAACATTGATAATACAGTTTAATATCACAAATAATATCTAATAGCAAGTTTCACCAATCATCACAGTTGAAGTAAAAATGAAGATTATCATGAAGATGATGAAGCCCTTGAAGACGCTGAGATGGAATCCTTGAAATGCCAATTTCAATCAATTGAAATTGGCGTGAAAAAACAAAACAAAACCAAAAAAAATGGCTAAAAATCGTCAAGATGAAGTTCTGAGCAAAATTTTGATTGAAGAAAAAAGAGAAGATGAAAAAGGTTTCATGAAAATCATGAGATGTTTCAATGAAAAGACGATGATTATGGTTAAGCTTCTGATTTTTGAATAAACCAATGAACCGATTAAATCAATTCTGGTAAAAGTAAAATGAAAATTGAATGAGAAACTGATTTACGGATTAACATGGTTCCAAGCTATTCTATTAATATTATCAAACCCTTCATGTTTATTAACAACAATTAACATTGAATAATCTATTGTTTATCAACACAAAGAAATTGATCCAAATGAGGAATGAAAGTTAGGTTAATGTTAAAAGGTTGATAACCAAAATGAAGCTTCTTTTCGCACTTCAATTGTTCATCTGATTTAATTTCAAGGTGCACCTAGTGTTATCAAGATTCAGATGAGGATGAGATGAAGGTAATTGTTTGTTGCCTTAGTTAATTGTGAGAAACAAGAGGAAACTAGTTTAACCATGATTCTGTTGAAATCTCAATGTAAACCTTTCCCTAACCAGAGTAGTTAACATTTTACAATATTTACTGATTTTTAAAAGAAACGGCAAAGTCACGCAAATAATTTACTAAATTAATATAAGCTATTAAAAGTCAATGTCCAATTGTCCATTTTGATTTTTGTCCCTTCAAGTAGCCATGTTTGATTAGAGGACACATTTTAATGAATTGAACACGAAATAATGCATTTAAGACATTTGTTAAATGTCCATTCATTTCAACCATTAATATTAATATGATTCATTTTTCTGTTGTCAATAAACATTTATGGTTAACATTAACAACTGTAATCATGTACAATTTACTAATCATTGTTTTTGATCCTTCACTTTACCTGATGCTGTTTTATGGATTACCTGGCTCTTCATTCAGGTCAAGATCATATTCACATTGAAATGTGAACTGACTTTGCACAGTTAACAGTATTTGTCAATCAAATTTGATTCACTAAATGGTTAAAAGAAATAGGTAAAAATTAAAAAAAATTAGCTGAGAAACAATTAAACTTTTTTTTATTACATTCTACATTCAATTGATTATTTGATTTCACAGTAGATTCAAGTTGTAACACAATTGAATGAAGATTAATTGATGAGAAAAGGTTGGTATAAGTTTTAATTGTTACTCGGATATTGATCATGATTTGGTGTCATTGGTGTAATGTAGTTGATAGTCAATTGATATGTTAAAATGATGGGTCAATGATTGTGTTTATAATGGATTGAATTGTGGTGAGAAAAAAGACGATGAAGTTCAATCGTTTCAATTGCTGAATTGTGTTTATCAATTATATTTTTGTAATACATTTGATTATGTTAAACCGGTTTAACCCAATTTGGGTAAACCAAGAACTGTTGTAACCTTGATTTTAAATAAACCAAGAGATTTACCTTTCATTGGTTAAAGCCCAAAATGACAAATTAACTTTACTTTTTGCCCAACAATTAATCATTTATAATTATATTTTTTTATTACAATTGTATAGCAAACATCCTATTATGTGTTCCAGAGGATTTAATCAATGAATGTCATACAATGGCTAATCTTTTTCCAGGTCTGATAACTTGTATTTCAGCTAAAGACAAGTAAGTCACGATTGTGCCTTTAACTATCATTACCATTTAACAAATTTCACTGAATTAATCATCATGAATCAACATGATTATCAACATAATTATCCTTAATGTATTCATATCAAAATGACAAGCTTAATGATATTACAGAAGCCCTGTTTGTTTGTATTATTGACGGTGGTGGATGATCAAGATTCATTTGAAAGGTGAAAATAAAGGTGGATAAAAGGGAGGTTTGAGGTGGTATTCATTTTAGATGATGAAGGTGATTTGATAGATTCTCTGGTCAGTATATTAATGTTGATTAGTTTGTAGTAATTAAATGAACAGTTTGAGAACATTTAACTCATGTTGCAAAGGAATCCAGTGTAAACACATTGAAAAAAAACCTTGCAGTCCACTTGTTGAGCTTTACATTGATTGAACAAATCACAGTTAGCAAGGTTTTTTTAATCACAACTAAACAACATTATAAATAATTTAGTGATTGTACAGCAATCAAAAGTCCATTTAGCGAGTCCAATCATTCAAAATGATCCGTATTTCATACAAAATAATGATTGTTAGGAAGTAAAAGAAGCTTGCTTACAAAAGGTGAACATAGATTTGGATATAATCAACTAATTGTAACCATTGTAACCTTGTAGCATTTGTTGACTATAATTAGATATATTAATGAATTAAAAGAAGCAAAATTGTAATAAATGTCTATTAAATCTTTGATGATAGCAACGATATTTAAAACAATGAGATGAATAATCATGATCAAAGTTAACACTTTGTTTACAAGTTGAATGATGCAGCAAAAAGAAATGATTTGGAGGGAAATTTGAATTTCCTTTAAATTGAACAAAATAATTAAAATTGGTAAATTAACAAACAAATTAGCAGCTTTTTCACTCCATTTTTAGGTTAATTATTGCAAGTTGATTAGTTTGGTATAAAAATATATTTAATTCAATGGAAACAATCAACAATCAATTAACAGGAAAAGGCTTTTGAGTTTCACATAAAAATGCATCCAAGTTGCCATTCATTTAGATAATTTATAATCAAATGATTCACGATTAAGTGTTAATTTAATTTGCACCTGAAAATAACAATCAATGAAGCCTGATTCAATAATAGACTAAAATTCAATGAGTATAAACTGATTAAACATGGAAAGTATTAGTTGATATTTTCAGACAATTTTCAATGTTAATCGAAGCTGTTGATTGTTGCAGTTGATCATTAATCAGTTTGATGAAGTGACGCTTAAATCAGCAGGCAAAAGATGATTGTGATTAACCAGAAACAATCATATTACAATCATATTACAATCTTATTTACAATTATATTTCACTGAGTTTACTTGATGATCATTAATAATGCTTATTCAATCCTAATGAGACTTTTTATTTTCTCGGTCAATAAGTTTCAATGAAAGCTATCAGTTGATTGTTAACGATCAATAAATTGTTGCAAAAAAAGTGATAACTTTATTTCAACTTTCAATGTATTTACTGACAAATCAACTTGAAAATTAATTGCATTTCACTTACAAATCGTTTACATTTATCTTAATCATTTTGACTTCTTCATCGAATCATCAATGAAATTAATTATTCTTGATGTCGATTCATTTTTAATTACAATTTTAAAGTGGGTGATCAAGCTTGTTAATCAATTAACATAAAAGTATGAAAATTTACCAAAAAAATTGTTCAACATTTCAAGGTTTAACTTACCTTTGATTTGCCATCAAAATTCAATCATTAACTCATCATTTATTGAAAAATAGTGGAAATAAATTGTCTAACAATTTATATTTATCAATTTGATTCAATTGAAACGGTATTTATTTGTATTGATAAGGAACAATGTTTAACTCGCAATTTCATTGATATTATTTTCAATTCAATCTTAACAGTTTATTGTAATGATGATTAAAGAAGTAAATAATAGATTTAATAAAAATAGTAAATAAAGACGATGAATGTCAATTGTATTGATACAAAGGAAGGTTGTATTAGTTTCAATTGTTGTTATTGATTGGAATCAATTGCGAATCCATTGATGTTTGTATTGATGTTAACAAGATTAGTTAGCCTTGTAGCCATTAATTGTTGATGTAAATGAGATTTTATTGGTTTTACTGTTGATGGTAACAATTAGGCAAACTGGTCAATCAATGTTCAAACGTTGCACTCTAAATCTATCCTTTGAATATGAAATGAGAAGCTATAAAGCTTTGTAATCAAATGATTACCTGGAGGCTTCAGAAATGCTTAAATTTACATTTAATATGTAACCACACAGACAGAAATGAAACCACCTCAATATTATGATTGTTAAATAATATATAAAATACTGATCATAAACTATTATCATGTTTATGGATTTTATTTTCAGGTTTATGAGCAAGCTTCTGTTGTATTGCTGATAATTTACAATGATAGAGGTAATGAGATGAGTTAAGATGAAGCTGACTTGGTGACCATCCTTTGTTTTTTTCATGTAACCATCCGCAGGGCATTTGATGTATTATTAATATATTGTAAAACAATAATAGTTAGATTGTTGAACAATTAAACTTGGTAGCAACATTGGGCTTTGTAAATGTAGGAACAAATGTGTTACGAGGAAACAAGGTTAACACTGTTTGTATTGAGTTAGGCCTAAGTCAAGTGGAAACGAAAAACCAAGGCTTTTAAGGCTCATCATTATTTCGTTAAATGATGTTTCTCAGCATTTCTTTATAACAGTCTTCATTAGCTAATTGTTGTTTCCTTTTGACAATCATGTAAATTAGAGATGACGATGAGTTGATCAAAAATTTAGGTGTATAAATAAGGCTTACACATCATCAATGACAGTTACCTACAACAGCAACGTTTACAATAGATATTCCGATGATTATTCTGATGGTTATGGTGATGATACATTAATGGTGTTGTTTGGTTCCTTTTATGACGCACTTTTCTTCCACAGAGTTGATATCATGATCCATGATCTACAATTATAACCATTGTCATGAGAAGTTGCTTTTTACTTCTAATCCAAGCTGCCATTAAAACTCGACTTTCGTTGACCTTAATCATTTTGTTCCTGTTTCCCATTTCAATTGAACATTAGACATCAACTAGATAGTTAAAAAAATTATGTTGAGTTAATTATCAAACTAAAAATTCAATCATTAAAATCAATGGTTTTACCTTCAGCAACATTTCAATGTTTTACTTACCAAATGCAAATCCTATAGCAGGTCTTACAGGTTTCATTATTATTTAACAATAATTGAGCTTTTTTGATGGATTGGTTAGGATTAAAATTTCATGGTACAACCGATTGGTGTGACTAGGTGAAAGTGTTTCTCCATTAAAGATGCTTCCGTAATCAATAACAGCTGAAAAATGTTGAGCTTCTCAGGATTCAGGGCAATCTGAGCCTCGTGATTTCCATTGCGTCCTTGGCTTTGGTATTAACAGTCATTGGCAATTAAACTTGAAAATATATTTCATTCGTTTTTTTCCCTCAATTTTGCTTCAATTTCTTTCATTTCCAAATCTGTTCAGGTTAAAAATAAGAGAATAAATTAATAAATTAACAAATTAACAAATTAACAATATAATTCATAGATTAATTAACAAACAAAAGCAAAATAAACAAAAACGCTAAACAAAGAGGTAGCAGTGAATGCACTTTGCCTTGCATCTGATTGTGGACCATTGCTATATTAAAAATGTTTCAATCGTGTAAAAAGCATTTCATTATTTAGAGTAAATTTTGATCCTAATTGTTAAGTGTTTTCCTGAACAATTTATTAATGAATCAAGTTGCGTAGATTATATAGGAATTTCAATTTACTTTCAAGTTGAAATAAAAGGAAAGGTAAAGCAAAATGTATAACCAAAGTAACCTTGTTCATTAGATTGAAATAAGGTGCTGAACGTTTTTACTATTATCACGGTTAATATTGAAAGAGTTGCACGATTTTCAAGAAAATACATTGGAATACAAATCTGATTGAATTTGAAAATTGATTTCATGAAAAGCAAAACTAAAATGATATTAAAATACAGAGAAGAAAGTCAGGCTAAAAAGTCATTTCTAAATGTTCATTTGAGTTTATTACATAAAAGCTGATTCCTGGACGAGTCTCATTTGTTTTCTTCATGAATTTCAGCTTTTCATTTTACAACTGGTTTTACCTTTTTCATTTCACTTTCTTTTGTCATTATAAGGGTTTAACACATGAATTCAACTGCCTACCTGAGCAAGGAGGCTCATCACCAAAATAATAAACTGAGAGCAAAAAAGATGAGATAAAAAACAAATCTCAAATTGATACAAAAATAAAAGTCTTTTTGCGTGGTTGCTGTATAATTATTTCAACTCATACGTGAGCGATTGGATGATCATGGTTATCTTTGAAAATGATTATCAGCTTGAAGATGAAAACATGAGGTTCAGAGATCCAGAACATAATTCAAAATTGATTTGTTGAAACTTGAACATTAATCTTATGCTTTCCATTTTACAGGTTTGCTTGCATGGGAACAATTGCTCGAGGTGAAGCCGACACTATGAATGTTGATCCAGAGGATCTTTACCTGGCTGGATCGATATTTGGACTTGAACCTTTTTTGATGGAAGAATATGAGCGAAGTAATTAATCGATAATTTTTGTACCTTTTCATTGCAACTAATTATGTCTTTATTTGTGTGTTTTCAGGACGTTTCAGGTATCGAGCAGCTGTCCTTATACCTAAGAGTTCAGACATTTCCTCGATAAATGATTTGAAAGGTAAAAAATCTTGTCACACTGGTTATGGACGGAATGCTGGTTGGTACATGCCGATGGGACAGTTGATCTCTGAAAGAGTAATACAACAAGATTGTCGAAGTTTACTTCACACGGCTTCCAATTTTTTCAGTCAAAGTTGCCTTCCAGGTCGATGGTCTAAAGATCCACTTGTTGATAAACACTTAAGTGAGTCAAATTTAACTCTAAACTACAATTGTTGTTAAACAAAAAGGATCAGTTTAGTTAACTCTTGATTACAATAGTTGTGACGAGTTAACTCAAAACTGGTTTGTCGTTTGATGAAAGGATCCAAAAATATTTCACTTTTGTCATTGTGAATGTGATTTGGTTAATTGTTGTCTTCAAAAGCTCAATACAGTTTGGTTGTTGGTTCAAAATTAAAAGTAAATCAATGTACTGCCACTAGATTATCTGTTCACTTGAAATTAACATGGTTAATATTTTAATGTGTTTATGAGTTTAGTGTTACTTTCATCCTGAGCTTTGAAACAAGATTTTAAACTCAACAACTCACAAACTCAAACTCACAACTTGTCAGTTGCACCATTTAATATAATTGAAAGCAAGACAAATATTTTCCAATAATTTTTTTATTCAAATTTATTCATTTCTATTTTATTCATTCTTGTGAACCCAATCTTTAAAACCCTTTCTATTTTGGTAACAATCTTTTGCTTTGGTCAACGAAAATCACCTTGTTTCAGTTTCAAAGTAATTTAATTGTTTTTGGTTTTGTAATTGTTGACCGTAAATAGTTGATAAATAGGATTGTATTTGTACCAACAATGAATAGGCCGAAGACATCTGTTGACATTGAAGGTGAACAAGGCTCTTTGTAAAGATGTTGATATAAGGAGAAACTCAAGATTCCAGATAATCCAGCGGCTTTGATTAAAGAGATTAGATTAAGAGTGTAAATTATCCATTTTGGAGCAAGAATGGATCGAGATCGAACCAAATAATAGAATGACATGATACTCAGATAGGTTACATGAATCAGAACCATAAGCGGATAATAACTGGGAACAAATTTGCTACCACAAATGTAGAAAGCGTAAATTAATGTTGTGATACGGTAATAGATGTGGGATAAGGTTAATTGTTGCTTGCGAAGAACCACAAAAAGAGTGTCAACAAATTCAATCAATTTAACAAAAGTGAATATATGAACCCAGAAAAGGATGGTTTCCAATTTGTCTCCAAATGGTCCATTAACTGGTGTATGACAGAGGAGCTTTGAAATATGACTTGATTCCTGTTTAATAACCGGAGCTAATAGTCGAACCAATGTAACTGTTTGAGCTATATGGAGGACAACTCGAATGAGATTCCATAAGAACATAAGTGATCTTAGATGGAAAGGTGATCGCTTGGAGAGCAATCGACGGATTAATAAGATTATAAACAGGTAGACCATGGATATTGAAATGGTCATAATTAGATGGGTTTCTTGGGCCCATTGGATGTAATCAGTTGTTGAGACTTTGGATATTAAAGATGACTTGATGGAGCTTTCATCTTCCGTAAATAAAGTTGTAACTTCAGTCTGAGCTTCGGTAACAACCTCACTTACCATCTCGGAAACAGTCTCAGGCACTTGAGATTCAACCATTACAACTGGAGCTTCAGGTGTTTCAAAGGTTTCACTTACAGTCTCAATGATTGGTGCAGATTCTGAGACAATGGTCTCAACTACATTCTCGACTATTGGTGGATCTACTCTTTCTGTTACACTTTCAACAAAGGTAACAGCTTCGGTGACTGCTTCACTTGTAGCCTGGGATGCCACTTCGGTTACAAACGTCTCCTGGTTTACAGCTTGGTTTACAACCTCCTCAACTTGGGGAACCATCTCGGGTTGAATGTTGGACTGAATCTCGGAAACAGTTTCAATGATTTGTTGAGCGGCTTGCTCACCAATTTGTTGGTCTACAACTTGAACTGGCTCTGGATTGAATTGACCTGCCAAATTGTCTTGAACAACATTTTCCACGACATTTTGAGCGACATTTTCAACTACAGCTTCCATTTTAAATATAATTGAATGTCAACACTTTTGCAATTCAATTATCGGTGACAATGAAAAAGAAAAATTCACAATATTTGAATAGAAATGTTTTGAGAAATGTAGATGTTCAGGGGAAGGATGAAAAAATGACTCTTTTTCTGTTTCTATTCAATACTCCTCAATGTTGATGAATGGTGACAATTGATCTGACAAAAGGTGAAGTCGACTCGAAGTGGAAATAGTTCAAAGGAATGTACAAGATGATATGAAATTTATTTTCACTTTACAATGATAATGATATTATGAAGAAAAAAGGAAAAGGAAAAAGTAAAACGATGATGATGAAGAAAATGAACGATATTGATGGAAATGGATAAACAGGTGAACCAATATAAATCCTTAATCAAGTGAAAGGTGCTGTCTTCTGATTAACAATTGGTTAAACCCAAATTTCATATAAACATTGATTAAACTACATTGATACTTGTTTTCATAGACTCGAGTTGACTTGAAATTCATGAATCATTAGGTTAATTTTGGTACAATTTAGGGAAATGTTGAATAAATTGACACATAAAAGGGGTTAATGGTCTGTAACAATCGCTGCCAAATCAACAAGATTAATTTGAATGAGACTGCCTTTGTTTATAAAGCTAACTCAATTACATTTACAATGTTTATTAGTTAAAGATCAATTCCTTTAATGTTATAACATATTGCAAGTTTAATCAGGAAAATATCTTCAAGTCTACAATTTTTCGACCCTATTCTGACTGGTCGTAGATAAATTTGTAATGAATTAATCATGAAGATTGAATAGTTTAACCGTGCCATCTTTACTCATCTGCAATCCTACAAACCATTTACATATCACCATTTTCATCATCTCACTCATGCAATTGAGTATCTAATTACTATTAGCAACACTTAATTACTCTGCCTAAGTCTCAATAATTCATCTTTATTACCCAAATATTGAGTTTTTAATGTTTCTGGTTATATCTGTAGTCATATGAGAGAAAGTGAATTTTTAATGAAAATTATCAATGAAATGAATTACATGTACAACTTATCAAGTACAGTATAAGGCTCAGAATTTTCAATTTTTTTAATCTACAGGGTTGAAGCCGTTCCAATATCATTATAAATAATGGAAATTGATTCCTTTTAAAGCAAATCGTTTCCCCAACAAAGTACAATAAGATAACATTGCTAGTTGAACCTTACCTTGACTAAAATATCTTGGGTTTGATTCCTTGATCTAAACTTGGTCTGAATTTCATCTAAATCAGCATGCTAATTGAATTACAGATTATGAATCCGAAACTGTGAACAAGGAAACATTTTCGGTCCGCAAAAACGTTGCTCTTTACATGATCTTGTCGATAGACAATTTGAATATTTTTATAAATGATTTGTAATTGATAACTAATTGAAAGTTGAAACATCAAGTTTTTTTGTTAATTGTTTAAAGGTTGTTTGTTATTGATGGTTACAATAGTGATTCTTAAGTTGATACAATTAAATTAATGGTTAAACAAGGCTAATGTAACTTCATTGACAATGCTTGGTTGACTTTGTTTACCTTCTTAGGGTGTTTAAGAGACCGTTTAATTAGCTTATGTACATCATATACATATATTCATTATCATTGTATAAGATTATCAAAAAGAGTTTCTTAATTATATGTTTTGGTGATTTACTTTGTGGTTAACCTTGTTCACTTACATGTAATGGATTGATGATCCTATAGTTTCAAGTTAATCGTAATTTTGTGCCCAACTTTACCATCTATTTGTTTCACATTAGACAATCATGAGTAAACACAGTCAAAATTGGATAAAGTTGGTCATGAATTTAAATTATAACTCATCACCATAATTAGTAAGAACGGTGAAAAACGACTTTCATTGCCAAGTAAATCAACAGCTGTAAACTTTAACTTCTAGTGTCAACACGTTGAAATTACTGACAGCTTTGTTGAACGTAATTTTTTTATAATTTTGAATAAATTCAGGTTCTTTTAATCATCAGGCATTTAATCAATTTGTCGTGAAATATTCTGCCTATTAATAAACCATGGAAAACCATGAACAACATGGAATGATTCAATCCTTTGACTCAAGTGAATTCCACTAATGATGATAGTCTTGTATTCATTTGAATCTTAAACCAAGGAATTAGAGTTTGTTTCCAGTCTTGGGTAAATAAATCAGATGCAATGACGTTACTCTCAACACCTACACAATGTTTATGCTTGAATTGCCAGTAAATGGATATCCATAGGAAACTACAATCAGCTGTGTAATAATCAACTGATCCTTTAGTTGAGTTGATGATAGTTGTAGAGTTAATCAATGAGCCATCCTTAAATTGTCAACCAACAACCTGTTTGCTTCAATGAAAAACATGTCATTGCCTATGAAATTAGCAAGTCTTTTCTTAATGATGACTAAATATTAATTATTAGCTATTTCTTACGTAGAGTTATTTCCTTCTTCCGGGGCAAATCTTTTGTTAGCTATTATTAATGAGCCATCTGTGTTGAGGAGCTATCTTAATGATCAACAGGTTTGATTGAAACAATTAAAAGTTTGACCGGTAAAGTTGCAACGCTTGTTTTTCATCAGATCCCATCAGCCTCTGAAATTAAGTGAAAGTTAATAAACAAGATTAGTAAGTCAACGTAATAAACAAGAAGAGAAATGATTGATTTCATGATTACCATGATGATGGTAAGAAGCATCATGATCAAGGTTGGGCTGAGTTAATTGAAAGTAAAATATTAAGTAACTCTTAAGAGTTTTGATTTGTTTTTAGCATGAAAGAGTGAATTACAATTAAAATACTATCTCAATTTAACCACTTAAACTAACAATTCTGTAACCTTTACTTTCTCCAGCCTCTATTATATTGGTATACATTTAATTACAATACTTACCATTCATTTAAACTTTAAAAGTGACATTGATGGTTGACCAAATCATTTTTGACCCTTTTACAGTAGAAGCTGTAAAGTGTCTCAAAAAGATCGAGCAGGAATCACACAATCAAAATAATTGACACAATTGTGCCATTCTTATCAATAAATTAGCGCTTCATTTTCGTGATATCCACTGATTAGACAGTAAATCATTTTACATTTTCCAACTCAACCATCTATCATAATACCATACTTTAGATGATACAAAATTTTTGGATATGTAACTAGATGATTTTATTGTGATTACACCATGAATATGTTGATTATGCTTATAACTGTGGGCTGCATCCTACGCACTCATTGATGATAGAACAAAATTCTGTTGAAAAAAGTAAAAAATTTGTAAGAAAGCTTTGGTTAGTTGATTATTATCATGAGACGCAATTACAATACTATTGTTTCCTTACCTTATCCTTAGTAGCTTCTTTGAACATTGAAAGGGGTTCCTTGTTTTCATGTTTCCAAAACTAACATTCAGTTCAATTCCATTCCAGTGATTGAGTTTCTATTTAATCATCAAATTGAAACTAAAAAATTATAACCAACTAATTTATTAATTAAGGAATCAATGCAACAGTAAACAGTAAAAAATAAACGTTAAAATTCAAAAATACCAATGGTTTTATACCATTGTTCAATCTTGCGCTGTGATTGGCTAATTGTCTTTATCAGCAATCAGATTTTTGTGTATCGGTATCAAATGTCGGACTAAATCCTTTACTTTTAGATCCAAGTGATACTTTTTTTGTTTACATTCGTCAGTCTTTATCTCGTCTAATGGCAAACAATTTGAATTAGTGTAAAGATATTGATGTAATCAACAGCAAAGGTCATTAGATTGTCAAAAGGATATTTGGTTCAGCGATCAACATTCATAAGTGAAATTATTGAAATTTGTTTTTGGTACGAGTAACACGTATTTTACTTTTACCCATTGAAAAGATCTGCAGATGAAAGGGCGTCATTGTTTTCAATTTTCAATTGAAATCACATTTAACCTGTAAACTTCCTGGCTTACAATCATAATCAACCTACACATTCATTAATTTAGCAATCAACCTCTATTAACCTTTAACTAATTTGGACCTCTTTTAATCCGTCTATTTGTCTTTTTTGTGTGTGTTTTACCATCATCACCATCTTTACAGCCATTATTGAGTTTCAAAGATTTTGTTGAATTTCTATTTTTCAATTTTAGTTGCTTTTTTATTCTACTCAATAAGACTAATTGAATAATCAAATTACCAATTGAAATGATTACTAAACACAAGTTATACAAAGTAAGATTAACTTGTCAACAATTAAACAATTGCAAGGTTAATTGGTCTCTTATATTGAGATTTGTGCCTATCCATAAACCAGTGTGCGTTTTCATTTACTATTGAGAAAAGGTTCATTTTTATTTACCTTGATTCCCAAGGAAAGTGAATAGTAACTTAATACAGATTAAAATTTTTACCAATGTTGATGTTTATTTCACCTTAATTACCAACACTATCTAATTACAGTTCTGTAAATTCAATAGTATATTGACCATTGAAACCTTGATTATAAAGCATCGTTTGATTGTTTTTAAACTAATCAATTTTTCCCCTGAAAATTGATTTCATCAATTTTGCCAAAACCATAAACCAAAATTGTTGACCAAAAAACACAAACTAATTGGCCAATGCAATGCTTTTATCCAGTAATCACCAGATTATCAATGTGACTATATCCAAATAATGATCTTTCCTAATTAGCATAACTAGTAAACCTTAAAGGTAAAAGATAATTTAGGATTAAATTGTTTCAAGCCTTTAGATTTAGTGTTAAAAAACAAAGTTTACAAATACGTTTAAACCTTGAAACCATTGATTTGAATGCAATGAAAAAGATCAAATCTAAAATAGCTTTTGAAGGGAAGACGAAGATGGTGAAATTAATTGTTGATCAGAATCATCAAGGTCTTCATCTTCACTAATGTCCATTTGTATTTGAATATTATGCCAATTGATTGCGTGCCATTTGAAGGAACAGGTTTTAATTGTAATCACCATCAATGTAACATGAAAACAAAATCAAGCAACCACTCAACCCAATGTAAAATAATGTTAACCCAAACCCATTTTGTACAATTGTTCACTTTTGACTTGATTAACCCTCCAATGAATCAGACAGCAATTATCTGTCGATGATCTTAACAAATATTCAAACATATTAATCATTGAAACATCAGAAATTAAATCGTGTCATTCATTATTCAAACACATATTGACCGATACCAACAATTTCAATGTACATTCAGTTTGATGCTTTCCTCTTGATGTTAAGCCTTGTCTCTATGCTTAGGCTCGTCTTACTTTATTTATTATATTAATCAATTGCTATTTTCTTGATTAACAATAGCTGATTAACAAGTGTGTGAAGACGAAGGAAAATCAAAAAGACTCACCCAATCAACCTTGATTAAAGTGCGGGTTATCCTTTTACTTTAACTCAAACCCTATCCTGGTCACCTTGTTGATCCATATACTGAGATCTGTAAATCCAATAATGGCTTGTTTACTGTAAATTAACCAATTCTTATTACATTGTTGTTGCCTTTACCAATTAAATTGCAACCCATTAACGTTTCATAGGTAAAATGTAGTCTTTTGATTGTGATAAATTAAGGTGAAAACAGCCGAGGCCGTTATATACGTTCAATACACACTTCACTAAGCAACTTGTTGGCTCTTTCTGTAAGCTTTTCACTCCTATTGACCAATTCACCAATATAAAGGTCGATTTTTATCATTGATTTTAGCCATTAGCTAATAATGTTGAGATTAGATTTAGTTGATTTTTGGTTGAATTTAAAAGTGTCATTTTCAATTGCATTTAACATTGTTCATAAGTCCATGAATTTATTAGCAATTAGCTGAATAATTTTTGTATAAAAAAGATGAAAAGCAAAATAAAAATTAGTCTAGATTTAACGATCACCCCTTAAGGCCTTTCAACATTTGATTCATCAATGTTTACTTTTAATGTAAAACATTTATAACATATTTTTAATCATTGTTTCATCATTAACTTCTGAGTTTACTATTAAATTTAATTTGGATCTTTCTCTCGATAAGGAATTTGCTATCAACGATTGAAAATCAATTATGACGATAATTTAAAACGTATTTATTCAATTTTCCTATTGAAAGACTTGTCTTGTAGCAGCTGGTAAATTCCCTATTGGTAACTTGAACAATTAAAGTGCTGTGTTTTTTTGTGTGTAATCGTCATTTTCATCATTCCTCTTTTCAAGTATCAAATTGAATAAGATGATTTTGCAGTTAATTATCGTGATTGTCCAACATATTAATCAAGATTTGTGTCATATTCAACAATTGAACACAATATTAACCAAAGAGTAATACAACAAGAGAGAACAGTTGAAGCTAATTTTGTAAATTTGATAAAAGGGTTCATTCGGTCACACCTAGGTAGCACTGTGTGTTGATTAGCACCTTGGACAGGAGAAGGGGCAAATTATCAATTGTCTTATCAATTCAATTATCAATAATCAATTCAAAATAGCCGATAAACTGTTGAAAATTAGATTAAACTTTTCCCTTCAACAATTTTCATCTCAAATTTAATGGTGCTGCTACCTTATTGTGACCGTTTTAGTTAAATATCTCATTACAAGATTTAGCATTGAAGAGGGGTCTCTTATTATTACTCTTTGATATTAACTATGACGGTACAACTGGGCAATGTGTTGAAGGAAACTCAAAGTGTTACCAAGCGTAATTGATCAACTGAATTTGCCTGTTAACAATTTGCTGGAAAATAATTTAGTAATCTGATTGATTAAACCATTTAATCTCTATTATTAACTTGAGTTAATATCTTGTAATGATTACAATTTAAACATCTTTTACAAGCAAAGGGTGGTTGCGATGATGGCCAACAATATATGCAAAGAAATGCCAGAATTGTAATATTCATGATGAAAGGAGCAAGAAGAAACATTATAATTACTTTCACCAATCAAAATCAAATCATTGATTGACTTTACAATTGTTAAATTACAGTGGAATTGAACATTTGCCTTTGAACGTGTTTAGATTAATTTCAATAACAACAATTAACTTAAGCCCGAAACAACAAAAGGAAAGGAGAAAAGTGAAAGTGTTCATAATGATTGATTCATCAATTGACAACTCATAATTAAAGTTGATGAAACAGTGATTGAACCTTACATTTACTTGGTATTATATTCATACTCTTTTCATCAATAATCATTAACAAGAATATAAAGAAAGCCTGAAAATGTTGCTCAAAATCCTTTAATATCTACCTACCTAACATGTTTTGCTAATTCATCGAACCATGTTATTATTATCTACTTATCTGTGGATAAATTCAATTCTGATGAAATGAATGTCAATTTCGTGCTAAAATAACAAGAGGATGACCTTATACAAAGTTTGCTGGTACTTTCAAAGATGTTTAAATTATTGAGAATCACGATTAAAAATTAAGACTATTTCTTAGTTACTTTTATTGATTCCCAATATTACAACCAATAACCTTAACTGCGTAAAAAGTGGCCTCAACCAAATCAAATTAATGTCAGTTAACCTTGGATCAACTATTAAATAGTCAATCGGTTTCTTCATCTCATCACCATGTTTGCCTGTATCTTTTTGATTCATTACTATGAGCCAATCTTGAATGAATCAACTTTAATTAGTAGATCAAAAATAGTTTTATCCTTTCATTAACAATAACATTTCTCTAATGAAATTGTTGCGTTTTATCAGACAATGAATAGTCGAAAATCAATCAAGATTTCTTTTGAATTATCTTTAATATTTGGTTTCTTCTTTAATTGTTACAGAACGTCAACATCCAAAGCTTTGTAAACTCTGCAAGGATCCATTCAGTTGTTCCGATTCAGATGAATATGCTGGTTACGAAGGAGCAATCAAATGTCTTCTCGATGGACGAGGTCAAGTTGCTTTTACAACCATTGAAGCCACGGTTCAATTGTTTGGTAAATTGTCACCTGATTTGATCGAGGAATACCAATTCTTGTGTCCAAATGGTGCAAGGGAAAAGATTAATTACAATGCCTGTGATTGGGGTAAAAGACCAAATAACGTTTGGGTTATAAGACCTGATAGACTACAAGATCCAAGAAGAGGTTGGCATTCATTTTTAAATTTTAAACTAACGACAATATATCGATAGTTTGAACTTTTGGTGAAAAGACATGATATTTATATAAATTTACATTTCTTTATTTATATTTCTTTTATTTCTGATAGCCCAAGATCGTAAATTGTTTTACAATTTTCTTGAACAAATACATTTCCGTAATAAGGTAACTCCAACTCGTCCATTCCCTCCTTTATGGTTTGATAAAGTCTTCGTTTCAAGTGTTAATGTGACAAATATTGTTAAAATTGTTGGACCTGGTGGACGAGATACAATGACCTATGGGGAATATTTAAGTGCGTAATTTTACTTCATGATTACATCTCTTTCTAACAACTATGATTCATGGTGTTATTGAAATATTTTTAACTTCAATTTCTGTTTTTTTTCATTTTTTTCTAGGTGAATATGTTAATTCCATTAACCTTTCAACTGGATGCAATAAAAAAATCATTCGATTATGTACATCATCTCAAGCTGAACTATTTAAATGTTTAGATCTTCAAAAAGTGGCTTATTCTCGACGAATTACTCCAGAAATTAGATGTGAAAATCCTGGTTATTCATTAGAAAGTTGCATTAAATCAGTTGCTTCAGGAAATTCTGATATAATTAGTCTTGAAGCTGGTGACTTTTATAAAGCAGCAAGGTAAACTAATCAGCATTTAAATTTGCTTGGTTGAATTTATTTTTCCAAGAACATTAATTTTAATATTTCACTTTCTAATAGATATCGAGGACTTAAACCAATTGCTCGAGAACGTAAGAATGGTACTAACATTGCTTCATATGCTGTGGCAGTCGTTCGGGTTCCAAGTGAAATCAACAGTCTCCAAGATTTAGCGAATGCTTCAGCTTGTTCAACAGGATTTGGAGATATTTCTGGTTGGATTTCACCAATTGGATCACTTATTTCCCAAGGATTGATACCTCGAGAAACTTGTAGTCGTTCATCAGAAGTATCGAGATTTTTCCGTTCTATGTGTGTCCCTGGAGCTGGTGATTATCGTTATAATGTTAATGTTTCTGGTGCCGATGTCTTATGTCGTCTTTGCTCTGGAGATGGTAAAGGTGGCCATATTTGCGAGAAATCAAGTCTTGAATTGTACAATGGGGAAACAGGTGCCTTCCGTTGTTTAGGGGAACGTAAAGGTGATGTGGCCTTTGTCAGCCATTCAACTCCACTTCGTTTCACTGACCGCCATACATTTAATTCAAATGAATATTGGGCTACCAGTTTACGATCAGATGATTTTCGATTGCTCTGTTCTTCAGGTGGACAAGCGCCAATCAAAGATTATGAGAAATGTCACATTGCTCAAGTACCTTCAAGATTTATTGTCACACGGAATAACATCAATTATGAAAATTATACACATATTGTTTCCTTCCTATCAAGTCTTTCCGAGGTATTTACGGGTAAAGCTCGTTACTCATTTAAATTGTTTGGACATTATGAAGGCGAATCTAATCTACTTTTTGGTGATTCAACTGATTCCATTGTCGCTTTGGATGAAGATGCTGATTATACTCAAGAATTGGGCCAATTTCTTCCCATATTGAAAAACATGGACCAAATTGCATGCGAAAACTCAGCCATCTTGTTATCTCATTCAAATAGATTCTTTATTTATATACTTACATTCATTTCAAGCTGGTTAATATTTGCGCCTTGGAATTGACTTTTTAAATTCCAATAAATCTTCAAATTTGAAGGAATGTGGAAGGAACCGAATATGTTTCCCAAAGAGTTACTCGAAGATTTAGAGTTAAAGACTTATTAGGAACAAAATGGATTCTTTTCCTACAAATTGGTGTAAATAATTGCAATTGAAATTACTATTATCTTTGTAAATGCAATCTTACTTATCTTCTTGTCTACACTTTTTACCAAAATGTTGACTGAAATCAAAATGAAAATCTAAATCAATATTTTTTCCCTATTCAAACCAATTTTTGCTTTCTTTGTTATCGTTTTATTGAAATCTGAAATAAACTCTTATTTTTTGTCGTTACTAATTGTGTATCTGCTTCAGATGCTAATATAGTCTCTATAAATATGAGCCAACTCACGAATAATCGAGAAGTAATAGCTTTAAATTACAATAATAATTAACAGTTTTATCCTTTCATTAACACTAACATTTCTCTAAATGAAATTGTTGCGTTTCATCAGACAATGAATAGATGAAAATCAATCAAGATTTTTTTGAATTATCTTTAATATTTTGTTTCTTCTTTAATTGTTACAGAACGTCAACATCCAAAGCTTTGTGAACTCTGCAAGGATCCATTCAGTTGTTCCGATTCAGATGAATATGCTGGTTACGAAGGAGCAATCAAATGTCTTCTCGATGGACGAGGTCAAGACATGATATTTATATAATTTACATTTCTTTATTTATATTTCTTTATTTTTTCTAATTGTTCATATCACAATGTAAGCTCAATAGACGTCAATAGATGGCGAATGCTCACTAGACTTTTTTAGCCTGGCGCCTGAAACTATGGTAACATTTCAACCTTTTGAAATAAAAAATCTAGCGTGTTGCCATTTATTTACATTTTTGGCTTGGTCTGAATGATTTTAACAAATACGATAAGTTATAAAGTACGAATGAGGTTGTTGTAACGAGTCCAGACTCCGATTTTACGATCTTTAAGGAAGTCATGTTTGATATTGAGAATGGCAAGTCCAATCATTGCTGGATATGAGATGATATCGATAATTAGAGAAGCACGGAGTAAAAGGAAATGCCATGTTGATGGAGCTTTGACGGCAAACCAACCTACAAGCAAAATTCGGGCACCCAGAATAGCATAATTCAACGGTCCTTTCCAACCATCAGTCATCGTAGCAATCAGTATAAAAGTAATCCAAAGTCCCATTACAATCAAGTAGGAGTAAATATTGATCAAATGGCCCAAACAAATGGTGTAGAGAGCTCTAATGAGAACAACTAATACAGCAATAAACAAGCTCACCAGCAGAATCACATTCAGAGCCAGTTCAACAGTTGGCAAGTCTAATTGTTTAGATTGGTCTGAATCTGGTTGACCACTTGAACTTACACCTTTGGTCTCTTGTTTCATGATGAAATGGATGACAAATTCTAGAGCATATATCATGAAAGGCACTTTGAAAATGGTAGAAAGGAAGCTACCCACAGCAATTAACAATTTCAAAATGAAATGAATTAAACTGATATCCGGACTTTGGATGGAAGCCATTTTCGAGTTGATGAGTGACAAGTTATGTCTAGATGAGGTCAAGTTGAAAAACACCAAAAAACACTAAAAATGTGAAAAGGAGTGAAGTTAAACCTCAGTAAAATAATTCACAAGAAAACAACTTGTTCTTGAAGCTGCAAATAACTAATCAAGCAGCATTTCAGTCTCTTCTTCTTTTCTCTCTAGCGGCAGCCGCGAGAAGCAAGTTGACCTCACAATAACGCGATTCTCATAGGTTTGTATCACTCCTTTAGCTTAGAGGTAAATGGAATGGGAAAATCAATGTTAAGTGATCGGTTCTCTTAATCGATATTTGTTGCTTTTTAATTACAATGTTTGTCAAAGTGCGAAATATAATTTAACTTTTCTTTTCTCTTTTCGTTGAAACGCTCTTGTTACTTATTTCACTGTTTTAAGTAATTTTTGCTGCTGTAACTTCAATTGTTTATCTTTACAATAAACATAATTTAAGGCGCTTTGGGATGATTTATGTACAAAAAATGGTTTAGATTGATTTGGTTGAAAAAATAGCAAAAATGGATCGATCCGTCCTCAGTCACTGTTTAATTTCAAGGGTAAACTACAATTATTGAATCTTTTTCGCTCTTATTTTGTTAATTACCTGTTGAATATAAAAGTTGATAAGAATTAGAAGATTGACCAATATAAAGATTCTGAAAATATTTTCTGGGTAAATCTGGGTAAAGTTGGTCCACTAGCTCGATACCTGAAAAAATGATGCTTTCAAGTCAAGCCTTTCTGTCTTAAATTTTGATCTCAACTTGTGTGTCAATTTTTATTTGCATTATTTTATAAATATGTAAGCACTCACTTGTTTTCAAGAATAGCTTCAAATTACAACAATTAAAATACTAATGGATCGATCTAATATTGATTGAGAATATGATAGATTTGTATGATTTAGTAAATACACATTAATATACATTGTAGTTTAAAACGAATGATTTGATTGGAAATATGACCGTAGATCAAATGATTTCATCGTTGCTGTTGAAGGGAAAGTTTGGTTTAAATTTAATTTAGATAGATTGTAAACACTCAGAGTTAATAATTTAGATAATGAGTTAGTTTTATTGGCAAAGATACTAAGAAACATGAATATGAAACATGATTGAGACAAGTTTCTCGTTGCGTGTGTTGTTTTACGAAAAGTTAAGAAAGCTTAGAAAATGTAGATTCAATAGACTTCAATAGATGGCGAACGCTTACTAGACTTTAGGTTACTTTACATGGCTAGTTTAGCGCATTTGGCATTTATTTTTGGCTTGGTCTGTGGACCATCATAAATTTTAAGGTATACTGCATATTTACGGTTATTTTTACAACGGAAATACGCCATCTACTCAAGGATATGCCATTGTTTTTACAAAATAAAGGATCTACAGTAATTTGTGGCTTGTCCTGGTTGCAGATGGTGAATGTCCTCTTTTAAAGATGCGGCATTTGTCGTTCAACTGATTCCAGAGTTTAGTTTTATCTCAGTGATATTAACAAAAAATGTGGTTCAAAAAAGCAAATTGATTTTGTACATACTTCCATGTCAATGGCAATTATGATGAGATCTCCTAGTGAATCAGACAAATCCTTGCTTTACAATTTAAATAGGGTCTGAAACAAATAGAGCTTGTCCTTTATCTATTTTTAGACAGCACTTTCAGCGATTGACACTGGATTAATAATTTACACCGATATACTTAAATATCATCATTTGAAGGTTCAATCTGTAATTTGCTTTGCACCTCTTAAATAGACCAAATTTTTCCATTTTACCAACACGATTAAGTTATAAAGTACGAATGAGGTTGTTGTAACGAGTCCAGACTCCGATTTTACGATCTTTAAGGAAGTTATATTTGATATTGAGAATGGCAAGTCCAATCATTGCTGGATATGAGATGATATCGATGATTAAAGAAGCACGAAGTAGGATGAAATGCCATGTTGATGGAGCTTTAACGGCAAACCAACCGACAAGCAAAATTCGGGCACCAAGAATTGCATCTGATAAAGAAATGAGGAAAAATATAAAGATTAGCAATAATTTCACAGAAAATTTTGGTGATTGTAGCAGACTAACAAACATGTGTAAAAACTTTAATCATTTTGACATTGATCTCAAAATGTCAACAAGCTTTTGTAAACATCTCAATAATTTACATTGGCTGATTATTGCAAACAAGATCAGTCTGAATAATGTCAAACAATAATAATTCTTGAAATGAACCCAAACAAGTTATTCATCATCTCAAAAGTAAATATGGTTTGTTAATTTCAAAGATAATTCAATAATAAGTTTAAATGATAGCATGATAGTGAATCAAAATTTGAGACATTTGACGATATAAGGACAAAACCTATCAGCAAATAAATGAGTAAATAATTGTTAAATTGTCGTTTTTTTTGTTTTCTCCTTCATAAACTTGAATCTTCTTTGATGAAATTGTAATTGCTAATAAATGTGCACTTCAACTGAGTATATAAACTGATAAATAAGTTAAATAAAGTAAGATGATGGAGAGATGGATGGAAGATTATGGAAATATCAGGTAAGTAAAGTAAAGATCAGCATGAGAAAAGAGCAACAAGAGTGATTAGTTGTTCAGCTTAATCGTTAGATTATTCAGAGATTCAAAGATTTTATTTTCTCAAGTCTTTTGCTTGTCTTTTCTTATCCTCCTACTCTCATTGCTTTCTCATATAATTTTATTTCTTCTCTTCTTCTTATGTTTAAGATTAAGAAAACTTACTACATCATATAATTGTAGGCCTGAGATAACAAATAAGGAAAATATAATTAAATTGTTACAATAATAAATGTCATGGTAAACAGACAAGAATATGAAGCTAATGTAGAGGGAACAACCTGCATTGCAATTTGAAATTAGCTACTCCTGAAGTACATTAACCTATTATTTTTTATTCAGCAAAATCAACTTTCATCGTTGGCTCTCAATTACAGCTTTTCATGATGAAAGAATTGATTGATTAAGCAAAAATTGAGAGAATAAAAAATCTAGAAATCAATGATATGGTGTTTATCAACAGGATTGGTCTTGAAACTGAGATGAGGCCACGGATTTTTTTTGCTTCATTTTAAAGTGCAATTTGAGAGAGAGGTTAATTAATTATGAAAATAATTTAAGAAAAGGTTGACTCCCATTTGGATGGATGAAAAAAGGTGAAAGGTTTAGCTACTCTTTTGTTTAAATTTTACAATCAAACAACTGACTGCTATTGAGCCATGAAAAAAGGTTAAAAAGGTACATAAAGATTCATTGAGAGTGATACAAGAAAGCGTGATCATGTATTTATCAGGCACATCGTGTTGATCATTACAAATTAACTATTAAAGCTACAATACAGAAACGAGATTCTTGAGTGAGTCAGATAAAAGAAACTATCCTCTGTTTCAATGAAGTGGGAGAGAAATGAGAGGAGAAAGAATAAAATAAACAGGTAAATTCATACATGGTAAACAAGTCACGAAGTTGAATCTAAAAAATAAAACAATCAACAAATCAAGCAAATAAACAAAGGAAACAGGTAAACTACAGCGAAAAGATGAATTAAATTGATTGAATTGAATAAAAAAAGATGGTTACAGTTTCAGCCGGCAATGGCTGACTGAAATTTGTCTTTTTAGCCTAGTATGTAGCAATAAAAACTGTTGAAAGTTGAAGAAAAAACTTGATCAACAAGAAGCATCAAACTCTAAGGTAGGAAAAAATACCAGTCTTGAAAGGTTGCACTTAAAAGTTTGTTTCGATCATTCTTCAAGCCCCGTAGGCGATCTTGTTGTCTTGCTGATATTACGAGATGAATCAGCAACCCTGTGTGTGAGCAAAGCCATTGCTGTTAAAACTAAAGCATTTTAAGATGCATTATAAGGTTAGCTTTAAAGACCACGCTCAACTGTGATAGGTTCATTGGAACGAAGATTCTTATCATGATCACATAAACGTCAAACCAAAAACAATATGGACTTACAATTTAATGGTCCTTTCCAACCATCAGTCATCGTAGCAATTAGTATAAAAGTAATCCATAGTCCCATTATAATCAAGTATGAATAAACATTGATCAAACGTCCCAAGCAAATGGTGTAAACAGCTCTGATGAGAACAACTAAAACAGCAATAAACAAGCTCACTAGAAGTATTACATTTAGAGCCAGTTCAACAGTTGGCACTATGAATAATTTTAAAAGTGTGCATGTAGATTCACCGGCAAAAATATGGGAAAGGAGAAAAAAGCGGGATAAAAAAAGAATTAGTGAGATTGAGTAAAAAAAAGGAAAGGGAAAAAGAAGCATTGGGTTGAAGAGCAAAGGGTATGGAAGACATTTTCAATGTGGTAAAGGCAAAATTAATCGCACAAGTTGAATTAACAAGTACTTACAGTCTAATTGTTTAGATTCTGAATCTGGTTGAACACTTGAACTTGAACTTTTATTCTCTTGTTGTTTCATGAGGAAATCGATGACAAATTCAACAGCATATATGATGAAGGGTACTTTGAAAATGGTAGAAAGGAAGCTACCCACAGCAATTAACAATCTCAATATGAAATGAATTAAACTGATATCCGGACTTTGCATGGAAGCCATTTCTGGATTGATGAGTGACAAGTTATATCTAGATGAGGTTAAAGTTGAAAAAACACCAAAGAACCACTAAATATGAAAAAAACGGGTCGAATTCAAATCTTAGCAAAAAAATTCACAAGAAAAATAAGGCAAGTTTTCTTCTTCTTCAACCAAATATCTAGCTCTAATGAAGCAGCGTCTCTTTCTCCCTCTCTCTCTCTTTCTCTTCTCTAGCGGCAGCAATGAGAAGCAAGTCTACAGAGTGGTCAAAAGAGTCTCTAGATTAAGGGTTGGGCTTAAATTGTTTGGGCGCCAATTGAGAAAGGAGATTGTGATTAACAAATTAAGGAAACGAAACTGGTTACTGAGCATCCGAAAATGGGTTAACTCCTCGGGCAGAATCTTTTTCAGATTCTCATTTGAACGGATACATTTTTACGGATTAACTTGAAAGTTATAATCTGATAAGGGTTAAAATGGCAACTTTACTTTCTACCTTTTCTTCTTCATCTTCATCTTTATCTTTCTCTTGTTATGCTTTTCTTTCAACTGAACGGATTAAAGGTAGCCAGTAATAAACCCAAAAAATGGCTGGTTTTGGGTTTTGTTTTAAAACCAAAAGCTCACACAAACAAAACCAGGGAAACAAGTAAACATTTTGAAAGCGGACTAGCCATGAGCTTCGCCAATTGTGATTCAAATCAAGGTTGTATTGAATGACTACAATTTGTTTCTTTAGCCATTCATTATAAGAATTAACACAAATTAATACAAACAAAATTATTTAAATACAAGGAAAGAGTTTTAGCTTTCTTGTTAATCAACATTGATATTTCATTTGTGGTTAAATGATGAATTGCACGCAATCAGTCAACCTTTTTTTTTCTTAGACGATTGAAATTTGCTTTATTTATAAGTTGATTATCATTATTAACGTGATGGTTTTCATATTTTTGGGTACAGAGTAAACGAGAAGATAAAAAATAAACTTTACAATGTTACCTTCATTAACAAGCTTCACAGGTACATTATAATTATGATTAGAAGGAAAATTATGTTCAAAATTCAATTGAATTGATATCCATTATGTTAAACAGGGTTATGACAGATGCAATGATCTGAGCAATAAATGGTCAAACAAGTTGGTCAATTAGAAGATGACGATATTGGAATCATTTCGCTATTTTTAGGGTTAATGGCGTAGTTTGAACTCATTAAAAATAAACCTTTTATGTAGAGATTGATCTGTTAATCATTCAAAATTTGCTTTTTGTTGTTCCATTAATCAACTGGTTGAAAGTGAAATTGAGTGAGCTAAAAACAGGAAATTAAAATTCGTTCTAAATGCAACTTTCATTTTTTTCAAACTTGTTTTAAAATATGCACAACTATTTGAAATCAACTGATTGTTGTCATCTCGTTCATCTCAACCGTTGAATCAGCATTGCTATTTTCAATTAGCCCACAGTAGTAATCGTTGTGCAATGAAAATGATGTTTCATATGATTTATGTGATGAGAAGAATGATTTATCCGCATTACATTCCACTTTCGAGGTAAGTACAATATAAGGTGAAGGTACACCTTTAGCCATCAAACCACATAGATAACCATTCAAATCGACTCCATCGATAATGTTTAAGTAAACTGATTCTGATTGAACATTGAATATTGTGCGATTTAGCTGTAAATAAGACAATTATATGGGAAAACATTGAATTAGAAAGTAAGAATAAAAGATGGCATCAGATGGTTGAAATGGACTTACCATTGGCATACATGCTTGTGTACAATTTTCAGCTGTCTTCCAATCACAAAACGATTCGGTGGATATACTTCCAGGATACGTAACCCAGGAATTGGTGGTGTTAATTGAACATGTACAGTTAACACTGAATTGAACCTTTGGAGTTGACCAAGTGGTTGATGGTGTTGTCAACTGAGAGGTTGAAGAAGCATTGTTGACTCCATAGGTTGTTAATTGATGCTCAGTGGGGAACAATAAGCTGGTAATACGGAAGAGATGATCAGATAAACAGATTAGAATATAATAAACTTGTAAATAATCAAGAAAATACACTTTACCTGAAGTTGACTGAAAATGAGAGAAACAGAATTAATGTAATTATTGACATTTTTGGCTTTTCTTACTTTGTATTGACTTACTTACTTGTTACCTTGAAGTGATTTGTATTGTAGATCGTTAATGATGTTTAACTTTATAAACATTTACAAATTGACAGACATTATTAAGGTGAGAAAAATCCAGAATGGGTGAGATCTTTATTATGAGTTGATACCGCGAAGATCACCAAACGATATTTTGATATTAAAGGCACATGAAACTCTCAAGTTATCCAGAAATTTTGTTATAATTTCACACCCAATGACTTTAAGAAACTAAACACTTGACTATAATCAAACTTAATCATGAATAAATTCAGAAAATGATTTCGTTTCAGACGGAGATTAAATAACACTGCCATTAAGCTATGTTTTTAGTAAGTATTGTTTATGGATCACATCAAGGAGTTAGATATGAGATAGATCAAAGAGTTGAGAGTCTTTGGATCTTTTATTAGATATTAAGCTCTCATAGATTTTAATGTTTTTGCTGATCTTAAATTTTTCTTGATTACTAATGAATCTCTCGTTTTCTTGTTGTTCATCTTGTTACTGAAGGATTTATCCGGGGATATGGACATATCTATCGAAATGGTAAATGCCAAGCAGCATATAATTAGATGACTCCGATGTAATAACCATTCATTGACTTGTTTAAATTTGTGATATAAACCGTTTGATGGTCGTTGAAATGAACGTAAATTGTTTACATATTTAAACAAAAAGATAACTCTTAACCGACTATTAAACCATTTAATGGGGGGTACCAATTGACTATTAAGAATGAGACTAAATTGTGTACAATTCTGGTAAGTTTAATTGAGTTGCTAACTTGATGATGGATGAAATTAGTTGAGCATTTCATTTGCGAGTTAATCGAGTTACTCTCGACATAATTTGTCACATTAATATCTTGATTTGTTTACATTGATATTATGCTGTAATAAAATCATGAGGACAAATGAACCATTTTAAAATCAATTTTAAAACCAAATTGTGATTGATGTTTTGAGTTGTCCTTTTTATCGTTTAACGTAGCAAGTCTATTAGTCAACAATAAAACGAGTGTTAACCGTTGATTAATGATACAAATATTGGATGATTAAATAGATGCATTTACCCAAACAGATTGATAAGGAAGGTTAAGTGGAAGGCAGTAAAAGCAAACAAGATGAAAGCCCAATTAGGTTAACTAGCCAACTTTGTTGGTTGAAATGCTATCATTTCCATGTGTTTTTCAAAATTTAATGTTCATCAAATTTTTGGTTTGTAATAGTATTCATGGGACAAGATAAAGCTGCAAGGGAAGAAATCACATTTTTCAAGAATTGAAAAAGGTACAGCTACATGTATCTACTCATTTCAAACCCTTGATACCGAGATTCTCATAGGTTTGTATCACTCCTTTAGCTTTGAGGTAAATGGAGTGGGAAAAATCAATGTTAAGTGATCGGTTCTCTTAATCGATATTTGTTGCTTTTTAATTACAATGTTTGACAAAGTGCAAAATCTAATTTAACTTTTCTCTTTTTGTTGAAACGCTCTTGTTACTTATTTCCCTGTTTCTCGTAATTTTTGCTGCTGTAACTTCAATTGTTTATCTTTACTATAGTTATAATTTGAAGCGCTTTGGGATGATTTATGTACAAAAAAATGGTTTAGATTGATTTGGTTGAAAAAATAGCAGATATGGACCGATCTCTCTTCATTCACTGTTCCATTTCAAGGGTCAACAAGCTTTTTCACTCTCACTGTCGATTATAATTTAATTCCATCAAGAAATTTGAAAATAATGCAAAGTTTAATCAAATTAAGTTAACAAAATCGTAAATACCAAATTGAAAAGTACAATTAAATAGCGTAGCCTGTTATTGGAATGCAACTTTGAAGATCAATAGTTGAAAGTTGTTTTGATTGTCTCCTTAACATTGTAATCATGAGATTAGAGAGTTGTTCAAAGGTGTGAGCTTTTGATGCTCATCGATCTTTTCTAGGCTACATTCAGTAACTAATGGTATTTAGAATAAATAATATTGAAATGATTCAGTGATTCAATAAATATTGCTGGGTTAAAACAAATCTAGGCGACAGGTAAGCCAGGAGAAATGATTGAGGGTGGTTGGAAGGAGCCAATGTTAGCAATTACATTGCACTCTTGAGATCCCAACGACATTGACTCGGTTCGTCGGTTTGATGATGAGAAATCGGTTGACTGTTCAGAACATGAGGTTTCTGATTTGATGTAAACCAAGCGTCCATTGTTTCCAGTGCTAGCAGTAGCTGCGTTGTCACTGGAAGTGCTGTTTTGTTGATTGTTACACAAATATTGTTGAAGAGAGACGCCATTTCCATTGGTAGGGTTAACAGCTTTACTCATCAGATCAAAAGTTGCATTGAGAGCCTAAAAGTGTTTGATTAATAAAAGCAACAGATTAATAACAGTGAGATCAATATTAGTCAAAGTCTGATGATTTTCTTACCTGAGCCATGCACTGGATTCGACAAAGGCTGACTGAAGCAGGACCACAGATAACTCCAGGGAAAAGGCTTGAAGGTGATCGGGGAAGAGCTAATGAGCTAATGTTTTGTCCAGCAAAAGAGATTGAGCAAGAACACTCAACTGTAGATGTTGTTACTGGAATTGAACTAATAAATCGATCTAAATCACCAATTGTATTGGGATAAGGAGAGGGAAACTGTTGTGGTGGGAATCCAATAGGATAGCCAGGTGGTAATCTCAATCCAGTAGCATAAGGTCCTGGACTTGGTCCTCGGAGTCCAGGCCCGTGGCGAGGTGTTTGTCTGAAAAGCTCATGGGGACCTGTCGAGAATGGGAATTATCCAAATTGATTAAAATGGAATGAAAAAATGAGATATTAAATTACCTTCAGGATGAGGAACATGAACATGTCCAGGTCCATGGACTCCTGGTGCATGTGGTGGTCCACCCATTGGAGGTGGTGGAGGAGGAGGTGGTAAGAAGGGATAGATTGAGGGATTGGCCCCATTCCCGTTTATTGCTGATTGATCCAAGCTTTGAGTCCATGATGTTGAACTAGAAAATTAATAGTAATAACAATAAAAAAGGTTAACTACTGTTGATTTTGATTTTACATCAAGTGTTGAAGAGTTGCTTTTCACTAACCTGATGCTGATGAGAATGGCTAGCACAATGAGAGGGTTCATCTTCAACTGATTGAGTGTCGATAAATTTACTAGATTAGACTCACAATAATTGTTATACTATTTGTTTCGATGGTTATTTGAACACTGATTGATTTGATCGAAAATGTATCATATTTATATCGTTGATTGCTTGTTTATTTACATTGTATCTCTATTGTTGTTCATCAATCAAAGGAGGTGTCTTGTTTAAGGTTAGCTTTCTTACCTTTCTATGCGAATTAGTGATTTGTGATTTCGCATTGACAGAATTGTATTGATTAATTAATTGCTTGATATTCATAGTATTGAATCACTGGTCCTTGGATGGATTGTAAACAAATCAATCGGTTGAAATTGGAAGATAGAAAGCTATACTATTTTGTTGTTGTTTATGATGGGAATGATGAGCCATGATAAAATGATAAAAGTTGAATTTCAATAAAATTAACAGATTGCCATTGTTGAGAGATTCAGAAAATTTAACCTCATTGTTTATTATGATGTGGAAATTTTACCCCATCTTCATGATTAATCGTGATTTGTAGCCATTAAACCTGATTTTTCTGGTTTTTAATAAAAAAATTTATAACAAATCATTACCGACTTGGTTTTTTCACACATAATCATGCCTAGAATTTAATCGAAACTTAATTTAGTTAGTCAAATTTTAGATGAAATACCTATTTATAGATTAACAATTTCTAACTAAAAACATAGCCTTGATTGTAAAACTCAGTTTAACCAATGATAATATTAATGAAAAAAATAACATCATCACTACCCTTGGAATGACAATTAAAGACCGTTAAAACTGTATATCTAATGAGGATACATCAAGATCAGTAGTAATCATGTGCAAGTAATAACCATTTCAATACTGTTCTTGATTGTTATTCATTGATTTTTCAAATTCATTCAAATCATTGGATATGCTGTATCAATCAAATTAATTTGTTGGTCAAAATGACTTTGTAACATTGTTAAATATAATTTCAACAGTAAAGTGTTTCTTGGATGTTCAATATTTGTTTGGTATTGTTGATAGCCCGTTTGGCTAATAAGTTGGTTCAGACAAGGATTGAGTGAATTTCAAGCAGGTAAGTTGATTTGTTCAGCTAGATAAATGATTAGCTCAAATAGTAAACCATTTACTTTAGGATTTTCCGATTATATGAATTATGTCGATTTCCCGATAAAGAAAATTATTGAATAAATGTTTTATCCAAAATTTAGCAATGAAAAATATTTAATACGATAAATGTTAATCACAAAGGATAGTTATGTATCGATATTGTCAAAAGCTTCAAATTTGGCAATGTCTATTTTTTCGTCAGCTTTAAAACCAGGATAAAGACCAGTTTTACCGTTAACACGATTTAATCCCTTTGACCAACCATTCCAATGGTTACCAGCGATGCCTGAGTGTTTAAAATAAGCAAAAAAAACACAATATTAATAAAACATTTAAAAAACATATAATAATGGCTCATTACCAATTGTGTCTCCTATCTTCATGGGAATTTGACCTGGTTCAGGGTCATGATTTAAAATTGCAATTTGATTGTGAGCGTTTTGGCCACCAAAATAATAAATATCATCAAGTGAATTATATGCATCATACCAATCGATGCGTGACTATGAATTAGAAAAACAAAGATGAAAAATAAATCTTAAATTTGAATAATAATGTTTACAAAAATATACCTTTTCATTATTAATATTATTTTCCAATCCTCTTGTTTGCATCAATTCATAAGCTAATCGACAAACTTGAGAACTAAAAGTACAAACTAGATGATCACTTTCACTAAGTAACCAAATATCTAATATCACATTGCGAAGAGAATCAAGAGAATAACGAGACGTCAATCCAGCAGATTGGGCTAAAAGTAGTAAAATAAAAGAAAATGTGATTAGTGAAAGCGTTGAATAAAAATAGTCTTCAGTATTGTTAGAGATGCTACTTACCAATCTGTGAATCTCCGATGAAAGTAAATCCTTTCTCTTCAAAAGGTTTAATTTCCTCGCGCCATATATTTGTATCATCTGTAGCTAAATATATTAATCTTTCTATTTTATCGTTCTGGAAAATAAAAAAATGAAAATTTTAGCCTTTTCTCCTTTGGTTACTTCATTGTTTAAATAATGTGATAAAAATAAACAAACCTTTCCAGAACGTTGTTGATAAATCTCTAAATTTTGAAAATATTGTTCAGCATATTTCATGTATTCTGTTAAGGAGTGGTACGATGCTTCAGTACCAACTTTATCTGTTCGACGGACATGAATACCGATTATGGGACTTCTGAATTTAAACCTTTTTTTCGCATTTTCAAGAAACTTTTTCATCTCTTGAGAAGGTCTCATAATGAAACCAAGAATTTGACCCATAAACCAGACAATTGGTGAGCCATGCAAGGTGATGAGCTTCTCTGAAATCTGCTCTGGAATTGCTCGGGGTAGATAATCCATTCGCGGTCGAAGAGAATCAATGATTGGAAGATCAACGACCTAATAAATGAACAAACATAAAAAATAATTAGATAATAAATAATAATCAAAAGAGAAACGGAAATTTCAAGGAGGCCAACCACAATTTTGTATTTCCCCAGTTTCAATTTCAAAATATTCCGTTCAACTTCGGAAGTACAGCTTCGAAAGCAACAATTACTTTTGGAAAATATTTTGGTATTTTAAAGTCAAAAAAGGAAGTTTATGAAGCTCTAAAGGAACTACAATCAATTTTGAAATGATGAATAGATAATCAAATGAACATTAATCATGTTCTAAGACAAAAGTGACATTTGCGAGAAATGTATCTTGATTTTCACTCCAGTCTTTTATTTATCATAGTGATTCATTGAACTTGGATCTAATAAAAAAACCCTCATGATGATGCAATGTGATGAAGACTGTGTGGTCAAGTTTAAGTTTAAGCAAAATAGAGTTATTCTTCGACCAATGGAAGGAGAAAAGCTAACTCATTAATCAATATTTCCTAGTCCAATTTGATAACAAAGTAGACATGTATAACATTACTAATGATATGGCAATAAATGCAGAGTTAGACTTCTGTACACTGAAGAGAAATTTGAGTATTTGCATGTGCAGATGTATTTTTTAAGGTTTTTTTTCACAGAACTGAGATATAAAGATTAGTTTATGGTTTGGTATAGAAAGTTAATAAAATGAATCAATTGGTGCAAGTGATACAAGAATCATAATCTAACCTGAGCTGTAACACCTTCAGACCAAGGTTTGTGAGTTTTACCATCAGCTGTTGTACATGTTCTACTCAGCGGTTGAAATATCAAGTTCCATGACGGTTCTCTAGAGCCATGAGCATTAGGATTTGGGGCATAGCGCCAATTATTTGAATCTAGAATCATAGTTCTTTTTGTAGCAAGAGCAACAACCATACAATATGAGACATGATGCATTTGACATCCAAATCCACAGCCCTTGTTTAAACGACAAACTAACTTATTAGCAGTAGCGCAGTTTGGTGGGTTTTGTAGTTTATCAACCACACTAGTGAACAATTCGGTTAATTTTTTGAATTCATTTTTACGCCATTCGTAATCACGATCTGACAGAGATTCTGAAAAAAGAGAAAATGATAATTAAAATCTGATAGGTAAAAAAGCAGGCAAATATGATGTATCATAACAATACTTATAAATTTCTTCAACCAATATCTAGTATAAAAACTATTGAGCAAGGAACATGGCTTTCGAGCTTACCTAAATCATACATAAAACTGGCACGATGTTCATTGACAAACTTGAGAAGAGATACATTATGTTTGAAATGATCATTTAAGAAAAACCAAAGTTCATTGTAAGAATAGGAGACACGTCTCCTGGCTTGTTCATATTTGAGATTCGGTACGGATGCAAATAAATTTAAAGAGATTGAGGATGAAGATGAAGACGGTGAAGATGACAATGGTGCTAAGGCTGAAACTGGAGATGCTGGAATAGGTAGGTTAGCCTCACCAGGAAGGCCACCGTCTTTTAGGAGATCTGATGCTTTATTCAGCTGGAGACCCAATGGAATGTAATTTTGAAGAAGATTTCGAAGCTCTTCATTCTGTGCTCTCAAAGAATCTAATTCACTTGAAGCTCTGGAAAGACGAGCAAGGATAAGTTCACCATTTTCACTATTAATTAAACTATAATCGCCTTCAGTTCGTTTAAGGAGAGGTCCACCGATGAAAAAAATGAGAAGTAGCCAAACCAGAACAACACCAACTAAAACACGACCAGCATAAGCAAAATTAAGTGCCATCAGGAATAATGATAAGTGTCACTTTACCGGTATAATGGCATAATGTTTTACAGTTTGATCAATATTCAAAAAAAAATTGATTCTGAATATTATTCAACAGCAAGGATAATAAAATAGGAAGGGTATAACAGGCGATTTAGTTTACGTTATCCTGTCATAGCACATAAGATCAATACTTGTGTTTGTACATCATAGGTAGATCATCTTATCAATCTTGAAAGAAGCTATTGATAAAAATTTATTATTCGTTTAATTACTCAAAGATAACCAAAAGAATAATAAATACCACATTGATTATAAGGGTAAGAAAGACTCATAAAGAAAGGGAAACAGAAACATTAAGTAATCAAATCAAGACGAGTAACAGCTTCTTACAAAATAAGACACAAAATAAATGTATAATGATCACAGATAAAGTTGAGTGTCACAAAAATTCGATACTTTGGCCTCGTTAATAATAAATACAGAATAATAGGTAATTTTAAATGCACAAAGTCGACACTGAATTTAATTCAAGTTATCAGATGACTTGACTGATAATTTCAAGAAAATACAGTATACAATGTAATTTATACTGCATAAACATTGAACAGCAAACTTAGGGACCTCATAATGATTTAAAAAAATCAGCTGCATCTTCAAAAAACATTCATTCAAGCTCAAACTAATTAATTGATCCATCAAAGGTTTTTATGATTAAAATAATTAATCTAATAAAAGTAATTGCTGCTTAAAATATATAAATGTATTTCTGGCTCATTGTATACAATTTTTAATTATAAGATCATCCCCTTTCCTCCCAGGTGAGAGTTTCAAATTTCAAACATTGACGCACATAAAATTGTTTCATTTCTTTGATTGACTTATTTTTCTTTAATTACAACTCGTAACCTTAGATTGATTGACAATTTGCCTGAATCTTCGTTGACGCAATTAAAACATATGCTCAAAAGCTATTGTTTTAACTTCTTGCTGAGAAATTAGTATAAAAATGATTCTTTTTTTTATAAAACGGTATCAATAAAGTAATGGTTTTTCATTAAGCAACAACTCAGCAAAAAGCAACACTATTCTTGGTTACAAGCAACCCTTTCAAAGTCATTTGATGATTTATCTGGAAAATTTATATCATCATTATGCCTGAATTTGTACAACATGTTTGGATTGAAAATGAAAGCCATAAGTTAATAAATCGTCTTTAAAATGTAATAGGACGAATAGGCGTTATTTACATTCCATGAAGCAACAGTTTATTTTTCATTTTTTTAGGACTATTTGTCTTATCGATTTTCAGCGCGGTTCTGATCAAAAGCCTTTGATATAATCATGCACTTCTGGATGGAAACTATGAACAAAAGTTACAACATGAATCACAAGACTTCAAGTTCATTTACAACAACGCTTGCTTAATAAAATCAAGTTAATCTCTCTTACATTATTACAGCTAGTGAACATTTTGCGACTTTCAATCTTCAGTTGCATGATTGTATGAATACTTAGCAATTATCTAACGAAAGATTGAATCTAATTAATTGACTTTTGCTCGACTAAAATGTATTTTTTAGCTGCTTATCTTGTACTTGATTGAAAATTATAAGGTGTTGACTTTAAGTGTATCTTTTTTATTGTCACACAATTTTTGTTCACCGAGTCACTGTAACTTTGTTGTCTAAATAAGAAATGTTAAAATAGCCTCTTAAAAGCGAGTCTCATCTTCTGCTTCCTCTACTGTGAACGTTTGGTTTATGTTTTTTTTCATTATTTCATAAATTGTTAATTTATCGTCCGATAATCAACATAAGGTAAGTCTTTATTTAGATAATGAGTATTTTATAATAATAATGGAAAGACCCAGAATAAACATGGAAAGAGGTTTAATTTTTTGTTTAGCATATCAGACGCAGGTAATATCCTGATAGACTTAAAGCTATCGGCTGAATTTTTTGCTTAACCCTTGTGACAACTCAATCTATAATGTTGTTGGTCGATTGAAGTGAATTTTAAAAGCAAATTATCCTCAGAATGTCATCATTAATTCAAACAAACGAGCTTTGTCAAATTTGCTCTGATGACTCAAGTGGAAAATATTTTGGCTTCCATTTATGTTCCCCATGTAAGGCATTTTTTCGTCGTAATGCTGATAAAGGACAGGTAAGGACTTAGAATTTATTTCACTTTTTTATTTACATTTTATAAATACACAAGATACTAATGTTTTGCCACTTTTAATCTTTCCTTTCATCTCTGCTTTATAACCCTTAGATGTTTAAATGTGCTTTTATAAATAATTGTGATATAAATAAGATTACTCGGCGCCATTGTCGAAAGTGTAGATTGGATAAATGTTTCAAAATTGGAATGAGAAAATTATGGAGCTCTATGGAAAATAGTGAGGTCGTAAAATCTGAGAATCTGGAAGAAGACGATGCCAATGAAATTTTACCGGAAAAACCTCTAGTGACTCCATCTCATGCTTCTTATGCTGCCTCTTCCAACGAAACCTTCGATTTCAAATTACCAAGTCTACCTGTTCGAAAAAATAATCGTATAAATTGTTATGGTCCAAACATTACTTTGGTTCTTTACAACCTTTTAGATACTGGTTCATTGCAAGATTTATTGGAAAGTGAAAATGACGAGCCAGTTGATGCATCATCGAACCATGAATTTACGAGTCAAAATTCATTTCTAGAACAATACTCTGCTGATAATAATGGAAAACGGACTTGCACTGAAGATTCGTGTGATTTTCACAAAGTCCGTCAAGAATATTTCACTTCAACGGGTTTCATTCAAGGCTGTGATAAACAAGTTGTCTTGGGAGCTTTGAGCCAACCATCATGTGAAAATGAATCATGGCAGTGGAAGATTCATCATCTTATTATTGGAGCAAATTATACACCAATTGACATTCGGTCTGAACTCGTTTCAAATTGTATGGCCCTCAGTTTTATCGAATCAGCAAAAATTGATGAACTTCAGCAGTTTGCACTATCAATATGTTCAATCTACAAATGTGAGCTTCCACTTACTCTTGATATTGCTGGGTTTCTCAAAGTTTGTGAATATTGTCTCAATCGTTTAGTTCCAGCTTTAAATACTGTTTCTTCCTATTCATCGCTTCCAATTGAGGATAGAATGTATCTGATAAAAAGAAATTTTGTGTGTATCCTTGCAATGAAAACTATACCTCATGTTGATTTAGATATGGAAACATTTCAGGTAAATTCAAGTACTGTGTGGAAAATTAAGCTTAGTCCTTGTTTTATTATCGTAACATATTATCGCATATCAGACAGATTAAGTTCAATCTAGAACCTCTTCGGCATAATTTATGTCAGATATTACCCATTATTGTTTTCATTTTCAATGCAGTTTATATACTTTTTATCAATGCTCTTATGAAGGGTGATAAACCAGACTTGCTTATATTGGAAACTTGGAAACATATTATCAGTAAAAAGATTGATACAAGAATTGTCGCATTCTTTTATCGATGCAATTTAAAAATTAATGTAATTGAAAAAGGCTCAAAAGCAAGAAAAAATATAAGTATACATATAAATATAATATAAACCCAAATCTGGGTTTCGTTGGTAGAAAATATTACTGCTTAGGAAATGGAAAGCCTTGTATTACACTCCAATAGATTAGGTTAACATAATTTTTATCAATTTGTTTGTTTACTCGTAGTGATAATATTAGATTGATAGTAATAGATTGAATTGATACTTCATTTGCCACGTCGTATTATCTGTATTAACAAAAAGACTAACAAAATGAATTTTTATTTCGATTTAGGTGCCTAAAACACCAGTTTCTTGGCCTTTAAGATCACTTCGACTACTCCAAGATTCAGCTTATGAAGCTTTAATCAATTTTATACATTTTTTGCCTCCAGACTTGAGGAGATGTAATAAGGCAAATATGTTGATGCTCGCTATTATACTTTTCAATGCTGAAACTGAAAACGTAACTTGTATCGACAATATAAGGTAAGTTGTAAAGTATTATTTTGCAAAACAAAATGGTCTTTAAATTATTTTTATTTTTCTTTCCAGATTTCATCAATGCTATTATATCTATCTGTTTAAACGTTTTGTGGAATCCTTTTCTCCCGATGCTTGCGAAGCCAGGTCCGATTTTTATGATCTTATGATGAAACTCGGAGAATTTCAAGAAAATTTCAATGGCAGAGAGTTGATTCAAGAATTAGCCGATAACCACAGTGAATCTGTTGGTCCTCTAATGAGCGAAATCCTGGATTTGTACTAACCACACAAGTGGTGAAAGAATGAAACAAATTCAAACAAAATTGGTCAATTTAAAGATTCAGCGTGTGTAGATACAGTGTATGAGGTGGTTATGGACATAAATTGGAACGTGTACTTGAGCGACAATTGGTGCATCTGAGTGTATAGTTGGGCTAATAGAATGAGATTTAGTTCTGATAAAACTAATAGACATGAAAAAAGCAGAGTTAGAATCATTTGTAAAACAAAATGCAGGATATGTTGAAATTTCATCTATTATTAATATCTGAATATCAGAGAAAATTTCTAACATATACTTGTTTTCCTGCTAATTGATTTTTGTCCGATAATCAATAAGAGTTGATAATTTCAAAGTGTACTCAAAGTTGATAATTTCAATAATCCACTATTATGAAGATACTTTGGTTAGGTGAACTGATAGTTTCTGTAAAAAAGTCCTTTCTTGTTTCTTTCAATTTTTTGGATGAGAAATAATCAAACCAGGGAAATCTATTGAAAGCTCCAATGTACTGAGCCTTCAATATCGTGATCGAAGATGGTCTCTTTTGTATTTCGATGAAGCCCAAAGTATTTTGTCATTTTTTTGTTTCCCCTTTTGATTTGCTAGCTGATTCCAATACTGTATCGTATTGCTTAGTAATACTGTTTCGATTTCATTTTGAAATTTTGATTCCTGTTTCATCTTCTTCGATCTACTTTTAATGTATTGAATGCTTTTGATAAGCTGATCAGACACAGAGAAGCCAAACCAGATTCCAAGTATGCTACCAACAAAAATTAGGTATTCGCTCCATTGAAGTTTTGGATAAGCTTTCAAATACATGGTTGGAGTACGTGGAGGCTCTAATAAGATGATTCCAAAAACATTTTTCGTTTTTCCAGGATAAATTTTACCCTCAACTCTGTAAGCAACTTTTTCACACTCATTTGCGTAAAATTTTTGGGTGCAATGTTTCAAAATTTCATCTGGTATTTCATCGTTATAATTTCCGTCTAAATCTGTTGTAGGTTTAAATCCCAAATTGGAAGGATACTTTCCCCATTCATAAACCATAGTTGGAACCAGAAAAGGATTTTTCTGTTTAAGCGATGAATTGAGTAAACATTCAAACATGGATTTCACTTTATCATAATATTGGCACTCGGTTTCATAAGGGTTCCTCAAGGATTTTGTTATGGTTTTGGTGTAACTAGCTGCTGCAACAGGAAACTCTCCAAGTTTGTGATCAATAATAAAGTAACTAGTAAAATCTGGTTCAGGCAAACTACTAGGATCAGCAAATCGTAAACCATAATAGGATCGTAAAGTGTTGTGTAAAGCACCAAAAATTTTCATACTCATCGTAGCCGTATCCATACTCATGTTAAACGGTTTTGAGTTTTGCAAACATGAAATACGAACATAAATGGCATATCCACTGAAATATCTTGAAAGCTGGCAGCTTTCCTTTAGAATGTCTTGACTGCTTTGACCCCAGATAATCGCTAAAATATTATCTCTTGGATCATCTGCTGACTTTTCAATATCTTCAATTGTAATGAAGGAGCACAAAGCAAAAGACGACATGATGGGACCATTCTTAAAATCGTTTTCACAACTTTCAATAATTTGTTTAAGAGTGAAATTTTCACTGTTAGTTTTCACCATTGATTTACATATTGAAATCATCATCTCTGTTTTGAGATTGAAAATTTTAGTAAAATTAATAGCTGTGGCCAACGGTATCATTAAGTCAATGGCAGGTAATTCAATTACATTTGAATATTTGTAAGAAACATCACTTCGCACTTTAAATTGTAAAAATCTTCTGGTTATGTCATAAATTTGCAGGAAACAACCAATTGTGCAAATCAAGTTTACGAAGGAAAATTTTGCCAAAATAATTCGCATCTTTTTATTTTTAACTACAAACTTCATTTGAAAGTCCTTTGGTTTCACCTATTTTCTGGTAAAATTACGAGCTGATTGACTGGTAACACATTGGCGATTCAAATTTCAGGCTCAGTGGTGTCGCAGTAATGTCACTTGGTTGAAAACTGGATAATAAGTCAAATAATCAGAGTTTAAGACACGAGAAAAGGATTGACCGATTTCCTGGATTTAAAAAGCCAGCTCAAGAATAACATTGTATAATAGACTCATTTCAATCAATTGAAATCTTTCTTGTTAAATTGTCTCGTTGACTTGATAACATTTTTAATTAAACTGTACTAATTAATGGACGAAAAAATAACAGATCAATTTTAATGTTTTCGATTACTTTCCAGTTGAAAGTTGGATTGTTTTTGTTATTTCCCTAGAAAATTATAATATTTTTCATTTTGAGAATTGGATGATCATATTATCATTAATAAAAGTTAATTACATATAAATGTGTCTAATCAATAATTTATTGGCTAACCAAAAATATTGATGAATTATTTTTATTAATATCCAATAGATGATATAAGTTACATAATTTTTGCCATTTAATAATTGGATTTCACATTAAGCAGAAAACTTAAAATTGAAACAAGTGATTCCTTCAAATTATGACAAATGACCAACAATTCAATTCAAAATAATACAACAGTTCTGATTATTAAAATATCTGCTTTTCAATAGATTTGATTATTTCTGCTAGTTACCTTCAAAAGATCTTGATTTTCAGCTGCAAGAGTAGAAAGATCGAAAATCTGTTCAGATCAAAAGACATCCTCTTTCCTAAGACAATTGTTTTCATAAATTATCTAACGATCGATACATTCAGAAATATCAGGTTTTATTAATAAAATTGCTATGGTCAAAGGTTGATAATTCAGAAAGCTATCGTCGCATCATTATTTATTGGTATCAAAATACCACATTAGTGAGTTTATCAAATTCAAGTGAACCTATTTTTTTACAATTAGATCTGATCATCTCAGATCTCACCAATTTCACAAAAACTTTATGTGAATTGGTAATATTAATATTAGAAAGACAGAATTAACACAACTATTACAATTAAGAACAAATTGACACAAATGGGCAAAAACGAGTGAGCATCAAATTTCTTTCACATTTAGACTCTGTTAGTTTACGAGGAAATAAGAACTGAAGCAATTCGCGCGATTTAAAGATTTCTCTGATTCACAGTTTTCGAGTAAATCGAGTTCAAAGTTGAAACTTTGATCGCTTTTTATTCAGCTGTGGAAACAGATTTTTTCATGTAAATTACTTTACTAGTGTAACTTTTGATAGTAAACCAGGCAATGTATTCATTTTGAGAAATAGAATCTTTCTTTTTCTGTAAAACAGATAAGTTCGATTTTTAGTTGAACAGATCGCTCTCGGTGACCGTAAGACTTAATGAGCTGAAACTTGTTATGCGTTCATGCGAAATGTTTGTACAAACCATGGACTGTGTGGTTTCTTCAAACCATCAATAGTTCTCTTGATTTTGGAAATTGATCTTTAAACTTTGAGGCTCAATATTTCGAGAATGGCATCACTTACAATAATCATTCTTAAACCCATTCAATCCTTAACTAACTAATAATGCAATCCAATTCAATAACATTCTATAACCGAGATTTGGTCTTGTTTTTTGACTTGTAAAACCACGAGAAACAGCTTATTTAACAAAACAAACTCATATAAACCCATATCTTGGTAAATAAAAGAAATTTTCTGGTTAAGTTTGTAAATGAAATGCAAAGAGTGCTGCCAAAGGCTCGAACATTTAAGTTAAGGGTTGGTACTTAGTGGACTTTATTGGGACATTAAAACTGAGTCGATTGATGCTATTAAATAATTCATCTGATAGATAGTTTTCGAGAAAATCGAAGTCAAAGTTGAAACTTCGATCGCTTTTTGCTCAGTCATGGAAGCATATTTTTTCATGAAACTTAGTTTGAGGATGTGACTTTTGATAGCTAACCAGAAAATGGACTTATTTTGATAAAAAACATTTTATTTTTCCTTTAAAACCGATTAGTTCGATTTTTAGTTAAAGTGACCTCATTCTATGATCGTAAAAGTTAGCGAGTTGAAACTTATTATCGGTCAGTAAAAATTGTTTGTTCATATCATGAATTGCATGCTTTTTTCAATTTATCAATAGTTCTCTCGATTTTGCCGATTGGCCTTAAAACTTTGAACCTGAATATTTCGAGAATGGAGTTAGGTACAATCACCAATCTTCAATCAAACACCAGGTTTTAGCATGGACAATAATATTAAGAAACTTATAATCCTTCGAGATCCTTCAAAAAAAACTATAGCATAAGTAATTTTGAGCTTGATTTATTATCAGCTAAATGATATTCAGGCAAAATCTTTTGTGTACATTCATCATTAAAATGAATTTCTCATTTCGTAGCTCAGTTTTCTTAGGTATTCAGTTATAGCTCATGATAAAATCTAATGTTTGGTGAAAGATTGGTGATTGTACCTTACTCCATTCTCGAAATATTCAGGTTCAAAGTTTTAAGGCCAATGGCCAAAATCGAGAGAACTATTGATAAATTGAAAAAAGTATGCAATCCATGATATGAACAAACAATTTTTACTGACCGATAGTAAGTTTCAACTCGCTGACTTTTACGATCATAGAATGAGGTCACTTTAACTAAAAATCGAACTAATCGTTTTTAAAGACAAAATAAAATGTTTTTTATCAAAATAAGTCCATTTTCTGGTTAGCTATCAAAAGTCACATCCTCAAATTAAGTTTCATGAAAAAATATGCTTCCATGGCTGAGCAAACAGCGATCGAAGTTTCAACTTTGACTTCGATTTTCTCGAAAACTATTTATCAGATGAATTATTTAATAGCACCAATCGACTCAGTTTTAATGTCTTTACAAAATCCACTAAGTATAAACCCTCAACTCAAATGTTCGAGCCTTTGGCAACACTCTTTGCATTTCATTTACAAACTTAACCAGAAAAATGGTTTATTAAGCAAGATATTGGTTGTTATGAGTTTGCTTTGTTAAATAAGTTGTTTCTCGTCCATCTATAGCCCAATAATTATGACCCAAATGCAATAATGGAGAGTTATTAAATGCAATTGACTTATTAATTAGGAAAGGATTAAATGGGTGACAGAAAGATGATCGTAAGGGATGCCTTTCTCGAAATATTGAGCCTCAAAGTTTTAAGACAAATGTCCAAAATCGAGAGAACTATTGATAAATTGAAAAAAGTGTTTAATTCATGATATGAACAAACAATTCTTATGAACAAGTTTCAGCTCATTAAGTCTTACGGTCTTACGGTCACCGAGAGCGATCTGTTCAACTAAAAATCGAACTTATATGTTTTACTGAAAACGAAATTTCTCAAAATGAATACATTGAATACATTGCCTGGTTTACTATCAAAAGTTACAGTAATTTACATGAAAAAATCTGTTTCCACAGCTGAATAAAAAGCGATCAAAGTTTCAACTTTGAACTCGATTTACTCGAAAACTGTGAATCAGAGAAATCTTTAAATCGCGCGAATTGCTTCAGTTCTTATTTCCTCGTAAACTAACAGAGTCTAAATGTGAAAGAAATCAAATTTCGCCCATTTATGTCAATTTGTTTCAATTCGTTCTTAATTGTGATAGTTGTGTTAATTGTGTCTTTCTAACAGTAACAACTTTTCATAAGATCTTACAATAAGATGTTGTGGCTATTATTAATGACTTATTAAGATGCAAGTTTATGATACATTTGACGATTGAAATACCGTAATGCTATTTCCAAACTGTAAAGCTGTTTTCTAATAAAAATAATTTTATTTTATGTTATTTTTGAAAATATATTTATTAAAACTTCTTTCCGATTGAGTTCTAATTCATTTTTGTACATTTGCACAACTTTTTCAACTATAAACTTATAATATAATTTCCAAAAAAATGTGTATTTCTAAATGGATTACAAAATGGTTACTCGGATTTTTTAGTACTGAGGCTGGATGGGTTTAGACTTGGGAGTTATAAAGCAAAGGGATATGATTATTGATGATATGATGAGTCGATTAATGAGCATTTGGGTTAATACCAAAAGTCATTGAACCAAAGTATCCTGTTTCTCGATTTTCCAATTGAATCTTGGTTTGTTCACCGTGGGCGAAATTATAGATACCGTCTTGTGGGTTGAGAACCAATATGTTTTGATTTAATGAATAGGGTTCAATCAATTTAAGTTCAGCTGGTAAATCATCTTTGAAAAATATTTGACCAATGTAGTTGACTTCACCTGGTTCAGTAGTGTTTTTGGAGTAAACCTCAACATGGATGTGAAGGGATCGACCAGTATACCAACCAGGAATAATAGTCTTGAAATTAACTTCTCCAGCTTCATTTGTAACTTGATATCCTCTAAGGAACCGTTCATTGTTCACAGGAGTTGGTCGGCCAGGCATTTCCATATCTCCTGGTCCACCGGGTCCTCCAGGGCCACCAGGTCCTCCAGGTCCGCCAGGTCTTCTACCTTCATAAGCTCCTTCAGGCCCCCAAAAAGGTGGTAAAGTTTTATTTTCTTGTCTCATTCTTTCTACAAATAACTCAGCAAGATCTGGTACTCCTGAGTATACTCCTAGAGCATCGGCATGCCAGACATGGACAAACATGTTTGTTAATGGAGTACAATCATTGGAATTGACCAATCTGATAGCCAAGTCCAAGGAAACACCAACCTTATCCTCAGCTAAGTTTGATCGCTCCAAATCGTCTGGTAAAAAGTAAGGACCTTCAACAGCGTAAGGGGCTAGAACACATGAATGTTGATTGGCTTCCCTCTTATAACGAGCACAATTGATTACAGTTGAATCGTGTTCCAAATATTTACCAGGCCTTTCATGGTCACCAAAAGTAACAGCCAATAAGGTTAAGAAAACGGTGATTGAAATTGATTTAGACATTGTTTCAGTGAAGTTTCAAAGACAAACTACTGATGTAAGCTATTAAAATTGAATTGCTTTTTATATGGAAAACGAATCACGAAAAATATCAAGATTGATCTACTTTTTGAACGAGTTTTTTCAGGAATTCATTATCAATTCATTATCATTATCTGTAGCTCAAAAAATGTTTCTTTGTGTAAGATAAATGCATAAATCTTTCCAATTTGCCAACAATTAAAGAGGAGTTATGAAAAATCTAGATTGAAATTCGGGAACTTGTGATCAATTGTTTTATTGTTAATGAAACTCTCTATTAAAATTTTATGTACTCGACTCTTCACTCTGCAAACCCTGATAATTAATGAAATAAATAACAAAAGTGATCAATGATAAGCATATAATACGATGGTCCAATTATGTTTGATACAGAAATTGTCTTTCTTGTTTTTGTATCATTTCATCCCATGTTAAGTAACATTAGACAATATTCAAGGTGTTATTATACCAGGTTAAATCATTATTTCATTGTAATCAATTACATTTACGCAAATTCCGACGTTGAAATTAAAACAATGGCTTACTGTTATTGTTATTAAACTCAAAGTTATGTGTTTACTTGGTAACCAAAGCTCAGTGCGAAAGTATTGGGAAAATTCATTAGAATTTTTAATTACGTCAATTGGCGGTTATAAGATTTTGAATGCAAATTGATAAAGCACTTTAATACGTTTATTTTGATAGAAATTTTTAGATTGAGCTTTTTATTAATCGGTTGGAAAAATAGAGTCATAAAGTTTAGGTTTCTCGAAGTGAAAGGAAAATAAGATACAATCTTGAAATCCGGTTTAATTAATCTGAAAAACATTCAATGCCTTTGTCAAATCATGTCTTGCAAGGTTGAGAATCGGTTATTTAATGTTTAATGAACAAAAAGTGATCAAATAACACACAATAAGCAGCCATAATAACATTAAAAGTTTGACTTAATTACAAATGAAAAATGACGATCATAGGAGTATAGAGATCAGAAAGCTTAAAGATATTTATCAATAGAAAAAAGCGAAGTGAAATCTTTGGTTACACAAAATTGGAGATCACGAAGAGTATCGAAGAGCATGATGATACACTGAATAGAGTGTATATTAAAGTAAGGCTTTTAGCTTGTTTCAACATTTACCCGCAGATGGACAAATTTTATTGTTGAGACATTCATCACAGATAGGATTATTAGCAGTACATTTCATTTGTCCAAACCGAGGAATGAGACGGTTGAATTCAAATATCATTTCTTTGGGCACCCATGATTCTAGCTCTATCCGGATTTTATCCGCGTCTTTGCTATTCTTTTTAACCCATCCTAGTCGATTAGCAAGCCTCTGGAGATGTACATCTACGCCTAGTCCGTCACATTTGCCATAGCAACTTTGGAGAAATAGGAAAGCCATTTTATTACCAACACCAGGTAGTGCGGCCAGTTCCTTGAGGTTATCCGGTGTATCACCATTATACTTCTCTTTTAATATAGTAGCGGTTTTCTGAATATATGTTGCTTTTTTGCTACGAAAATTAACTGATTTGATCATATCAGAAAGCTCTGAATTACTTTTTTCGAGCACCCAATCAATTGAAAGTCCTTCTTTACACAGATTATTCCAAACTTTGAGAGTTTGATCGTCTTTTGTTTGACTGGACAGCATCAAAGCAACCAATATACGAAATCGTTCCTCTGGTTTAGTTTGTTCCGGATCTCTTGCCTGATACCAAGGCATAGATTCCAGGGGAGCAACAACACCTTCCATCATGGTTTTCATATTTTCATAGGCCGCAGGCCAGTTTTTTGGTGTTGAACTGCTCTCTTTACTTTCGGTTAAATCTTCATCTTCAACAGAAACATGACTAACCTTAATTTTCTTTTCGCGTGGTTCATCACCTGATTTGGGCTCTTTTTTAGGAGAAGTCTTTTTCCTTGGCATTTTCAATTGCTTTGACCAGAAAAACTGTGGACAGGAGTACAATGTGGACAATTATTTAGTCAAGCATTCTGATTCAAAAACTATAAACATTTGAAATATCAGTGATTAAAAGATAACATTAGAATATGGTTCTACTTACCAACAAATTCTGCAATAAATATTCTAAAATTATCAAAAAAAACAATGAATAACGAAACGGGTGAATAATCTGGTTCAATAGCAGAAGATGTTTGTGTGAAGTTGAAAAACCATAATGGCTTAGCCGTTTCCATGGGTAAGGGACTTTCAGTTAATTAACATTCAACTTTCATTTGAATTTCTTAAAAGAAGTATTTGATGATTACCCTATCAAAGATTGATTAAATTGATAAAGAATTAATAAAATTCGTGAATTGAATACGAGAGATACAAAAAAAAACGATTTCAATAAGATCCGAACGATTTTCTTACACTTGTACAGTTCACCTTTATTCTGGGGTATCATCCTTCAGCCTTGCCAAAAAGAAGTTCAACAAGAAATTGTCTGTCCCATGTGAAATTTTCTATTTATAATTGTCAAGAAGTATGAAATACTTGATCAATTAAGTGAAATTTTAAAATTGTGCAAGAAATTACATTTGTTTTTACCGCTCATATTTCTTTACGCCATCTACTTAGTTGTGCTGTGACAATAACTTTATTTACGCTGTTTCTTTGGCGCGATTTGAGCTAGTTTTACTCATCATCTTCATCAGTGATCACTCTTAAATTCACCTTAATCACCTCAGTATTAACCTCTACTTCCCCTGTTTTTAAAATTTTATTTGTCAATAATCCACACTTTGTATAAAACATAAATTTACCAAAATGTTTGAAGCTCGTATGGTACGTGGTTTTATTATTAAAAGAATTCTTGAGGCTATAAAAGATTTGGTCTCTGAAGCATCATGGGATTGTTCGACCTCAGGAATGTCTCTTCAAGCCATGGACACTTCTCATGTCTCCTTAGTCTCTGTTTCATTAAAAGCTGACGGTTTTGATAAATACAGATGTGATCGAAATTTAACCCTTGGAATGAATTTGGCTAGGTAAGAATTTGCTATTGTCTCCCTTTACTCACCTGTTTTTCGTAGAATTTTCTCATACTTAATGTTTTGTTCGATTTAACTTCTTTTAAATCCTTCATAAAATCAGTATTCAGTTCATTAATTTATTTATGTGTTAAACTGAGTAGTTAATTTAAAATGCTTTGTTCCACCTTCTCTCGTAGTTTGGCTCAAATTGTTAAAGCTGCTGGTAATGATGATGTTATCACTATTAAAGCTCCAGATGATGCCGATAAAATTACTCTTATTTTTGAACCTAAAAGTGAAACGGAAACCTGGGAATATGAGATAAAATTGATGAACCTCGATTCTGAATACCTTGGTATCCCGGTAAGTAGGTTAGGTTGGGTCCTAGTGATTTAACCCTTTGTTTCTTTTGGCGCCAAGCTATTAGCTAGTATCCCTTTGTCTTTACCGCTTGGTTTACTAGTGATAGATTGATCTTGATTTCTCTTTCAATCTGAATCTAAGGTAAACCTTTGACCTAACTAAATGGTTGATGATTGAAGATCGAACTCGAAAACTTCATATGATCAACGTGTTTTAGTCTCCCTTATATTAGCGTAATTCACTTCCTTAGCTATTAATGAAGAAAATTTGATAGGCCAACGTTAGCATGATCGCCCGACATAATTATTAATTCTATTTGATATTTTATCTTCACAGGAAACTGATTACAGCGTAAAAATCAATTTACCTTCTCATAAATTCCAAAGAATTTGCCGCGATCTCTCTCAAATTGGAGACTCAGTTACTATTTCAGCAGCTAAAGATGGAGTTAGATTCTCAACTACAGGAGATTTGGGTTCCGGAAATGTTAAACTGAATCAAACCGCATCTGCTGATAAACCTGATGAGGCTGTTACAATCAAAATTGAAGAGCCCATCATTCTTTCATTCGCTCTAAAGTACCTCAATCATTTTGCCCGCGCAACTGCTCTCTCTCCTCAAGTTTCTCTTTCATTGTCAAAAGATGTTCCTCTAGGTAAGTGAACACATCTGTTCTTTTCGCGGTCAGGAAGAACGACATTAATAATTCTTTCTTTATCTTCTCGCCTTTTTTTCTAGTCGTTGAATACGTTATTCACGATGATGATGATGATGAGATTGGTTACATCAGATACTACTTGGCGCCAAAGATTGAGGAAGGAGAAGAATAATCATGGCTACCGATAAAGAACAATTGCACCGCTAGGCAACTCAAAAAGAAATCAGACAAATTTCTAGAGTCTATTCAATATTTTTTATTATCTTGAGAAAAACAAATTGATTAACCAAGTTTTTCTCACCAGCATTTAACAGATATGTGTTGATCAAATTGCCAAAATAATTATGAATAAAAAGCAACTTTGGTAATGTATATTTTCTTGATCCCTTTTCTGCTGTTCCAAATAATCTGATCGTGAATTTCATACAGAAGTTGATGTTTTTTTCGCTAAATTAATTAGTTCATTTCGAGTGGCGATTATGAATTGAAATTAATATTTGTAATCTTCAAAAGAAATCGGTTACCAGAGTATTTTATAGAATACTGTGGCTTAGAAACAGTCATTTATTCGAGAAAGTCAAAACAGTTTTCTAATCCTTAATTGTGGTAGAAGTTAATTAAATCTTTCGATTTCGAAGGTTCCACCCTATCATCAATTTTGAAAAATGTGGTGTCCAAATTTGTTTAAGCGCAGTGTTTACAATTAAATATTCTGATGTAATTTGTGTGTTGAGTGTCTGGAATCGAATTGAAAAAAAAGAATCGATTTTGTACAAAAAATAAGGTTGACCATTCAAATAAAAAAGCAAGGAAAAGACACAACTTGTATTCTTTGCAGTGTTAACATTTTCGAATCCAGCAAAGGGTGTCTGGAGAAAGAAATGAATAAAGAAAAAGATTCTTTGAACTTATCGCAGATAGACAACTATTTTTGAATGTTGAAACGCTTGTTCCTTAAAAACTTGGCTTCATCACCAAGTTCATCTATCTAATAGCGTCAGAAAAAAGTGATGATCGGAAATAAGATGACAATGAGAATGGCGATACCAATGACTTGATAAGTTTCCATACTTCCATCGTTTGACTTGATATTAAGTCAACTTAGTGACCTGTTTTACTTGTAACATTTTCACAATGAGGACGAGGGTAAATTTTAAATGCAGGAGATGGAGATAATGGATTTCGATGATCTTTGTACATCTTTCCTTTCATCACCAGATTAAAGACTATGATGATGGCTATGAAGATGGCGATTGTGGAGGTGACAATTTCGGTTATGGCGATGATGACAGTTTTATCTTCGATATATTTGCAATTATTATGTTACTTTTCAGGGAGAATTAAATAAAGGAGAATGGGCATGAAAAAAGTAGATGAAGCAGAAAAGATCAACGAAATAAACAATAGACAAATGAAACAAGGAAGATTATCGAAGAGTATCACTGTAAAATGAAACCGCGAGAGGTTAATGATTCTTTCAGTATATTATAAAGCTCGATCTGGTGTTCAGGTTCAAGAGAGTGGACTTGTTGGATGACCGATTGCAAGTTGGGCGCAGCAATGAAACTAGAAATGTACACATTGACAAAAGTGGCCATCAAGAATTGACAATCAAATCGATCCATAATACCTCCATGGCCTGGAATCACATCACCAAAATCTTTTATTTTGAAAGCTCGCTTGAAACCACTCGCAAAGAAACCACCAAAAGGTCCGATAATTGAGCTGAACAAAGACAAGGCCAATGAATGTAGAACGAATGGGTAAAGCTTGATTGTTCGAGGAATATGTAACTGTGAATGAAAAGAGCAGAGAATAGAATAAGTTAAATGGTTAGAATGAATGAATAGTTAAATTAACATGAATTTTATATTGGAAAGAATTTTAAACTCGGCATTTTCAACTGATTAAAGTCTTATTTGTTTTGATAACAAATAAAATAAAGTAAAAAGTTGACAAGAACTGAAGCTGAATTCAGCTATTTATCGGCAAATATTCAGTATAAAATAGTCATCAAATAGTTTCTGTGTGAATGAATAATTGTCAAAAGTATAATGAAATTAATTTGTACTGAAGTGATCGTGTGATAATCTTGTTAAATTATGAGTTTATATGGCTGAGCTTTGGAAAGAGATAAAAGCCATTTTTAGATTAACCAGGAAGGGTGCAATTCAACCAAAAACTAGTCCATATTAAAATATCTGTAATACACATCTGTATAATGGTTTCTGTGTTTGTAACATTGAAATATTTCCTTTTCAACTATAATTACCATGAATTAATTATGCAACCAGTCTAATAACATTCATCATGAAGGGAAATGAAAAAGAAGGAAAAAATAAAAATAAGATTCTCATTTTTTCTAATAGATTAGCAATTTTATTCGCTTTGATCGTGTAGTGACTAAACTTTAGCCTTCAATATCAACTAACGCAATCTCAGAAATGAGTTTGTTGGTCATTCAATCTAAGGTTGATACTTAAAGACAGAAAGGGAAAAATAAACAGTAAAAAGAAGCTCAAGAAATTGAAATAATCTCGTGTAAAAAGAGAAGGTTTCTGTTGCTCAGATAATCAGTGACAATGATATATTGATATCATATTTTTTGTTATTTTTAGACTTTCCGTTTACCTGGAGACTATTTAGTATTTGATTGAACATTAAAAGGTTTCAATCATTAGCTGCAAAAGTAAACAGGAAAATGGAAAAAAATAATCAAATTTGATCAGTAAAAATAAAAGTGATATCGACATAATTAGACCGATTACTGTAACCTGGTAATTAGCTTGATCACAGTCTTTCAGTTAATGCAAGTTGACATTTTCTATCAATGCAATGGTGCACAGGCTCAAGTTTGATATATCTAATGAACTTAATGAAAATATCAAAAGTTTGAGAGTTGATGGAATCACATAAAAAATAATTGGCTGTTGAAAACAGTTGATAGAGATTATTAAAGAAAGCTTCAGAATTTCAACTCAATCTATCCATTTTTCATTAAAAGTGTGGCTTCTTTAAATCCAATTTCAAGGTTTCTGTTTCATACATCACATTTGACTTTGAGATTATTGTTTCTATAGAGATACTAATTGTAACACAACTGTCATGAGCTAATCAGATGCATCAACTAGATGAGTATAATAAAAAAGAGAAAGTCGCAAGCATTAAGTTGACTTCCTGCTACTAAGATGCCAAAGTTTGTCATGATAATTTGAAAATGAATCTCTCAATTTTCGTGACATAAGCTTTTGATTTGATTCGCTGGATGAAAAGAAAGTTAATCAGCGAATCACTTTTAGTGCAACTTAGCATGAAGAAAGATAACATTTGATAGAGAAAGATATAAGAGTTGACTTTCATTACCAGTTTGAGAAAAAAACTGAAATTCCGTGGTAAATCGTATTCTTGAAGCTGAAATAATGGAGAAGGGTTACAAGTCATCACGGTCTTCTCAAGATCTTCAGAATATCTGATTGGGCAAACGAAATATTCAAATTGGCACATAAAATGAGAAAACTAAAAGAAAAAAGAGAGAAACAATTTTTGTTAGAGATTGAACTTTGTAATATATTCATTGAAAATAATTAATCATACCAGAAGACCAAGAATAACAGTTGCTATACCTCCACCGATGAAACCTTCCCAGGTTTTTTTGGGTGAAAGTTTAATTAGAGGTGTTCGGCCGAAGAAGAAACCAAATAAATAAGCCATTACATCATTACATATGATCATTGAAACAGGTACAATAAACCAGATCAATCCTTCAAACATATTGGAAATGATGAAATATGATTGAGTAACCACAATTAACAGCGTAACATGAGTCCAAGCAAACTGTACATTAAGATTAATATAAAGAATAAATTAATCAAAAATCAATTCGAGAGCAGGTACAAAGAGTAAAATGTAAATATGGCTTACCAATGAAAATTGTCTCATATAATAACGTTTTTTAAGACTCAAAACAAACCAAACAAATCCAGTAATGTACAAACAAAAAGAGATAAATTTATGATAAGTGACTAGGACAGCCAAAAAGTTCTGAAATTGAAAAAGATAAAAATTCATGTTAATAATCAAAATCCTTCCTAAAATTTAAATGCATTATCAATTATTGTCTTGAAGAACGTACAGGTCGCTGTAAGAGAACTGCAAAATAATGAATAAAACTGGGTCCAAAGAGGAAATAATTGGACGTCAAAAGAAAATACCACGAGAGAGATCTGAACCAAGGTAATCCATGAACACGGTAGACAGCATATCCAACAGAGATAATTTCTTGAAAGCATTTAACTTGAACAATCAGCGTCTATTCGAGAAAAGAAAAATTTAAAACACTCAGTCATAAAATCATAGCTGTTTGATAAAGAGTAAACGCTCAAAATATCTTGAAATTGCCTAGGATTTACATCATAAATTAGATGTAAAGATAAATAAAAATCATCGGATTTGATAATTTTAGGTAGCTTTTTGGGTACACATTTGTGTTGATGAATGATAAAAAGGTTGATAGAATTAATCATCTACACAGTGATACCAATAAACGCTAGAAATAGCAACTAATGAGTCATATAAGGATAGGAAGAAATTCAAATATAGTTCCTTACAATTGTGATGAGAGCCAGAGGTCCAACATAAATTAAAAAACAAAATCCAGCAACCATGACAAAAGTAAATATTGATCGTACAATGTAGTTTCGCCATTTTGAAGGGAAATAAGCTAAACAGGTTTCAATGATTGGGTTAGTTTTTTCTTGTGGTTGAGACAGCGATTTGAGATAATTGTCTTTTTTAAGCAATTCTTCCACTAATTTTTCTTCCTCGGAGTCAACACCATCGAGAGAGCTTTGCCTGTCAAGATGCTTCTGTGAAAGAAAACAAAAACAAGAAATGAAAGATCAACAATAAAGTGCAAAGCAGAATATAAAGTTAAAGATTAGTATAGCCTCACAGACTATGCTTTAAAATTGAACCAAAAGTAATTCAGATACAAATCTCCAAACTTAAAAAAGTAATCATTAGAAATTCGCAATTAAACATTGAGTTGGTCGTTAAGATAAACATAAAGGAGAAGAAAAAAAAGAGTAAGGAGAAAGGAACTAAAATATTTAAACTTACCTTTTCAATCATTTTTTCATCGTCGTCTTCTTCACTCTGGTCTTTGACAAGTCGCTGACGAAGATCGGAGGACATGGTCACAGATAAACACCGATCCAATTGTGACCCAATTAGTTTAGAGTGGCAGCTGAAGATAAACAATAACAATTAGAAAATAAACTATCTTTTCATTAATTTTTTTAAAAGTAAAGCTTTGACATGCTCAACAGAACCATTATTTTAGCCATAGAAGCTGAATAAGCCATAGGAAATACTTTCATCACTTAACGCCATCTAGTAAGTCAGAGATCTACTATTTTTTCTATTTTTATTTTTTATTTCTTTTTTACCCAACATTTGATTGCACCTTATAATTGATTGCTTGGTCTGTTTATTTACTAATCTATCTAAATTTATCATTTCACTGAATAACTCAACAGTTTGTGGAACAAAAAGATGACCAACTGTAAGTAAGACTCAAAAGATGAATAACATTTATCAAATCAAACATTGGGCATTTTAAATACTGTCCTTACTTTTTCAATTAATAACTCTTACCTTTTAGGACTTCGATTTCCAAACTGTTTAAGTAAAGATCATATTATCTAGCTGAACTCATTAAATAATGCATGATTACTGTTTTCTGATCAAACTGATTGTTATCTTAAATTTGCCGATAGATCAACTAAGCTACTCAGCTATCAATAACCCTCAAGTTCTCAACATTTAATCGTAAATTGCGCAACAAAACTTAAATCTATCTGCATTTAATTCAGTAATTGCTGAATCATTGGTGTCATCATTATTTTCAACTGTTAATCGATGGTGAAAATCTGTTTGATAAACAAATTCAGTTACGAATATGGAGTTATTAATAAGCTATTACTGAATGATTGAATAAAAAATAGTATCTTTATTAACAACAGTAATAAAAGCGTAAAAAAAGTAACACGAGTTGCGAGTAAAAAAAATAATCAAATTACAAAAGACAAAATGATTTTACAAATCTAACAAAACATTGCGTTAATTATCGTAATTATATGGTAAGTTGAATGGCAAAGTGGCAAAATATTAACAGTCAATCATGAAGATAAGGGTTATTTTTGATTAATTCATTGAAATTTGGATGTTCCATTAATGTTAGTCTGATTATGTTGACTTGAATCAATATTTGATCGAACACTTGCCATTATTTGGTGCGTTCCTGGTGTTGATGGCAAAGATGGAGGTGACGTTGATGGTGATAGTTTATCAGATCGGTCATTCAAATTGTCATGAAAATTGGGATCAGAGCTACGCTTAATCTTTCCTTTGAAATATTCAGAATCTCGAATTTTTCTAGATTTATCTCGTTCTTCTGATAGTTTATTCATAAACTGAGCAATTTTTGAATCAGTTTTACTTCCAAAAATCCTATTCTTTCCAAATAAGCCAAGTTTTTTATTTTTTCCTGCACTATGATAAGATCCAAAATTGGATGGAAATTTTGAGTGATAAGAATCGGACATGGACGATGAACTAGGACCAGAATTAGCGGCATTAGCAGCAAGTGTTGTAAGTTGTGAGACTAGTTTAGGATGCATCGTTGAAGTGATATCAATATCTGTAGACATGATTGAAGGATTGCCTAAACCAATTTGATTGTGAAGATTATTGACTAATTCATGGTATTGGTTTAAACTGATTGGATCAAGTGTATCGTAAGCATTAGGATGAGGTTGAAGTGTAAAAGATCCGTAAGGTTGAAGATAGGTTACAGGCTCATCTGGAATCAGCCTCATAGCTTGCTCAAAGTCAGATGAATGGTGATTATGAACTTTACTATGAGTGTGGAATAGAGATGACGCCGGGTTTGTGAAGGAATCAAGAAATGGATTATGAACATGGTGAGTTTGCTGTTGATTTACTAACGGATTTTCAAGATAACCCAAATAAATATCACGTAATCTGCGAGGCTCATCAACACCTGGTTTATGGACAATAGGAGTATTATATCTAAGAGAGTTTTTACACGAGAATGGTTGTCCAGGGTAGCTGTGGATACAATAACCTGGAGCTTTTGAAGGGCGAACTGATGATGATGATTGTGAATGATAAGGAGTTGATAAAAAATTATTGCGAAGAGATGCTGATGGTGAAGGTGAAGGCGGTGGTGATCTAATCCCTTCCGGGATGAAATAGCTATTCTCCTCTATGTAAGATAATGGCTGATCTCCTTCAAGAGATAGTTGTTGCAATAATAGACGACGATAAAGCTCGTCGAAATTTGCCAAACTTGGATTTAATGGTATTACCATAGGACCTTCATATAAACCAGCTAAGCCCAACGGACTCGGTGTAACTTGGATATCAGAATGATCTGAAGATTGGATAACCTGTCGTTTGCCTCGATGACGACGTGATCTTAATGATAATAAATGTTCTTCAAAAAAGTCAGTACCAACTGAATTACTCTGAGGATTAATAGGTGATGGTGATGCTTGCTCATCTCCCTCGCTTGGTGTTGTAGGAACAACGATACGATGATAATCATCATCATTTCCATTTAATGTTTCATACATTTTACTTTTATCAATCACAGATCCATGAGATTTTTTATCACTACTAGGTTTATTTCGTAGATTACTCTCATTATTAAGATCATTGTTTCGGTTTTTGTTATGATTTGTGACTGTCCATGGAGGAGGATAAGAAGGTGGGTTCCATGTATTAATTTGATCTTGTTTTCTTCTTTCGTTGTTGAGATTGAACTGTTGACTGTTCCTTTGAATTGGTTGTTGTTGTTGATGGTGATACATTGCCTGCTTTAACTCGTCTGGATTCAAAGGTCTCAGAGATTTGGGTTTACCACCATATCTACCTCCATAGGAAAGTAAAACAATTTTTTTATCCTTCTCGGTGTTACCATTGTTATTGCCATTACTTTTTTTAGTATTGAAATTTGAATGGTAATTGTATTTTGGCTGTGAATTGACTGTTTCCACATTCATTATTTTGGGAACTTTTTCCGCAGATACATTTATTCGTTGTGAAATAAAAGGTTCACCTTTATCCAACATTTTAATTGCATCTGGATCAACAGGTATTACTTGATTTAATGTTTTAACATTTTTTCTTTGATTATCATCATCCTCTGTGATTGTAGTTCTTTCTTTGTTATACTCTTTTACTCCATCTCCTTCCTCTTCATTTTCCTCATCTTCTGTCTCTTGGTTTGAAACTTTTTTCTCTTCATCTTCTCCATCATCCTCTTCATCGTCGTCTTTTTCATCACCAGTATCTTCCTTTTCCCCTCCATTATCTTTTCCTTCTCCAGTTTCATTTTTACTTAATGCTGGTATTCCAGGAATATCAGGAAAATCTGGAAAAAATACTCTCGATCCTTTTTCCTTCTCCGAGTAATCATATAATAAATCATCGGCTTCAGCCAAACCGGGAATCTTTAATTTCTCGTAAACTGTAAACCCCTGCAAGAAAAATTATGAAAAGCAGAAATCAATATTCAAAGTATTATTTAAATTAGCAAAAAAATCCAATTGATTAATGTTATAAGCTAAAAAACCAAAGTATAACTTCGGAATAAAACATTTTCATCCCATTTTTAATCTTTTTTTGCTCATCAAATGCGATTCAATTGTGAGAAAAATGGATTAATAAGAAACAATTGATTTCAATTGTTAACTCATCTATAGCAAGTAATAAATTTCAAAACATAATTTTTCACATCATTTCATGGAAATTTCTTAAAGATGAACAAAAAACTGGGAAAATGATGATGAGAAAGCAAAGTAAAGGATAGTCAGTAGATGTTGAGGATAAGGATGAGAGAGAAAGTGTATTTTGATTTCAATCGAAGGTGTTATGTCAATGATCAATGAAAACCTTTCACTTTAAAATAACAACTTTCAGTACCAATATGAGGCCTTTTGTGGAAATACATTTTCTTGCTCCATCAGCATTAAACGGTTAATCTGGTCAACGGACTATTCACCAACCATTAAGATCGTTTCACAGTTGAAATCATCTTTAGATGGATTGGAAATCTTGGCACTTTAAATCTGAGCAATTTAAAGTATAGCACTTACAATTGTAATATCAAATACTCACAAGGCTTACTTTCAAATTGGGGTTAAAATGGTTTCTAAAGGGTTGATCCAGTTAGTAACTTTCTTATATGTCAATATGTAAGACTATCATTGTAATTAAATGCAAGTACATGGATTGAATATAATTATTAATGGTAGGATAGGTTGATCGTAAAGTTAACAAGATTTATTTACCTCATCAAGAAGCTTAAGAAAAGCATCATCCTTTGTAACACCATTTTCATCTGGATAAGTCTCTAAGCCATTTATGGGTTTTTTGGTTGGACTTACGATTCCAGGCATTAATTCAACTTCAAGACTTGATTCGGTGAATCTGATGGAACCAATTAAATTGATTGATACAACCAATAGAATCTAATTATAAAGGTAAACACACACAAAAATAAGAGATGGAAAATAATCAAATAAGAAATAAACAATGTTTGTTTTCATGTTTTGTTTAGGAAGAAAGTGAAATCATTAGTGGCTCGTTTGAATTGAAAAATTTTCATTTCATTTAGTCCATTGAAAAGTAGTATTTTTTAGAACTGTTTAATCAAATATAATATTTGATTGACCATCTCCTTTGTTTGAAAGGGTTTAGCTGTAAAAAGGTTTCTTCCTTTTTGACCCTTTTCCTGGACCCAAAATTGGAAACAATTGAATTTGTGTTTACCTTGATGATCATTGTTTTTGACATTCATCAGTGAACCATTTTATCCTTTTATGCTATTCAAATGGTAACATTTTTAGATTGTTTTAAATACTGATGACACTCGATTACAAGTCGAAAAGAGAACAGTTTTTACTTTTAAAATTGTAAGCATTCAAACAATTGAATTGATTTGGAAGCTCTGTGCTAATCCTTAACTGTAAATAAACGAAATTTACACCTAATGGAACAAATGGGTTTGTTTTGGGTTGCACTTCACCTTGACTTGATTCAAATACAACTGTAAATGAAATGAGATTATCTTTTATCCTTATTCAAATATATCTTCAATGTATTCATGTAAACAATCCAAAAAATAGATCAAAGCAAGGCCGATATCTTTCAAACTCTAAACTCATCCAATCAATATTTTCAACTTGAAAACTCAAGTCTAACAGATAAGTTAACCAAAGTTCAAATAGCCAGTAATGCAAATATCAGAGCAATAATGGCAGGAGATGAAGAGATAACTTTAACTTGAGAGTGATTTGACTTCCAATACACTGTAAATTGAAAATAGCTTACCAAATGCAAACAAGTTCAACCAAAGACAATATTGACCTGAGAATATCGATTCATCCAATTTCAATTAACTACATTCTATAAGATAAAGATTATGTTCTATCCCTATATTACTTGAATCAATCCAATTCGAGAGCCATGGTAAAGGTTTACTAAAATCAATTTTCTGGTTAAATATCTAAGGTTAAATGGACCAAAAATGTACTTGCCTTTATCTGACATCGTAATCCGATTTCAATTCGTCCAAACATGATTTCAAAGTTGAAATAAATGACCAAAGTATCACGAGTATTCGGTGAACAGTTGAACAGCGAAGAATCACATGAAAACAACTTTTAACGTAAAGAAGTAATAACGGACAAAATTATCAATTTTCAATGGCTAATGGCTCTACTTTCACTTAGCAACGTTAGTCATTGGAAAAAGTCAGAAGTTAAAACAATTTGAAAATATCAACTTTATTCAACAATCAGACGATTACAAATGATGTTACTAATGTTGCTAATGTTAGTGATGAAAGTAAGCGAAAAGATGTAACCGCCTTCAAATCTGAACTCTGACAGTTTATTTTTTCAGTTTCTTATCTTTTTTTGTTTTCCATTTCAATTGAAACACTTTTATTTCTTCTTTACTTTTGTCTTTTTCAAAACATCTTCTTGATCACCTTATTCATCATCGCTTTATCATTCTTGTCTTCGTAACAGCTTTTTTGTCACATAAGAGCCAAGCCTTTCTTAATTTCCCCGGGTCAATACAACAAAAACAAAGAGTCTCTCTGTCTCCATTTTTGGAAGCCATTTTTAACTCTTTTCCTTCACTTTTTTAGCTTTTAAGTGTGTGACTTTTCAATGATCTCTCTTCACTTCAACGTGTACTTCAACACCTTTGGAAGGCAAAGTTATTAAAATTAAAATCTTATTCTAATTATCCAAACTTTCATCAATCATTTCATTAATTATTCACTATTAATAACATCATCTTCAGTTTCATTCTTGGTATTTTCCTTCCTTCCTGTTCTTCATTTAATTCATCAAAAAGGTATTTACTTCTTTATTAAATTTTTTTTGTTTTATAAATTTCTCATTCAAATCATGGTGTAATCCATCGAGTGTCACTAATCAAATGTTGTTTTTGTTTTATCTAATTGTAAACCTTTTCTTTCCTCCTCATTTCAATTAATTAAGTGCCATTTCAACTATTAATGTTAATTTGAATATGTTTGCTTACAAAAAGTGTTGCCGTTTAACGATAATGCGTTTGTCCAACAATTGTCCTCTCAATCTCAATCAAAACATCAGCCGTTTGAAAAGGTTTGTATCAATTTTCTAGTTTTTTGTATTCTTAATTTCCTTTTGAGTTATTCAGTTGGTTGATCAAACTATTGTAATGATACATGTAATTTATATCATAACAATAATAATAGCAGTGAAATCCATCACCAACGTTCATCTTGTATCATCTAGGGAAGTTGACTTGAAATATTCATCTTGCAGACTCTTTCGTAGCTTTTTATGCTATTAATTATTTGAATTGCTTTTCTTCCTGTATTTAACATGTTTGAAACAATCACTGATTAACTTCGAAGCGAATTGTCATGACCACAATAAATGGCTGAAAAAAAGAATGATTTTGATTGAACGATTTATTTCCACTCGTTTGCACTAATTTTGTTAACACAGCTGATACTATGATGTTTTAATATTGACACATTATATCGATCAGTTTCTTTCATTAGAAACCATTTTCTTTGCTAAAAATTTCGATAACATTCATAAACCGAGCATGAATTTGATTACTTGACATGAAAAACGTTAATTTCAGTTAACTAATCAAGCACATCATCGTTTCCGAATCACTGGATTGCACAAAAATGTTGATAACAATTTTTTTTAATATTTATTATTTCTCTTTATGTACTTTGAAGATTCACTTGACACAATATATTCATTATTAACGATAACATGTATTACTGATTATTTACAGTTTTACGTTAATTAGTGATCAGCAAATTAGGAAAAAATTTCACTATTAAATAAAGAGCATTTCAGTTGGTATTAATATTGATGACAATAGAAAGATATTTGGCTTACTGGAGATCGAGAAGCATATAAGTAAGTAGAATTGGATTAATTATATTTCATATGATATGAGAATGATATATATTGTTATAATTGAATTAGTATTTGTATATAATTCAGAATAACTTTTCATCTCTGCTTTCGGCTATTAACATTTGTTTTCTGTTTTTTCTCAGGGATTAACATTGAGCTGAACAGTTGAAACATATTTGTACTTTTCTGGAGCTGAACAGCGTGATAATCAATTGATCAAGCAAATCAATGATTCTATTCAAGGATGATCATGGACTGAATGATAAAAGGATAAATTAGATGACAATAATACTAGGAAAGCTTTTTGAAAAGAACTCGTTTTTCTGGTGGTTTTTCTGTTTTCTCTGAAGAACCACCCATTCCTCTGAGAAATGCTTGTATAGCATCACCGAGTATCATGGCATCTACAACATTTGATTCATCCCATTTAACAGCAGCAACGGATGGCGAAGACTCTGAATCTTGATTATCTGCTTCTATAAGAATCTTTTTGTCACTTTTTCCGGTCAATTCATTATCACTACCAATCGTATTTTGTGAATCACAAGTCTTTGTTAATGTTGTTGCTGCGGTTGATGATGAAGGAGATGTTAAAATTGATGATGACGATGATGCTGTTGTTGTCATTGCTGCTGGAGAGTTATCAGCTTCTTTGAACTGAATAGCTTTGGTTTGTCTACTTCTAGTCTCTTTTTCATGTGGCAGATCAAATTTGAGCGATGGTTTTGACGGTACTACAATCCGAGTCTCTATAAATTCAACTGAACCTTGTGAGTCAACTGATCCTCCTGTCGATGAATTTGGTCTAGAATTATTACAATTATTATGAGTAGCGTTATTATTATTTGAATTATTATTATAGTTGTTATTGGAATCTGCTGCAGGATTTTTCTTAAGAGCACTCTTTTTCATTAATTTACGAGTTGTGTCAATGTTTTCTGCGCCGGTTACTTGGACAACACTATTATAAACAGAGGATGTTTTAAGTATTACTTTACGAGGTCCAATTGATGTGGGTGATGTATCACTATTTTGTTGATCTGATTTCATAATTGAGGGTTTAATAATTGACGTTGTAGTTGTCATAGATGTTGGTGTCGATGATGGCGGTGGTGGTGGTGAATTAGCTGTTATAGATGTTGTACTACTCGCTACTTTTGTTGCCTCTGTTAACAAATTGATCAAATCTTCACGTTTACAGACAATTCCCTCATCTTGGCTACCAGATCGACTTGTCCTGGCTGAACCAGTTCGAGAGTTTGATGATAACCTACGACCCTCACCTTCACCATCTCCAGGACCAGGACTGGTTGAAGCTGATAAACTTTCCTCTCCATCTCCTCGTGGCCCTGAAGATGAACCAGTTGACCGTTTACGAAGTGAGGATAACTTGTTTTTCAACACTTTCCATTCAGATGCTGCTTTGCTGTTACCCGATCTAGTTCGCACCACTCCAGAAGTTGTTTCATTATTTTCCGATAATATCGCTCCATCTGGATGATCTTTGATGATTAATGAGTGAGAGGTGACTTCATGTCGAGATGAGGCTTTTGATGCCGGTAAAATTGAAGTTGATATGGCGGAATCACCAGTTGCAGTCACAATTACTGAAGGTTTTGTTGGTGAAACTGAAATGTGCTGATTGCTTTGGCTATGATGCTGATGGTTTTGTTTATTACTTTTCATTGCTCGAATTACCTCAATCGATGATAATGTTCGAGAAAATATTTTAGATGTCTTCCAGCTTATTCGAGTCGAGCTTGGTTCACAAGACGATTTAGTTTCAATCGATTCCAAATCATTCTCTGGCTTTGATTGCAATGAATTTTCTTTCAAATTTGGTTCTTTTATCTTGCATGAACGAGAACGAAATGTAGATGAACTTGTCATGGTTTCCAGTTGATTGATCCAAACTTCTTCCCTGCTACTTAATCCAACCAATCTTACTTTGGTTAGCTAATTAATTTAATTGTTACTGATTGATGGTAGCTGTTATTATTCCAGAAATTTCACCCAAGAAAGACTCATTTGTTTGTTTAAGTAACTTGCTCGAAATTGATCATGTCTTGTGTTGACTTTTAAATGAAATTGGATCCAATTGGGAACAACGTCATTGGATTTATTTTCAACATTTAAATTGTTTTTACCACTTGTTGCATGGAAATATTGGAAATAATATCACAAAGAATTAATCACTTGTTCACTAGAATAAGTATTCCTCTAGATTGAAATGTAATTATAAAATGGATCTGTAAAAAAGGAAAAAAAATCGATTGGAAACATGGAATATCTTCAAATATTGAAGTTACACTGAAGTGAACCTTGTTAGCTGAATGATTAGATCAGCTCATATTTACTCAATGCTGAATATTTGTGATTAACTTCATTTGCAGTAGCTATTGAACTCAATATAATCAGCTAACCTTCAGGCCATTTTCATCTCCCAAAAGTGCAAACATTTTTTATCCTTGTCGATGGTTGAATACACAATTAAATTTATTAATTAACTTCTTTCTCAATACAAATACAAAACAATTTAATTGTTTGGAACAAAAAGTGAACCCAAAAATGAATATATCAAGAATTAAACAAAAACAAGGAATTACATCTTCCCTGGAAATAATCAAATATATAAAACAATCAACAGTCATGACTGGATGACCAAATACATCAAACATTAATGGTTACCATGTCCAACAATGGAGCAGATTGAAAAGCTAAAGCTCAACATGGAATACATTTATCATGAAATGAATCCAGTTTTGATCAATTATAATGAAAGCCATTGTAATTAAAACATAATTACCAATGTAACTAAAAATGGGACACATTTAAATAATTGAAAATTATAATTACAATGGTCAATTTGGCTGAAAATCAACGTCAAATTTATTTTTATCATTCAAGTAATTTTAATGTATCATTGTAAAGTTCAAGGTATGGCCAACCTTGAATGATGCCAATCACTGTACCATGTCAACATAAATGGACACAAGAAAAGCTACAACTGACAGTTGATAATGATTTAACCATTTATCTAAATATCACAATTTAACACTAATATTAAAATGTTGCTGAAATATTATTCTGTAGTTCAACTTGCCATCTAATATTACCTAAATGAAAATAAGTGAAACATTTTTTTTGGTTATATTTTGTTTCAACCATTGAAATGAACCCTTTTTATGCATTATAATGTTCATGCTTACCATAATAGTGTATAATAAATTGTATGAGCAAATAGACTGAATGAAAATGATAAAAAAAGAAGAATTTTAAAGCAAAATATCAAATTTTCAGTTTAATATCTGCTTATTTCAGGGACAAAAAGTATTTACTTTTTGTCATCATGGTATAATAATACTTAAGCAATGATAAATTTCATCTTCAATTTATCTTATAACATTTATCATTTCATGATGTTTAACGTCCTAAGACTACCAGGCAAGTGGTAAAAAACATATCAACCAAATGATGATTTTTGGGTGAAAATGAATTTATTTTACCTGCAGGCTGTTTCAATTCAATATCCATCTAAATTATCAATAATTTTGTCAGCTTAACTGTCATTATTTTAATATGATCGGTAAACAATAATGAAAAACTGATACCAATATTGGGAAAAACAATTTATTTTGAGAAATGTAATTTCTTGGTTTCTAATTTAAACCAAAAGATTTGCTGCAAAATTTTCTGGTTTGATTATATTTTTGCAGCTGGTTTAGTCGATTCAATTGATTTAGCTAATTGAACAGGCTAATTTATAGAGCTTTAATAACCAGAATCAGTTTAATTATGGCTGCATGATAAAGGCAAGTGAAGCTTACAAGGTAAATGAACAAAAATTTAATATCTTGTCTCATTGCTTTGCGCCTTTACATTAAACTCAATCGATATTTTCTCATCTTCTTCATCTTCTTCTTATTTTATCATTTCTTTCATCACAAAGTGCTTGAAATTTGTTGTAATATAACCTTGAACTGAGACTGGTTCAATATTTGATTGAAATAACATTGATTTACAATTGATGACATTTTACATTGATAATAATGTCTTACCACTAAATCATCGCCCAATTTTAACAAGAAAAGCAAAACGATAACCTTTCATATTAACCTTTTTTATGTATCAATCTCAATAGAAATAATTTTGAAACAATTTTTGATTGAATGCTCGGAACAAGAGTCAGAATGCTCATGCTTTGAATGAGTAAAATGTTAAATATAAAACAATTCATCAGTAAATTTACTTTGAACCATTTAATATTTAACCAACATCAAAACACTTTTCCCTAAGATACATTTGTATTGTTTAAAATTTAGGAAAATGAAAAGAGATGACAAATTATGATGAATATGGTAAAGATAATCATGAATATGAATATGAGTATGAATATTAGCATGAATAATTAGATGGAAAGAGTGGAAATGGTTAAACCTTGCCAAACATGAAATTAACTTCAACAGTTATGACAACTTTACATTTGAATGTTCAACTTAATCAACTTTCAGTTTTTTGTTTTTAATGTTTCTCAAGTATTTAAATGATGAACCCTTTTTTTGGTGAATAAATAAACTCTTGATCAAATAGATTTGGACATTTTTTTGGGACATTTTAATGCTTTTGTAATGTAAACTTGATGTTGATCTTTGAATTGCCAGTGACATTGATTGAGTCAGGTAGGCAAAAAAAGAGTCAATTTAGGTGTGTAAAAACAAGGAAAGGTTTTATCGATTATTTCAGTCCTTTTTTGCTGTCTTTCATTCTGAATTCAATTTAAAGATGATGATGATGATGAGCATGAAACTAGATTGGAAAGTGATGTTTAAGTGCATGATAAAGCTGATAATAATAACCTTGCTCCAAATTGTGGATCATTATTTGAGATTGAAGAATGAAAAAAAGCCAAGTTAAAGATATTAAATATGTAAATATATGAGAGAAACCATTTTTCAACAATTTAACAATTGCGATCAATCATTTGTTCAGTTTAACTGCTGAAATGTTGAAAAATCAAGTAAATTGTTGATCAAGAATGGTCAACAATTGATGTTACTCTTCAACCATAAACATCCAAAGGCTTGCAAGTCATTTAACCAGTTTAATCAGTTGATTTGGTTTTTGTTTTGAGTCTCAATTTTGGACTTGTTTGATTGATTGGCTATCCGTTTATGGGAATTGTTAGCAATTTTGCTTTAATTTTTGGGTTGACAAGAAAGGTTGATTGAGATGAATTAGTCAACTGGAACTGTTGGTTTTAATTAACATTGACATTGATTATTGATTTGATGTTAGTCTAATGAACCTTAAAGCTAATTGGGATTCTTTAACGAGTTAATCACACCAGTGAAAGGTTTTGATTGTTGGCTTTTTCAAGTGTTGCTCATGATGAAGGGAAGGGAAACCTGAAAATGATAAGAATGTGTTTAATATTGAGTTTTATTACAACAGTTGCTATTGGGAGTGATAAAGTTTATTTGTGATATAAAAGTGGACAATGAACTTGTCAAGTGGACAAACATGGCTGAAAAATTTAATTCCAATTTAATTCACTTCTTACTTGTTATTTGAGGGCTTTCCCATCAACACAAAATAGTTAATTTTCTTGGTAAAGCTTGGTTATTTGATCATATGTTTGATCAAAACCAAGCTTTACAATTTCCATCAAACTTATCTAACTAAGCAAAAAGACACGCGCAGTTATGTGAATGAAAAATTGGTTTATTATTTTATTTAAATAAAAGTGATTTTTGATTGTGTGTGACATTAATTTTTTTATCTTAGAGATGGCGCTCTAAAATTAGGCAAAAAATCATTTTTTATTGAAATTGAATTAATTTAACTAACAAGTACTGAGATGTACTAAGTACAACTATTAAAAAACTTTGATGGGAAAGCCCCTTGGTATTGATTATTTAATCTGAGCATGTTTATCCGAAACAATACATGCTTTTTGAATAAATTCACAGTCAGAACACTTCCGATTATTCTTGATGTAAGCTTTCTATTACAATAGACTTATTAAAAACAAATGGAAAGGTTATTTGATTGTTGAAACATTAGTTAACGATAATTAGTGTTTAATCAAAATAAGGTTTACCTTGAGACTAAATTTTGAAGTAAAAAGCAAATTCATTTCAACAAGTCAATCCCTTTTGACAATTTTTACCTTATTTTTGTTCACTTTTCAATGGATTCAATGGTAATAACTTGACATTTAAATTATTCAAATCAATTCAAACCTTTCTATTAACTGTAATTATTGTCTGTAAAATGTTCGGTTCACTCTAATGGGCAACAATTAACAACTTCAGGTAACTCTTGACATGACAAGTTGATATTATAAAAGGTAAAAACATTGCTAATTAGACTAATTGATCAGACTTACGATAATTATTTTTAGTTGAAGCAAAATCAAGTAAACACGTTTCTGTTATCTAATTTCATGATTCTCATCACTGATGTTCAAGTTTTGGTTAAAGGTTGAAAGATATTGATCAATTAAAATGAATTGAATCAATTTGGAGATTGAAAAATTGTGCTAAAAAATTTGTTTTGCTTAATATCAATTTGAAGTGTTTTGTGGACAAACAATTTATTTAATTGTGATAATAAATCTTGTAAATCAATAACTTACAAGTGATTAATGAAGCAATGAAGTTGAGGAAGAAAAAAGAGAAAGTCGACTTTTTGTGATTCAATTGAAGGTAAAATGGCCTTTCAAATGTATTTGGTGAAAACATTTTGACAATCATGTTTAATGGGAATTGAATATTTGAAAAGGTAAAAACAAAGACTGGAAAGAGATTGATGAAGATGAGGAAGACGAGGAAGATGAGGATGAACATGGAAGTAAATAGGATGAAACTTACAAAAATAAAGTAACAAGAATGGAAGAAATTGGAGATAATCGATTTTATCGTCTTTTGTTCAGTCTAACCTGAATCGAGAAATGTTTTTGTCTTCTGTCCTTTTTTTGCAACATCATCAAGATTGAAGCCATTACGATTCTGCTTATTAATCAATCCTGATTAAACTTGATTCAATAATTGATTGAGACCAAATTGATTAGACATGTAAATAAAGGTTGGTCAAAGTAAAAGGTCAAAGAGGGAAGAATGTGTTTTTTCGTGGTTTCATCAAAACTCTGACATGATTTGTCCATTGAAACTTTACATTTACATCTAAATGCTGAGAAGGTTGAAAATGATTAATATTTTAAAAATGAACCAGAAAATTGGACCGATTC